CTGTTACAGCATCTCCCGTGTCACAGAACATAAACCTGTCATTTCGAATAGTGCCATGCCCCCTCACTTTGTTGGGATCGCATGTGTGACAATGTGTGCGACAATGCGTGCGACAATGTGTGTAAAAAGCAAAGACACAGGTTTCCCGCCCACTATTTCTCAATATTGAGCGGGCAAACTGCGTGTCACCCCTAGCCTAACGATCCAGAACAGCACCCTCGCTGTGGGTGGCCGTAATGTTTATGATGCAGTTTCCCGCCCGCTGGGACTAACGGTCGACCCAGCGATCCAGCTTGTGGCTCATGCTGTGGCCATGCCCAAGTTTCTTTTAGGGGCTAATCTAACATTTCACATCTTATTGCTTGCGGCCGAAGGCCAGGATCGCTAGAGCCATTTGTTCTTGCTTATTCTAGCTCTTGCACGACGCTCTCCAATTATTATATCGATCCGAAGATTGTCGGAGTCGCACTACCAGACTGGGGTACCGGAAGCTCCACCACCCTGAGCAGCAAAAGAGCGTTGCCAACTGCCAAGCTACCCATGGGGATGATCGATGAGGTTATGTTGTCATTGAAAAGGCATGGCCAATATTGACAACAATTAATCTATATTGGCGCACTGCTATCATGACTGCAAGGGAGACCCTCAATTCGATGTACCGCAAAGAGGTGGATTTGCGCGGGCCTCTCCTCCCGCCCCAACCGCGGAACTGGCAAATTCCGGCTGGGGCGTTCCTTGTAGAGTTCAAGAGTGCAAAGACACTGGCAAACTTTCTGACGCCGCCATCGAGCGCCTGTGGACCCAACCTAGGGGACTGAGGTAACCACATCAGCCCGTGTTTCTCACAGATTCCGACCGCAAGGTAACGAAAACGGTCGCTGTGTTGAACAGAAAAGGATGATCGGTATTTCTTTTCCTCATACTTTGGCACGGAGTATCTCCCGTCTAAAAAGTCGTCGGCGACATACGTTGTGCACCACGACCGCAATAAAGTGTAGTTACGAGTAGTTACGCGTACGCAAGACCAGCAACATCCACACAACGATACCCACACTTACACGCATTCTCCAGCCAGACACCCACTGCACATGACTATCTCCATTTCTACAAGTGCCCAGCTAGGATGATCGTCAGAACTGAAAGGGGACGGGAATCTCCACGGCTCATGACGAGGGTGAGCGAAGCAAAGCGGGTCTGTATTGGTTGGTGCGCATCTGTTTCTGCACAACCCGTTTCATTAACTTCGTAGCAGCAGCAACAGCCGTGGTAGCGTATCTCCTCAGATATCGGGGCTCACCACTGATCTAGCAGGTGAGAAACAGAGACGTTTTCAATCTGTCACACATGGCAGGGAAGTGATACAAAGGATCGAAAAAGAAATAAAAACGTGACCCTCAAGCAGCGCCTGTTGCATATTGGCCCGGCTGTCATCGTGGTATCGCAACGCCCCTTGCGTGTGAAAACAAACGTCCAAGTTCTCGAAGAAGGAGGTCGACTAGCAGGGTTTACCCCGGTGGTTGGATCTGCGCGATTTCAAGATTAACGAGCGCATGATCCGCATCCGCCCCGAATAGTGTTCATCCTCCTCCACCACCACTCCCGCCACTCGCTCTTTGCACTCGCGCTACCTGCCAGCCTACAGAGCCTTTCTCTTTTTCTCCTTCTGCCCTCAGCCGCTGGCTCAGATTCTAAACAGTCACCGTTACCATCGCCTGTCATCCTGCCTACCCGTCGCCCCCTTTCGCTGTCTATGCACCATCCACCCCGTTAGCAATTGGCATTGGCAGCTGGCAACAGATAGCCTCGTCCACTTCAACGCCTGTCAAATATTTCTTTTTCTACCGTGTTGGTTCTGGGCTGGTCTTTTCGATTGAGCTTCAAATGACTGACAGCGGGTTCAAGCCCCGGACTCTTGATCTTGGTGCCATGTTCGGATACATTCCGATCTCAGCTATGCAGGCCATCAGTCCTGCTATCACAGCATAATCGTCAAATCGTAAATCGTATTCTTCAATCCCTGGCGTAGCATGGGTAGGATATGATGATCAAACACTATAGTGTGTTGCAAATCGTGCCCGAAGTGGCTGATCTTCCTACACAGCAAAACAATACACAACTTCGCATGGCTAACTGCTTTTCGTTTGGTTGTAGAAGAATGTTACTGACTCGTTCCAGAGCCAGAAATTCCTGCAGTATTCGGCGTATCTTTCCGCGCTTCAACATGTCCTGGGCCGAGCCCGCAGCAAGATGCAGCACAAGGGCCGTTAAGATCTGGAGAGACGCCGAATCGGAACCTGGAGACCCACACCGATTTACAGGCTGCTTCCCCCCTTTTATTCCAGCTCATAGATGGGCGCTCCTCTAACAGATGCAGACGTTAATTAGTAGAGTCCGCTCAGGGCCAACTCGACCATCCAAAACCTTGAAGTGTGGACGAAAGATTGTCTAATTCACCTCATGACGATGGCCATTCCTACCCCTAATGTTTCAGGCTTCCTGCCAAGGCCCAGGAAACTTGCAAGATCGCGGTCCGTGCTGCTGCATCACGAAAATCATAGTGGTTGTGATCTACAAAACACGTACCCTGTGCCCCGTCCGCTTTTGCAACTTACTCCTTGTAAAACCTCAATTGCACAAGCAGCGTGTATTGTACCTGCATCGCATCGCTCGATCTCCCCGCCATGTCCAAAACGGAAAGCGCTGGCAACCCGCCCGCAGCTACCTTATTGCTGGAGCACCCTTTCGGAATGATGTTCTACATTACCAGGTGTCGCAACGCCTCTCATCCTAGTGGCGTGTATGTCAATCAATTTACCGCCAAGCTAGGAAATCGTCTCAAAATGGACACTTGCACGGTTGACCTCGCCGAAGTGAACGAAGCTGTGCTTGTCGTAAATAGTCCGACAAAATGCCAGAGCGAATCAAACCCAGCGCTAGCCTCACCCTCGATCACACCGAGTAAAGAACTACAGCTGCACTTGAACCATACACCGCGCCCACGGATGCGTCCGTCGAACGGCTGGCTGTAACGATGTTGTGCTCCGGCCGATTAGGTCTTACACCACCCTACGCTCAATAACTCTAGCTGTAAAGAGCTATTCATTGCTCATACCAGCTGGACCCTTTTGTACAAGATTGGAAGCCTGACGAATACGGCGAATAGAGACCTCCCTTTCGGGCGATAATGCCACGCAACTCGCTGGATGCAAGAAATGGCCCTCATCACACCATGCCTGGCCTTCCATGAGAACCTTTACGGTCTCGACTCTCGATCTCACGATGTTGAGCCCATACATCAACCTATGTGTGCAATAGCGAGCGAGACAATTGTTCGTATCCATCCCGCCACTAGACGCTCTTTATTATCACCCTAAGCATTCACAGATGCCTCAGTCAGCGTCACAAGATTATGGAGTTCCACCGTGGCTACCACGCCAACTACCCGCACTTTGCGCACACTCAGACCCTCTACGACGGACACTTTCGAGCCACGCTCTAGCAGATGATAATTCCCTTTGGATGTATTGAACCTGTTGTCGGTTTAGAGTGTAGCCTTGACAATAGCTCAGAACCCCTGAGGAAGGTTCCGAACATAGTCGGATTCAAGTTCACAGCTGCGGTATTATCCGATTATGATGTGCAGCTTTGACAGTCCGTTCCCAAGCCTTGCCACACAACTACTAATCGCTTTATCATACCTCTGGTTTTGATGCGCGCGATCGGAAATCGAATCGAAATACATGACGGATCAGGGAACAGAAGTTACGTTGGGCTTCGTCCATTCTAGTGCTGGGCACTGAGAGAGCGCCCTGTCAACTAGTTTTTGCTACTCTCTTGACATCACACCGCCATCTCACAGTTTCAACCTTGCAAATACTCAATTTTTCAACAAAGATTCGCTTTTGGTTCAACACTTCCAGGTTTGTAACGCAACAGATTAGGTTACGTCCAAGTTTCTTTACGATTTCGTCGATTCGGCGACCAAGTCATGCATTGGGCGATCTTGCAGATGCAAATGCTCTCTCCGCGGCGGGCCCATTTGCCAGCAAATAAGGCGCTATGTAATGATGGTCGATCATCATGTTCGATCTGACAGATGCCGAAAAGACGTTGCTACTAACTTGTCGCTTCATTTACGGCTTTCAAGCGTTGAACTTGGCCAATGTATCCCTCTTGACACTATTACGCAAGCGCGGGCGCTGGCTCAGATAGTGGAACGCGGTGGAGCACTTATCGAATCATCACCATATGTGTCTGCGCTTGCTCAAGCCGTCATGTGCCACTGATTGGACGTTGAAAATCGACCGTTCCAACGTTCAGCTGCCCACTGTCTAATCCCCTTTTCTGAATGGGCAAACTGCAGGTCGATACTTTCGTGCATTGGAGTGTTCTTGAGATTGCTCATTTCCACGACTGATTTTGACTCGCTAATCATCATTGATTTCATTGTGTCTGTCACCACGTACCTATCTACACAGTAGGCAACTGATGCGCTGGTCCTGACCAATTCTCTTGAGATAACATACACTACTAAACCCGTGTTCTATTGCCGAAGCCGAGTCTGCTTACTGGAACTGTTCGGCAGTTACCGCGCAAGGACTGCCTATTACCTCCCTGGACCTGACCGAATATGAGGTGAGGTCCCTCAAGCCTAAAGAGAAAACGTCGACGTGGCCAGGCATCAGAAACATGCCATTCTACCAAGAACATGCAGTGCACCCAGCTTGACGGCCACGGTCCGTAGTTCCTTGCTTTCCTTCCGGTGGCTCGCAGTCAGCTGGAGTCTCATTGATTATCCTTATGCAGCTCTCTGAATCGCAGTTCCTATGCGACTCCATCACACGAGAAGTCTAAACGTATCCCAGGCTAAGTGTTCCTGCACCTCCTGTGCGAAAGTATCTTGATCCATTGTCGCCAGATTTTCCTTATATGTTCGGACGCAAAGGTACCGCTCTGTGGTAGCGAAATGTGAAGCGACGTGATCAAGCATCTCACTGCGTAGTCTAGGATTATCCCCACGCGATGTCTCAGACACACGCAACGACGCTGTCAATCTGATTTTCCACGAATAGAATGGGCATGTCGAACACCATAAGGGCGTTTTGAGTGATGTGGGATATGATATATGATAAGAGTTATAGACAGGGCACCGCTGTACTTGAACCGACTTCTACCGTATCGCTGGTGTTGGTGCGCACGCCTTGGGCACCCGTTCCATAACAACATCAATGCGCAATTCGAAATTGTCAATGCGATTGAACGACACACAAGCCATATATGGAGCGCCGACGTATAATGATCTCACGAGCAGAAATAAACCTCGAAGGAACGGTCACAGCATCGTCACATCGCTTGCGACTGCTGGGATTGGCACCAGCGTTGGTGCTGTCCTACATGGAGAGAGAGACAGCAGGCCCTGTGCAAGTTACACAATGCTCGACGCTGATCCAGAGCCACGGCTCTCGAATAAGACGGTCGTACCCACCCATAATAACGCAATACCATGTCATAGCAGCAAGGTGACAAGTGGGAGATCACTGAATTCAAAGTTAATCAGACGCAGGGGTTGCGCGCGATGCCCTGTCCATAACAGCCGATGCCTGCATCTATATCTCGCTAGACGAGTCCTGAGCGTCGTTATTTTGGGAATCATCACAATGCTCACAGGGACCATTCAATATTTTTCAAAACTCATATTTTCCAATTCCTGACGCCTGTCTAAATGCTACGCTGTAAATGCTACACGGGGATGATGCTGGGTGGAAAGGCCAAAAGAGGATAGGAAACGGAACAAGAACCTAAATGGCCACTTGCTCTTACGCGTCTTGAATTCCGTTGCAGCGCTTGATAACACCGCCATGGCACTCCTTAGATATGCAGTTCGCTTTGCCCTCGCAGATAGGGCTCTTGACGCAAGCCCATTGATCTCCATCGACCAGGGTGGCGTCGATGCTGTTCGATGGCGATCATGTCAGTTCATACTATCGGTAAGATGGGTCATTGAGGCAAGAGTACGTACCAGGAAGCCATATCGTCTCCGGGGCAGAAGCTGAGCTTGACTTGGTCCTCAAGTCTCCAGTTCCAGCCGATCCTCGACTTCTCGGGGATGGTGTTCACATCTACATTGGGGATGTTACCTGCAAACATCCTGCAGCCGTACTCGGCCACGGTTATGCTGGTGTTGCCGTGCATGACGCCGCCGTTGCAAAGCTCTGCGTTCGTCGCGCTGTCGAAGGCTTGCACTTGGACTTGGACGTCCTGTTTGGGTTCGGGCTGGTCGGGAGTGTTGATGTTGGCGGACATGGAGACCTTGAAGTCGTAGCACTTAGCGGCGACGTAGGGGGCAGCGACAAGGCCAGCGAAGATGATGGATCGGATAGAAGGCATTTTGAAATTGTCCTAGTGGGAGTTTTGAAGAAAAAAAAGGTTAGAAAAAATGATGATGCTTTAATGAAAGTGGTTGTTACAAAAACGAGAGTGGTCCTTGAAGAAGGAAGAGTTGTTCAAAAGAGTGTGAGTTGCTGTGTTAATGCAGTGAAGAAAGAAATCTGAATAGGTGAGTCTATTCGATCTTATATGCAATGAAAGTCTACAAGTTACAATCTCTACATATCTTCATTGAATCTAATTTTGATTACAGTCTAACCGTCTGCTCTCCATAATGCTGCCAAAGATCCCGAGAGTTTGAAATGTCCGATCGACTTCACAATAGAATTGAACGTAGCCAGGGCCAAAGTCGAGAGCGAAGCATTTGAGGAGGGGCTTAATCATCATCGTGAAGTATCACACCGAAGCTAACAATCTCCGTAGCCTTCATGCAAAACACTCCTCGATCCCTTATTCCGTGCCCGAACAGCCGTTTCCGCCTGCCTTTGACCGTAAGCGAGAGTACCCCAGAACATGAATTGTAAGGGGACATTGATTTTGCAGCCAGCACACATTTGCTTCCCCACCGTGCGACGCATGCTCATACATGCAAACTCTCCCTTTCGTTCCGCTGCGTTGAAATCCAGACCTGTCGCGGCTGCCTGCACAGCGTTGACTGTCGACTGACAGTTGCTGAGCGGATGTTTGAGGCTTCCGCTTGCGGACTAACCTCGCGCTCTTAGACCACCGGCCCTATGTGATTCTTCTTTTCTTAGCAAGCTGACGTTGTGTCGCATGTATATGGATGGAAGTCTTTCGCGAGAGAGACCCTGTGCAACGCGACGAGCCAACGCTGCGTCGAACATTGATTGCATTGCCGACCAGGGCTACTCGCCCCTTGTCCGGGGTTGTTCTAGGATTTCACATCATTGGGCAGCACAAATGCCCGCCGTATACAACGAATGCTGTACGGGATACTTTTGGTGTGTTGTAACTTTATTTCTTTGCGACTTTCTTGAAAGGTATATGGGTTCGTTCGGCGCCTGTGAGGGTCGAAGCCAGCTGAGTCCGACGAGCGCTGTCCATACAAAGTTGCCAATCTGTCAAGATCGGCATGTTTCGCCCATATACTTGCAGTAATAGCTACATACGCGCCCTGGTCGAGTTCCCTCGCTTATGACGGCCATCTACTTGTACTTGTCGACCGGCCCTACGATTGTTGCAAGGCCAGCTTCACACCGTTCTGGAGGGATTGCTCCTGGTTGCTGTTGCTGCATCTAACATCCCATCCCACCCCATTGCAAGCTGAACTCGCCGTTCTATCTTCGGAACCTCCGCTTTTCAACATCCTCGTACATACCTACATGAGAGCAAGTAACACAACTACCGGCTGACTGACCACGTACATGGCTACATACATACATGACGCCAGTCTGTACTTGCAACCCACGCGAACGGATATAGGTCCCTCTCACTCGGGTTCCCCATGCACATACATGTCCACGCCTCCATACACCATACATACATGGTGTGTATTCTAGTTACAGCATAGGAATCGCGACCCGGTACCCCTGTTCCTGAACCCTTTTCCTTTGCTCCCCCAATCACTCACGGATCGTGTCGCCCAATCACAACACCTCACCCTGTTGAGCATCCGGCCGCCTCCATCCACCCACAGCAGCGAAGGCCCGGCCCTCCCTCCCTTCCTCCCATGCCTCCAACTAACCATGCAGTAAGCATGCCATGACAAGACAAAAAACCCGCTCTGGAGAAAACGAAGCAAGCACCACGGGCGCCGCGGACCATCCCCCTCGCCGTCCCCGACGTCGTCGCTCCGCTCCGCTCCGTTCTGCGCGAGGCATAGGCACGTATGTAGGTGCAAACAGACGCACTCGCACATACACACATACATACACACAGTATGTACCGCATCACGCACACCATCCATGACGAGCTGGCCACAGCCAGGAAAAATGGTAACACGACATGACCGTCCCCTCCCTTCCCCCGTCATTCATACATACCGATGCACAAACGCACGCATGCCCATTTGAACGCTTTTCCCCTCCTCCGCTTGCGTGCGTTGCGTTGCGTCCCTGGCTGCTCCTAATACGACAAAAAGCCGTTTAGTTAAGATGGGCCTGGTGGCGTTTGCTTCGTGCAACTGAGGAGGCCCGGTGCTCTGGGTCCTCCCTGCCACCCGCCCTCTTCTGTCTTGATTCGATGTGAGGAGTTCCCAAGTTGAGGAAGCAATAAGGCCAAGAGTCTCCGGATGAGGAAGGAGATGAGATTTTGGTGGTTGAGAGAGGTAAGGTGGGGTTCGAGATGGTCGGGAGAGACGGGATTGCGGTAAATGGGCAGGTGGATGATGTTCTGCTCATACCAAGCGTTTTTCGGGTTTGATACTACAGTGCGCCGGGGAGGGATGGCGGCGATGAGCAAGTTGGTTGAGTTGCGGTCGAGCAACCCTCAACTCGCTATGAGTTTTCCTACAGGTCAACTCAAGATTAGAGGGATCAATTTACCGCCGAAGGAGCGGATATTGCGGGCGGAAAAGCCAATCAGTCATGGTGGGCAGGTCGTTGGACATCATGGCTCCAGCTACACATAATGAATGTACAAACTATCAACCCATCGATTGCCTCTCTCGTTGGATGGCCTGTTAAAATGTATCAATAAATGCATCGTAGAGGCGATTTATGCCAGCACCTGAGCCGACCGTGCCGGTCCACAGCTCTCCACTTTCCCTTGGGAACAGCAGACCACGCAACCGTTCGGCAAGGCCCTTCAACGACTCGAACTCGGGCTCAAACTCCGCGAGAACATTCCCAAAGCTGTCTTCAGCCATATCGGATGTCTTGAGCCTTGCTGAGTCCGCCAATGACCCTTGATTCCACTCCCTCAGCCTGCTGCCCACGGGCGGGTAATCCTTCTGCCTCACGACGACGACCCACAGCAGGACGTAGAGGAAGGATTCCAGATCATGACGGTAGGTATGAATCCGCCTCAACAAGACGCCAATGGCCATGAACGGACGCGTGCCTATCGCCCCACCTAGCTTCCGTAGCCCTCCTTCTGCCACGTTGATTGCGACGTCGAGGTCGATCAAGATGCCATGAGGATCACCCGGACGTTGAGGGTGCGAGATAAGGATATTCCACACGGAAATGTCCTGGTGGAGGACCTTGGCGTCCTGGAAAAGCGATCGGTGTGCCCTTACGGCGTCACGCAGCGCGAGAAGTAATTCAAGTCGGGTCGCAAAGAATTGGAGCGGTCGGCCTATGGGAGAGGTCACGACGCAGGTGAAGATGCGGTTCTGAAACGGCGTTTTGGTGGGTGTGACTAGCTTCGAGATGTTTGGTTCCTCTCCCGAGTTCGCGACTCTGGGTGGTGTATCGGTCTCGTTATGCAATGGTGCAAGTTCATAGTACGGTCCGAAGTGAAGACCTTGTCGTAGATTGGCGGTGCTTTCAATGTCTCGTTAATAGTGCAGCGACACAATACCCCATGCCTTCTTCTGCATGGCGAGATTCAGTATCTCTTCTTCCGGGCGTCGATCAGCGGGACGCCATTTGACTTTGATCACGTAGTCCCACTGATCACGCCCAGATGACCTGGCGCGGTAGCACGTAGTTCCCTGACCAACGAGATCGTCGGAAAGGGCTATAGTTTTATCTTCCAGGTACAGTTTTTGTAGGCCAGGTGTAACAGTATCATTGAAAGTCACAAAGCTGCCATTGTCGTCCCGCTTAACAACACTACTCAATCCTAGGTCTGCGTCTGACATTGATCGATAGCTAAGTATCATAGCAAGGAACCTTTGCGGGTTGTCCTGGATATTGAATGCTTGGCAAACCCATATACCAGATCTATCGAAAATCCACGCCTCTAATTGGCATTTGTAGATGTATAAGCCATACAGATACATCCGGAGAGGTTGATGAATGAAAACCTTGTTCGCATGAGTGCAGAGTGTCAAAAGCCCATCTCGGTAAGCAGTGGAGTCGTCCTGGCAGAAACAGGCAATGCACTGGACGTCTTGCCAGGATTGGTTAACTTGTTTGCCAGAAGAAGTTAGAGAGAGATTTGCTCCGTTGCTGGACGACTCGGTATGCCATGACCAGCGCTGCGAGTCAGGATTTCGTGAAGACGCTTTTGAGAACCATGGCAGGAATTGGAGGGGAGGTGGAAGAGGTGATGTTAGTAAGTACTGTGCAGTTATGTCCTCGCACGATTTCAGTAGTGCATCGCCCCGACACAGCACGAATTGGCTGGTGGGAGGGAGATGAATGCAACCTCTGATGTTGTCGAACATGTCCTCGAGAGCTTCGTTATCGTCAAAAATTGTGCTCAAGACGAGTGACTGGGAACTCCCAGATGTCGCCATCGTGAACAGACAGCTGATTTCGTAAATTGGGCTGGTGGTACAAGTCACTGCCTATTGATGGTTGAAGCCTACTGTGGCAGGTTTGGATGGAGGAAGAGTTTGGGCCATTGTTAACTAGATCCGTGCGCTCATACTTGTGCCCAATCAATTTTACTTCATACAAAGCAAAATAGAGAACATAACTAAAATGATGGAGTCTTCTATGGGATTTTTTATTCTTAACCTTACTGTATCGCTGTCACTGATTGTCGAGGAAGGGATTTGAGGCTCGGAAAAGACCACGTAGAGGATTATTAAGCTTGACTACGAGGTAGCTAGGTACGCCTCAAATTCGACAAGAAGAATAATTTGAATCACTTCAAGACTCGTGACGTTGAAAGTTCTGAATAGATTCCCTTTCTCCAGGACAGTGTAAATTTAGTCATGATTAATGTGGTCTAAGTCATCGCCAAACCGACGAAAACCAATTATCCTAGTGAAATATACTCTAAGAGCGGATTCGCCTTAATAGCGAAAGTATTATAAACTTATTGTAGGAAATCTTGCAAGTTTTTTTTTCAAGAGTGTACCTTTTACCTATCTACGCCCGGCAGGACATACGCCCGGAGGGTACTCCGTAATAAGAATAGAATGGAGGAAGGAAATCCATGCGCAGTCCATGTAGGTATCGTTCCTGACTTCCCTATTCGACACGGGGATTTATGTCTCATTTTCTTTTCATGAATGCAGTTGGGGGTACCATGTTGCTTGGTTCAAAGCGATGTGTGTTTAGTGTGTTTATGTGGTCTCAATTGGAAATGGTCCGACGACATTGGTAGAGGAGAAGTAGGGAAGCAGGTTTGGCAGTCTATGATGGGATTTTCTACGCACTCGACCTCTCATGATGCTTCGGGGATAAACAATTGCAATATCCTTCATCAAGACGTTCTCCCCCGCTCTGGTCTCGGAAGAAATCACGGATATGACCCTCCGCGCGCATGCGTGGGGGTAAGCAAGCCGGAGGGTAGATATTACCTACACAATCACGACGGACTATCCATTACGACAGATTCTTCACATGGTCCAATCACGCCTGCAAAGTCGAGCTATCTTGGGCCGAGGTTCCATTCCCTACGCCGCCCTCGTATGCATGTATGTGCGTGATGGCGCGAGTGAGAAGCTCCCGCAGTGTCTCAGTTGGCCTTGTTCGTACTGAAGCCTGGCTGTGGCGTTCCTCCGATTCTGGTACGGAACAGGGGACGTTTTTCATGCGGCGAGACCAGGGCGTATGTATGTAGTGGTAAATTTTTCTTTTACAGGTACTTGTTCTGAGGCGAAGCGAAAATCTCGCTTGGGAAAATAGGTGTTGCATATGTGAGGTGTTTGTTTTTGGGAAGGATTTACGGGGATGGGATTTTTGGGACGAGGGTGAGGATGTTGCAGAGGCTGAGGATGCTGGAGAGGCTGAGAAGCGTGTAATGTACGGTAGGGTTGTCGGATCTTTTAGGCCTTTTGGGATGGATGATGTTGTTTGATGAAGACTACATAGTATGTTGCATGGTTAGGATTCGAGACGAGAGCCATTCATGGGAAATTGTTCAGCTGGAATCGGTGCCGGTCTGTAGAACTCAACCACCTGTTACATGCAGCGTGGGGTGCTGTATCTTTTGCATGTCTAGACTTTTCAATTGCAAGTGGACGTTGTACTTTGGTTATTGTAAAATTCATAGATCAATACCAAAGATTACATCTAAAACTGCCTTTCTATTTTGTCGACATTTGGAATAGATTTTACTATTAAGAAGGATTACGGCAGCCCCTCGATTTTATGCGCAACATTGGGAATAGATTTGGAGTGAACAATAGATCGTTATGGAATCACTTGTTCCCGATAGTTTGTTCCGCATGTTGTATCGATATTCAATGTCGCAAAAAAATCAATTACTCCTATTGAGGCACTGTTTGAAAAATCCCCCCTACAGAACAAATGCACAACTCAATGAAATTATATTGTATATATCAGAATAATACATGACTGAGTCAAGACATTCGTAGCGGCCATCCAAAGTAATGCCTCGGTGTAGTACCAGGTAAGGTCTACCATTCTACGAGTAGTAAACAGTCCATCGTTCTGATCAACGGTCTACCCAATGATTCTGATGGAAAGGGTCCTCGGCAATGCCTATTGGCCCAAGCAGATCTTTCACAACTCAACGCATCGCGCAATACCAATCTCATTGGACATGTTGCGACTTGCCAATCAATATCTCGATTTCTTTCCAACCAATATGAGATTCGCCGATAGAGCCGAACTCTAAAAAGTTTGACAGTAAACGTTTGTGAACATCGTTAAACGGGCCAGCGAAGTTCCGGGGCAGAGTCCTAACTGTCTAGAGTAACAGAACGTGCTGCTCACAATCTCGCGCGCCGCATCGCTTAGATTGGCATAGCAGCAAGGCCGGGAACTAAGCGAGGGACGACGTTTTTCACCGACGTGAGGCGCCTGGATTAAAATAGGATCAGGTTAGGATTTGCGCGATGTGGCGGGCTGAACGTTGGTGACCGACCCTGGGATGATTTGCACAACAGGCCCGAAACGTTCTGGGGAGGGGGCAACTGGGCAACTGGGGGGTTGGGCTTGGGCGTCTTCTGAGGCTGGCCTCTGCCGGTGGTGCCGTCGAGTCTCCTTGCGGTAAGTGTCTTACTCTGTCCAGCAGGACAGGGTGAGGCGAGTCGCGGTGGCCATTTTGGTCGGCGACGTAAAATGGATAGATGGTCTGCAGCTTCGCGAGGGTTCCGGCGCTGCCTTCTTTGGGAAATCCATGTCGCATCGCCATTTTCCCAAGATCTTCGGCCGAAGCAACAGTGAAGATCATGAAGAAATCGCAAGACGGTTGTATCTGAGTCAAGGGCTTCGCTAGGCCTGGGCACATTCGTCGTGGAAGATGGTGTCGCAAGGTCGTGTCGCAAAGTCGAGCCACGGCGCTCTGGGTCTTTGGTCGTGTCCACGTCGGACAACTTGAGCGAAGGTACGGTGTACATTGCAGCATATGGCTCGCAAGCTCAAGCAAATGTATCTGTACCTACGCACAGTAGACTTGCAAGTAGGCAAAGCTGGTTCAAATCCAAAGCAGTTTTGCGATTGTTTTCTGCGGATGCAGATAGATACCTTTGCTGCAAAACTGACTGTTTAACAACACATTTTGTCATCAGATGTACACTTCAATTTGGTGTAGTTCTAGTATCGCTTGCCATCTCTTCTGTAGAACAAATACATCTTGATTCTTTACATGTTCTCACCTTATCTTGCGACGAGTTCCCTGCGTGAAGCCCAGTTCATTCGAAGCCCATTCTATCGTATACGACGTCGATCCGCTTGAGGCCCCCATCATACAGCACAATAATAGCGACCGATATATTCAAACCTCCCTCTGGTCCATACCCACGTCTATATACATGCGAGCATGTAATTTCGAATCCGGTCGAGAACTCTAGGTGTATACAATATATGATTTTATGATTTGGCGGGTTGAATCGATGTCGACTGAGCGATTCTTTTGTCCTTTCAGAACGGAAAGGGCGAGGTCTGAAGTGAGCACCTTGATATTGCTCGACTTCACGTCTTTCTCCAAAGCTCGAGCGAGTATAATACAAGGCGGTCATGGGCTCTCCTGCTGGAGTGAGCAGTATGGGCTTCAGGATTTCGTCAGTGACAACGGTTGAGGCTTTCGTGATATCTGAAGCACTTTGTAACTATAAAGTGGCCATTCATTCTTCTTCTCTACTGTTTCTTAGATGGTAGCAATGTAGTATGTTTCTATAGCCGTCAGCACTGGATGTTCTTCGGACAGAGCCCAGGTCTTTGAGGTGTCATAGACACGTTGAGCGTCTTCAAAGACCGTAGATGACTTTTAAAAGTGAAGTCATCTTTTACATGTACACGTTCAAGCGATAAGCATCGACTACATTTTCTTCTTAAAGATTAAAGCATATTACAAACAACATTTGCATTCCCTCAAAGTGTGTGGTGCGTCTACGCTAAGGTTTGTCACTTCATCGGGGCCATATCGTGTAGGGTTACTTTCACTCAGAAGATTCTGCGGATTATCCGGTTCTGAAAAGAATTTTCCTAACTACATGTATGTGATCGGTAACAGATTTTTTTAGTTTCTATATAAAATATTGTGTTTAATACTTCATTTAGGGAAAGAAATTTACTTAATGGTGTAATTTCACTTTGGCTAATTCCATGCCGACTTGTCAAAGACGATGACACTTTCTCTTTCTACATCGAATTTCTTTGCATAATGCGTAAACAACTGTCGTTTCCAGCATAATCGTAGTTGAATATGAGCAACTCTTACAAAGATATGGTAACGAACAGTGGATAAAACATGGACCACTGCAACATTGCTTTGCTCCACGATGAAGAAGCAAAGTATGCATTTCTACCAAGCACTACACAAATACTTTCATACACAATTCAATCAGTCTACTTCCGAGAGGGGTTTCTACCATGAATACACATACGGAAAGCTTGGGAGAGAAAGAGGGTTCGATATGAATGAAAGGATGCTGTGGAATCGACTCTGATATTCGTAGCCTATGTATTCGTCTTTGATTCGGAACTTTTCATGATCAAGAGATAGTGAATGAAAGTTTATCTACTACTATTGACCTGCTTTGCGCAAACATAGACTCATCTTTGGTTGATTATGGTCCTGAAGTAATGGATACTTAGCGTTCAATATTGAATGCAACGCAATGACTTGGGAGTAGGAAGAAACAGGACTAAAAATGGACGTGGATGATGATATTACTAGATGTGTATACACAATAACTCATGCCCAATGCTCAACGGACCAATATCGTACAGTACCCTCACCAATTCTCTAGTTCTTTTACATTTCTTGTCATGAGCATTGTAGCTTGACGTCCTCTACACAGTGTTCATAACTCCTTGTTGTACATTCGTGTATACCTTGGATCGTACATCGTATGGCTACATATTTACAAAACGATACAATGAAATTCTCTACTACCACCCCGTCTCCTCTAACTCTTGCTTCGCGTCGAACACTCTATTCCAACCCTGAAAGAAACTCTTTCTGCACCTTATCTCCGGTCCTAGGCATGGTCCTGATTGCATCAACAGTTTTAGGAGCCAGTTTTTCAAGAGTCTCTCGTGGCCAGCCGCCTTGATCGGGATCATAGCCAATTCCGTTGTCTTGATCTCTTCGGGCCTTTGCGTATGACGCTGCAAGTACCACTAGGGTTCTGTACCTAGGCATGATGGTTTTCCTATCCACTTCAGCACGTCGGATGTCCATCCATGAGTACCCTCGGAGTTCTCTGCGCATGTAGTAAGGGCTCAGTCTTCGCCATCCCGGGAAAGCTGGAATGAGGTATGCCTCGCAGGTCGCAAAGGCTTCTAAGTTGTGTCCGCGCTGGGCGAGCGCCAGTATGAATTCGTTCCATGTAAGGTTATCGAGGATGTAGCCGCTTGTAAGGAGGGATCTTATGGTCCTTTGAGCCTGCTTGAAAGCTGCTTCAGTCTTTTGCATGAAAAGGCTTCGCATGTAAATGAGAGTGGCGCGGTGGAGAACGTGTCGGCGGCTGCGCGAAATGGTAGGATTCTCCATTTTGTCTCTGACAGCTGGGTCAAGCAAGGAGCTAAATTGCACAGTAGGACCTGCTGGCTCAACGACCTGAGCAAGGGTTTTGACGAGCTTGTCGGCCTGTCTGCGAGCTAGGTGGAAGCATTTAGCGACCTCATCATGTTCTCCAGCTCGAAGGTGTGCTTCCATGATTGCGACGAGTAGGCCAATTGGGGCTTCATATCCATTATCGTCTGTCTTTGCCATTGAAGCGGCCTCAAATAGCTCTTTGCAGATCTCGTAGGCACCACGAGTGTTATACAATAGGATCAAAAGCCCAAAATACCCATCTGGAACATTGTGTGCCCTTGAATCCACAAATCTTTGATGACGCGGCTCACGCCTAGCAACCTCAGATTCTGAGTCGTTGAGCAAAACTTCCCGCAATGATGTTTCCACCTCGATCAAACGCTCTCTCTTTTCACCGTCTTTCAGCTCGGCAAGCTTCTCAAGCTCCGCCATGCCTAGTGCATGCAGTGAAGAAAGTCGAGAGCTCGGCGTTTGTGGGACATTGCGTCCGATCATCCGTCGGTGAGCGTGCAGTGCTCGATGAAATTGTCGCTCTCGAATAAACCCAGCAATGACAAGGGAGTAGTGAAACGCATGGACTCGTATGTTGTTTTGTGGCATTGTTACACGGAGAATCTTGTATGCTGCATTTGTCTGCTTGACTTCAATCAGTGAACGCATGAGAGCACCATACGTCCACGTGTCTAGTGGTATCGATTTGTCGAGCATCTCTCGGTAAAGTCGTCGACTGGAGGGAACGTCACCCAGCAGTGCATGATGATTGATGAGCAGGTTCCATACATGGGTGAGATCCCCTTTCAGAGAACCAGCACGTTGTTCTTCAAGCATGGTACGAGCGATTATCTCTGCGCCTTCCGCGTCACCGGAAGACAAAGAGGCATGGACATAACCGGCCCTTGCCCTTATGTTTGTTCGTACAGGGACCTTAAGCTGCTCGGCTTTGGAATGAATTGACTCGAATGCCTCGACGTCGCCTCTTGCTGCACATAGGTCAAGTAGGGGACCAAATGTCTTCACATCTGGAGCAACGCCTGCGTCCAAGATACGGTTGAAACAGTCAATGGCCCCATCGAGGTCGTCCGCGCGTGCGTAGGCGAGAAGAAGAACGTTCCAACAGCCAACATCCGGTTCCAGTCCAAACTCTTGAGAGATGCGTTTGAATTGTGTTTCGGCACCCTGTACATCCGCTCGCCTTGCATATGCAAAAATCAGACTAGAGAGGCTCTTGAGTCCTTGGTCTGTCGATTGGAAGGGTAATGCATCGAAATACCGATGGACTTTGCTGACCTCTCCGTGCTCGGCATGAAACATCAAGAGATACCGGAGGATCTCTTTTGGCAGACGTTCATTGGGGTAGAAGATACTCGTATCATTGAGAAGGTTGTCTATTCCAGCAGATCTTGCAGTGTGACTACCGTGATGGCCGGCTTGCAATATCAACTTTCTTAGTAATTCCCAACTTGGCCGGTCTCGAGGATTAGTACTTGCGATGCACTTTTCCCGATACTGTTCGTACAATGCCATGAATACCTTTCGCTGATTTTTATACTCCCTGTATCGCGGAATGCTGAGGAATACTCCAATGGCATGTTTGTAAAGACGAGCGGAGGGAAGTCCAAGATTATCCAGCTTACTGAATAACCCAATGAAGTATTTCCAGATAAAATCTTCGTCTGCTCTATGAACGTCGAGTATTTGATTCATAGCCTCTGGCGCAAGGCCTTCCAACATGAAAGCAAGCGCATTTTGATTCTCTATAGTTGACGTCCATTCATGTCGATACTGCTCCACGTATTGAAGAAATGAGTCCAGGTGACCGCGAAGATATGGCAGCTCAGAGACGGTTCCCCATGCTAATTTGTGGTCGCCCCTTTTGCGAGATTGAGCGGAAAGCCAATGTCCGATATGGAACTTGCGATTCTGTGTGCATTGTAGGAATGCCTTGCATACGCGCATGCTGAGCTCCCATTTGTTCCTTTGCACGATACGCTGGAGTATTTGGTCGGTGCCGATATCGATGCTGACAGCTCGAGCTGCAGCCTCTTCTTGCAATTGCACCGCAGAACCAATGAGTTCAAGTGAAAGGTGAGCGGACACGGCAATTCGGTACGCTGTTCCCCCACGATGTTCTATAGGCAAGGCGTTGAAGATTTGCAACACGCGAGTTGCGTCAATCGAATCCTCTGCCGAGGCAAGGAAATCAAGAAGCTCCTTTTGTAAATGAGGGGCGCGGCTGCGCTCAGGAATGGCCGAGTACAATCGCCATGCCAAATCTTGCATCCCCTGCACCCCTGAAGATAGAAGCTCCCTGAGCGCGTCCGGTGCCGACAAGCGCAACATATTCTCCCTCATTCCCTCTTCCAGTTCATCTCCTGCCAAGTTTATTGCTTCCGCTACTGCTTCTTTCGATACCCATTGTGTGGTTGAGAAGTGGCGAATAGAATTCCTATGCGATTGGAGCTTCCGCCGAGAGCGGACCGTGTTCGAGTCAACCGTTGATATTCGTTTGAGCAATGCCAATGTCTTTGCTGGATATAAGAAATCGAATAGGAGCCCGCCGTCCGGCTGGGAGTGCCTGCCGTGTTTGCTAGGATCGTGATGGTCGACGTCACCATTTTCATAACCCAGCGTGGAAACGGCCGTCCACCAATTGGATACATTATGATCGCTCGGGCTATGATGCCAGATGGACGAGTGCAGCGGACGACGACTGGAGAGAGATCGATTCGATTTTCGCAAGAGCTGGCGCCCTCCGGTTTCGAGGCATGTCGAAGCCCGCTCAAGCATCACCCTCCGCGTTTGTAGCGGGATGCTTACCACCACGAATTACCGAAAATAGGAAATCTTCGAATGGTCTGAGAAGATTAGACAACTCCTCTTGCCTTACTCGAGTAAACTAGTGCGGAGCTTACAGCTTTGCATGCCTCCTAAGTATTCGTGCTCAATGTTCAGGACCAATTGGCGTTATCTCGTGATTGGTAAAGCTGATATGATCGGAAAAGTGTCCAATAATACAAAAAAGAAAGAAAATCAATTGGCAGATGGACGAGTCCGCATGACAACGTTAATTCAATGAGATCAAAACTTTTAGATGTAGGATCACGAGAGAATATACCGGCCGGAGTAACTTTACGCCGCCAATGTTCGAGCCCCGCCAACGTCAACCCACAACTTGACCTCCACCCAAGGTTCCCCAGGCGCAATGGACATCACCAAATTCGTTTCAGGGTATCGGGAAACCGCTTTCCTCCTAGGGGACTATGCTACCTACAGAGCGCAGCTTTCCAGGCGATTGCGTATTGTACGGAAGAAATTAGGCCGGGCGACACATAAAAATGCGAAGTATTCCGCAAAGGCGCCCGTTACAGCCGAGGAGATTGCGAAGAACATTGAGTACGACCCATTTGACATTACGTGTTCATTCAGAGGCTAATTGTACAATTAGGTTCTTGCATCTGTTACTTCTTACATCAGAGCGAGCATGGGCGCACGCGATGCTCATGAAAACCGCACACTCGGAAGATAATGCAGACAAGAACATTACTGGCTCGACACGACAGCACATCATCTCGCGACTGAACAAGGCCGTCAAAACAGCAGAGGAGATTGTTACACTAGTTTCTAATGCATCAGCCAGCGGAGCAACGGATATCGATATATTGGAAGCCAGAGCATACTATTATTCGCTAGCTGGTGCCGAGCAGTTTGAAAAACAGGCAGAGGGCATTAAAGGCAGCAATGCTCCCTCTGATCGCTGGACGGCTTGCTTGAAACATTACTCTGCTGCTCGGGTCATCTACAGCGCGCTCCTGAAACATACGAAGCAAGATCTTTTCAAAGAAGTTCTTGCGGGCACTACCGATCCTAGCATTCGATACGCCGCATATCAACACCGCATTCCTCGTACTGTCGGCGTTCCCGCCGTTTCGAGAAAGTTTTTCCCCAAAGATGATGGTGATCTGGTCAAAGCTGTCGAGAGTGTGGATCCTCAGGCACTGCAAGAGGAGGAGGCAAGCCCACAGGGTATGTATAAACATCATCTCAATGAATGACAATCTCTAAACTCTGCAGGTTCTACAATCACATGGCGCAATCGAAATGCCAATATAGTAGATGCCGCTATCGGACAAGCCCTGGTCGCTGTTGACACAGCTTCTCAGAACCTTGATACCCTCACGGAATCAGCATCCCCGAAAGACAAATCGGCTGCTTACGACGACGTTCTCATTGCAAGTCAAGATGCCGTGGATGCAACAAGACGAGCTATCGAAGAGTTGGAAAAGGAGGGCGTCGACGAAGGCGACTCGCGGATGCAGGATCTCCGCGTAACAAGCCTCGCAGTCAACTACGACTTGATCGCGTGGCGTGTTGGGCGCAACAGAGTACTCATCGGCTCCGACGATGGAATTTCGTTTTCGAAGGGCGTGCAGCACAAACCACGACGACCGCGTAAAGACGGGAAGGAATGGAGCGAGCAGGAAGAACCAACTGGTCGCAAGTTGGCTAGGCTCCGGGAGCGTGTTGCGCTGTACGATGCTATCCTGCAAAGTATAGACTCAGTCAAGGAGTTGAGGGGTGCCGTTCGCGATGCCGGCTTCATCGCTGAGCTCGATGGCCAACGTGCATATTTCCAGGCCCTGAAGTGCCTGAATCTCTCACATTCCCATGCTTTCTTGGCCGCCCCCAAGCAAGCACTAGCACTCAGCAACCGCGCCCTCACTCTAGCATCGCAGGCTGTGTCTGCACCGCGACCGGCGCCGACATCCTCCAAGGCATCCAAACTCGCAGTGTCCGAGCAACAGGCACAAACCCTGAAGGAGAACCTCACCAAACTGACATCCCATTATCGCGGTGTCGTCGCGCTGGGTCTTGTCTCTGGCACCTCCGACGCCGCAGCCAAATCCAAATCCGTCTCCGCACCAGTCGTCGAACGTCTCAACGAGTACCCTGCATCCGGCACCGTGGACGTCAATAACCTCGTATCATGGCCTCCGAAGCTCAAGCCCGTGCCGGTCAAACCACTCTTCTACGACGTGGCGTGGAATTTCATCGAGTACCCCGGTCGCAGCGCTGCGGCACCCGAACCAGAGCCCGAAAAGATGGAAGTCGACGAGAAGAAGGAGGAGCCACCGAAAGCTGCGAAGAAGGGCTGGTTTGGATTCGGTCGGTAGAACCGATAATTGTCTTCTCAGCCAGACACGTATTAGAAGAAGCTTAGGTGCCTTGCTTGTGCGTCAATGGTTCATACGCCGCGTCGCAGAGGTTTAAATACAAATACATTCTAGATACGTTGTAGCTTACTCCACGTAGTAGCTTAAAAACATCTAATAGCCATATAACGTATATGTGATGATGATGTTAGTGAATAAAATATCTCTACAATGACAGTCACTCAAAATCCTATACATGTGAACCAGCACTAGAGTGTCAATCCACACGAGTCATCTCCATGCTTCAGTAGTAAGATACTTCACGAAACATGAACGGGTATGACGTTTAAAATGCTTGCATTGCTATATGATATGTTCCGAAAAGACCCAAAACCCCAGATTAGGACGTGTGCAGAGAGCTGCAAATGATGGTATACAGCGACTAAAACGACAAGATGACAAACAATGAGGAAACAAGAAAAAAAGGGAAAATGGAGTTAAAAATACACGTTTCGAGCGATTTTTCAGCCGAATGATGCATGCATGTATGTTTCTTCCTCTCTAACTATCTAGTAGTCGAATCGGTCGGGCAGCAGAAGCGGGGCGACTAGACTCCACGTGTAAATGCCGTAGCACACCCAGGCGCTGATGATCTTCGCCCAGCTGGCCCAGTACGTCCTGCCAACGGGCACGAAGTCGTTCTGCATGTCGTTCTCGTCGAAGTTGGATGTGAGGAGGGTGGCGACCCAGGTGGTGCCGAGGAAGAAGATGATGTGGAAGAGGGTGTAGTTGTATTGGGTGGCGTTGCGTTCGTCGTCACGGGGGTTCTTGGAGGGACCCTCGTCTTCGTCTTCGCTGTCCGAGTCGTCGAGAGCAGAGGCTGGGAGGGAGCCGCTTTCGACGGCAGCGCGGAGGGCGGCCTGGCGCATCTCGCGGCGGGACTCGGGTTGCGTGTCGACGAGGCCGTGCTCGTTGTCATCGGTACCAACGCGGGCGTAACCGTTGCCATAGGAATTGCCTTGGGATCCTAGGGCAAGGCCGTAGGTAGCAGCACGGGTAGTGGTGTATGCTACAGTGACGAAAGTGACGATAGCTCCAACAATGATTGTAGCCTTGCGGGTACCGCGAGCTCGGATGAGGGGGTTGCATTGATGGTCGTCGGGCTCCATGCCGACAGCAGAGAGGGTCAAGTATGTGCAGTAAATTGCAACGATGGCAGATTGCGCCAATCCAGCTCGAGGATTTACATTCTGTACTGCTGGATGAATCGAGACAACCGAAGACATGAAGAGGAGCAATAAGTTGATCTAGGCCGGACGTTAGCGTGAAATTCCAGATGTACCCGCAAGAAACGTACCGTGATTGCTGCCTGGTTCATACCACATCCGCTCTTAGCAAAGAAAATGTACATAACGATTGTCATAGCGAACGAGGCCAAGTACATGAACAAGGCCGATCCGACGAGAAGCCCGGTCCAAACTCTAGACTCGGTGACCTCTATCTTCTCTTGGCAATACTCGGCCCAGTTGTGCGCAAGGTCAACGAGAAGAATAAGTCCGATCAAAAGGAACAGACAGGCGCCGATCATCGCGAAATAGTTGCCCCAGACGATGAAGAATGAATTCGGAATGAAGAAGGTGAGGACGATCATGGCGAGCCACGCAATGATCTTCGGGGCCCAAAATCCATTCTGAATAGGCGCGCGACCATCCTTTGAAGACCGAACGCCAACAAGTATCAGAGCCATGATAACGTGGAAGAGGCCGAGCGCGAAATTGATCCTTTGTACAGCGACATATCCGTAACACTGTTCACCGTGGCACTTGATGTCTACGTAGTCGAGTGTGAGATGCGACAGCTTCTTCATCGCCCAGTCGGTGAGCATGATCCAGGATACGATCGAGTTGAACAGGAGTATAAGGGCGTATGCGATTCTGGTCGCGATGCTGTTGCCGCATTTTCCACCACACGATCCGAAGACTGCGCTGCAGGTAGCAGCTCCGCAGCACGAGGCGGCGACACCCCATAACTAGGTCACTGTTAGCCGATCCTCAAGTTGGCGCATACAAACGGAACATACAGAGCCTATGCTCGGGAGAGCGAGAAACGGGATTGAGAGTGCGGCACCCATGATCGCAGGTTGTGAGGATGGTGTTGTCGTCGTGATCGTGGTGGCTGCGCGGCAATCATGTTGCCAGGCACGGTGACGTTGGCTTAGTCAAGTGCCAAGCGGTTCTCCAACCACCAGTTATGTTAACGTTAGGCACGCAGTGAGGGAGATTTCTGGAGATGGTTGCTTTTATTAGTGATTGATTGTTACATAGATAATGATATTTCTGGATTTCCACGACTTAAGTGTTAAGCACAGAGTGATATAAACTGGCTCGACGTTAAACTGGTATTTAAAGTATCCAGGTACCTAGGTACCTATTGTAAGTCAAATCTGTCAACAATTCATTGTGTTCTTTTAACCAAATGTATAAGCAGCGTTTTATCCTTTTTCAACTGAGAGCCATGCAAGCCCGCCAGCAAAATAAAAGTCCAGCATTCCCCCTAGGTATTTGTGTAACCAAAGAGCAAAAAAACCAAAAAAATGGGCTGAACCGGGGATTGAACCCGGGGCCTCTCGCAGTTGTGGTGTAGAACCCAAAGCGAGAATCATACCGCTAGACCATTCAGCCGATGATGGTTTGTTTTGATTGATGATTAATTTGTAAATTAGATATTATAAGTGTGTGAGCTGACATGTTCATACTATGTAGCATCTCAGCTGTGAATGCCATTCTCGGGGCTATCGTGAAAGGGTGACGCACGTTCCTGGCGCCAAGGGCCGGCTTATCTCGAGTATCGCTCCCCTCCGCAATGGTTTCATCCGGATTCCCATTAGACGTCCTTTTGTTTGAATCTTCAATCTTCAATCACTCTTTTCCTCCTCTGTCCTTTTCTTTCGCCTAGTTGATCTTCATTACTGTATTCGAGGTCGATCGTCTTCTTGTTTAACCATTCCCTTTAGGGCGTCCTATCCATTCGGCTCACCATTGCCGGAACGTCTCCGCTCGAACCTCCACATGTACACGCAACCCTAAAGTCCCCAACGCTCCTGCAGAGCAGACGTTCAGAATGTCGGAGAAGCCCACACACTTTAAGACACGGATTGTATCCGTTGTTGCTGCAACTACAATTGCTCTAGCCTGTGGAACAAATGTTTGTCCTTCTGTCAATGTTACTCGGATACCACGGCTTACTCTCCATAGTACGCGTACTCAGCATGGGCACCTCAGTTCGCCGAGAAGTTGCAGCTGTCCACGACGCAATCCAATGTCATTGTACGCACCGAAATGTCTTCGATATGAATAGTTACTCACTGGTCGTAGGGTACTGCAGCCAATCTCGGCATGTATGCGGTCGGCATACCGATGGGAATTATAACGGATAGGAAAAGCCCTCGACTTGCAGCTATAATAGGCATGTTTGCGCTTGGACTGGGATACTATCCAATTCGCAGTGGTAAGGTCACTCTTGGATGAAATCTGGAATCTCGTCTGATCTCGGATAGCATATGACCAAGGTGTTGGCTCCATGAGCGTATCTCTCATCTCCTTCTGCTCGTTCCTCACCGGCGTCGGAAGCTGCGCAGCTTTCCAAGGTGCTTTGAAGACTGGTACGATCTCTTCCTATCCCTTGCAAGTCCTGTCTCTGACAAACACAGCAACACTGAACTGGCCGACACACCGCGGGACGGCGACGGCATTTCCATTGGCTGCATTCGGTTTGAGCGCCTTCTTCTTCACTCTCATAGCCGGCATCGCATTTCCGGGCGATACATCGGGATTTCTTCTGTTACTTTCCATAGCGACATCCGCCATTGTTCTCGTTTCGATACCATTTCTTCATGTGGTCGACCACCACTCGCCTTCTAGCTATGCGGCTCTTCCCACGAGCGAGCGTACGCGGCGTGACTCCAATGTCATGCATAGACACAAGCCTACCGCCGGTAGCGGCACATTTAGTAGATCGGCGGTGCTTGAGCCCGAACCAAGTAAGCCTAACCTTTTTTCCTTTCACTATCTCTTTTGTTTCTGTCATGCGCTCCTTGTCAACTGCCAACACTCTAGGTGCAGACAATGACGAACAGGATGGTGACTCCGAAACTTCTTCGCTTTTGTCGGGACCCGGGGATATCATTGATGGACCTGCGGCGGACGACAACCGAAGCCAATCGACAACGCGCTCACATTGGTTAGATATCACTGGCTTTGATTTGCTTTCTAAGACCGAGTTCTGGCAGCTGTGGATCCTCATGGGGCTATTGACCGGCGTAGGATTGATGACCATCAACAACATTGGTCACGATGTCCAAGCGCTATGGAACCACTATGATGAATCGGTAGACAAGGACTTTGTCGCGCATCGTCAGCTCATGCATGTTTCCATTATTTCCATCTTCAGCTTCATTGGACGCCTCACCTCGGGAATAGGCTCAGACATCATTGTGAAAAAACTCCACATGTCGAGGTATTGGTGTGCGGCGATCAGTGCAACAGTCTTTATGCTGGGACAGATTTGCGCCATCAATATCGAGGACCCCCATTATCTCTGGACACTGTCCGCTCTGAACGGACTTGCGTACGGAATCCTCTTCGGTGCGCTGCCAGCACTGGTTGTGGATAGCTTTGGACCTCAGGGGTTCGCGGTCAATTGGGGAGTCATGACACTTGCGCCTGTCGTCAGCGGAAACATATACAATCTGTTTTACGGAGCTGTGTATGATTCCCATTCCGGCGTACAGCGTGGAGGAGAGCGGAGCTGCGACAAAGGCGCAGTTTGCTATCGCGCCGCTTACTACGTCACATTCGTGTCGAGCATATTGGGAATTCTGGCATGCTTCTGGGGCATCCGACACGAGCACGTGTTGAAGCGGAAAGCTGAGGAAGAGCACGAGGGACACCGCGATGCTTAACTGCCGAACAATATGATATCCCCATTGTTTGTCAAACCTTCATTATCGGTAGATTAATATTTTCCTCTTTCATTTTCTTTCCATTTCTGAATTGCTACCAAGCGGACATTGTATACCTCATAGACTTATCTTGGGAAAGCGTCTTTCATCTGGGGCGTTACGGCTACGCATCCTTGGTGCATGCATAGTAGAACCATAGAATCAACCAATACTATAATATCGGACATTTTCTATTACTCCTACGCGCGAATCCTGCCGCAAGCGGTGAATTGAAAGGGCGATATCCCAAGGGTATTCTGCATAATCAGGATTAGCGCCTGGTTGGACAACCTCTGTGCCTCTGTACCAACATCCCCGGTAGTTACCTAGGTTGGGGGTTAGAATCGATAAAGTACCCCGCCGAACAAGTGATCTCCCAACATGAGGGCTGATCATTGCAGTATTATTCTTTGTATGCTCATGTGAGCCAGTAAACCAAAGGCACATGAATCAGGTGCAACCTGACCTGGACTGGACTGGACTGGAATACTCGTGGTTACTCGTAGCCTGTAGGTATTAGGTGGCGAAGCTGTGGCGTACTTCAAGTGCCATTACGAAGCTCTCCACTCCACCACCTCCATCTTCCGTCGGACCATCCCATCTTACCCGCGCCTCTTTCTCCTCTCCTCTCCTCTGGTACAGCCTTCAGGCTACAGTACTCTATAATCCTTTCTCCTTCCTTACTACCTCCTCACCTTTTCCTACCTACAGCATTTCTATCCCTTCTGCCTGCAACATCCCACCTTTCTACAGATCCATTCACGAAACGAAACCGTTCAATCAATCATGCCTGCGCCACTGGCCAAAGGTAAGTAACAGCACTATTACACCACATCTCCAAGCATTCGCGCATAGCTATTCATTCCATGCCGTGTACCCTTCCTTCATTCCACGAGCACATTTCTCTCTTTCCCATTCCCTGGAAATCCCATCCACTTTACTATCGTCCTCCATGTATCTTCTTCTCTTTCACCAACCTGCTTGCAGGACCTGGTCCTTGTCCTTATCCTCGCCCTCGCCATCCCTCTCCGCACTCTCCGCACCACCACCGAAGCGCTCCCCCGCGCCACCGCCCACTGGCACCTAACGCACCCCTCACCACAGGCCTCATAATCGCCGCGTCCGTCATCGTCGCAGCCGGCATCGCCATCTACGAGTCACCGCAAGTCCGCCAATGGGTCGACCAGTACCGCCGCAAGATCGCAGTGGCGCTCCACTCGCTCGGCGACGAGATCCAGCCTCGCCGCGGGTCCGAAAGCTCACAGGACTACGAGGAACGCAAGAAGAGGAGGGATGAGATCGTCAGGCGGAACAGGAATGAGTTGATCCAGAAAGCGCGAGCGGAGGGCGTTGCGGTGGACCTGGACGAGCTGGCGAAGATTGGAGTGGAAGAGTTGGAGCTTGCGGAGCGGCGACATGCTACGGCGAGGGGCCGGACGAATAGCCAGAAGTCCTTCGACGATCTTGTGGGTAGCGATGGGAAGCTCAAGAAAGAGGGCGATACCGCGGAAAAGTCTACTGGATTGGAGGCCAAAGAGGATTCGAACCTTCGACGCCGTGGCGTTACGGGTTTCGCTGCTGGAGCTGCTGCTGGTCTTGCCATGTCAAACCCCTTCGACGATGACGCTCAGGTTCTATTCGATCACGAGACCGAAGACGAGGCTCCCTCACCGAAACCGTTTACGTATATCGAATCCCGCGAGAGCTCTGCAACAGTTGAAGGCGATGCCACACCCTCTGTCCCCGCCCCCGTAGACTCAACACCCGCCCTAATCGACCTCACCTCCGACCCAGAGGCATCATCAATCCACCCAGAGAACCCCCAAACCGCCTCAATCCCCCAGTCCGAAGCCGACGACGAAGCAGAGCGAGCCGCCCAATCCTTCTACTCCTTCACCTCCGCCTCCTCAACCCACGAATTCGCCGTCCCTAACGCCCCAACCTCCCCAGCAGCAGCACCAGTCACCGCCTACGACTCCGACTCCGACCCAGAAAACATCTCCACCGGCACCCTAACCCCCCGCTCCGAACGCTCCTTCACGACCGGCGCCTCCGCCTCCGCAGTGCCCCCGCACGCAGACGACATCGCGATCCTCTCCATGCAGAACGACTCCGACCACGACGCGCGCTCGGAAGTCTTCTCCGAGGGCGGCTTCACAGACGCAGGGTTCTCGGAAGCCGGGTTCAGCGAGCTGGGCGAGGGACGCCAGGGCATACTGACGCCGAGCAGCTGGACGGACGTGGGGAGCGATGATGAGAGTGAGTGGGGTGGGCCCGCGGGCCAGCATGGCCATGTCTCGCAGATTCATCAGTAGTTCCGCTTCCCGCTTCTTCATCCTTGCGCCGCCCTTTATATCGTTCTTCTCTTCCTCTCCGTTTGTTTGACTGGGTGGAGTAGACAAAAGGGACGCACGCACACGGAAAATCTCACATCTTGCATTAGTCTGACAACATCATCAAAAACGGCTGTTCGGTATAGGGGCTCGGCGTAGCTTTCTTCCACCGGCATGGTCTCTTTCGTCTCTAGGGAATCAATCGGAGTGTTATGGAGGAAACAAGGGCGTTTTGTTTCTTATTTTTCCTTTGGGTTGGGGGTGTTATGGGTGGGAATTACACAATGGGATACCGTATACCTCATCAGGGCTTTTTGTAGGGAATGGAATGGAAATTTTACTGGAGTTTAAAGACATACATACATGCTTTACAAGTACAAATGTAGATGCAGATGCAGACGCGATCACATAGGGTTTTCTGCGGCTACGAGCGCCAACTGTGATGGGCTGTTTGTCTTTGTGAGAGTGGTTATTGATTTTTATTCATTTATCATCGTCTTTTGTGACATCTATCATTGCTGGGATTGTTGGTGACCTTGCCATACCATATCGCACCCATCCCACACCACATGAAGTACACATCCAATCCCCTCCCCAAAACAGCCAAAAATCCCCAGGGTATAACGACTTCTCCACCTCCGCCTCTCAAATCGACCGCCCAGCGCAATCCCCCCATCAACCCCCCCTAACCCCAATAATCCCCCTCTCCACCTTCTCCACCAACCCCTCCCGCACAGCCCCCGCCTCCCTCCTCTTCTCCTCCACGCCCTCCAACTCCCCCTGCAGCGCCTCCATCCTCTCCCTCTGCTCCTTCTCACTAATCCCCATGCCCGGCAGCGCGTCGAACAGTATCTCGAGCTGCTGCTCTTTCGTCACGATGTCTTGCGCGAACTCGGCGATCTGGTGTGTGAATTCTGCCTTTGATGTCGTGGGGGGGTTGGCGGGATTGGTGTTGGGGTCGGGTTGCGAGGGGTCGGAGGCGAGGGGGGGGAGGGTGGGTTGTCCTGTTATTGGGGCGGAGGGGGAGGAGGTTTGGATGTAGCGGAGGGTTATGAACATTTGGTTTAGGAGCTGGGAGGTGAGGTGGTTAGTTTGAGGTTGTGTTGGGAGGAGGGGAGGAGGGGAGGGGAGGTACCATGTCGAGCTCGTCTTGGATTTGGGTGAGGATGTCGCCCATTGTTGTGTTGTGGAGGTTGTATCAGGGTGGAGAGCTGATAGTGTTTCGGGATTGTGTAGTTGTGGATGTGATCGTAGATATGGCTTTGAAGTAATTGAAGGTACTGTGTAAGGTGGATGTGGTTGTTGTAGATGGGATGAATGTTAATTGAAGAGTCCAAGCTTGGTAGGGCTGAACGGAGTGGAGCCGAGGCTAATCCCAGTCAAGTAATTAGTGTCGTTTGCTCACTTCGCGTCGTATCATAATTATCTTACGCGACTTGGGACAACTGGAACCTCATTATACGTAATTCCTTGGATACCTACGAATACCTCACGATTTTCTTTGATTAGTTGCTCGTTGTTATTTCCTTGTACATAGATTATGTCCCTGCCGTGCCAATGATCGCCCAATTCCTATCATGCGGCCCGTTGTTCTCCCATGTCTCAACCCCTCAACCTCACACCTCAATACCGCTCCCATTCTCTCTCATAGCATATCCCACTACCATGGCTACCCACGGCCAAGAATCGCAAGAAGAAGACCAATAACAACATCGGCCACCTCAGCTAGAGTCCACTCTGGCCCTAAACCCATCACCAACCTCCCCAAACTCATCGTCTCCCCAGGCTCCCAACACCACAACTCTCTCCCGACCTTCCTCGAATACGCCTCGCGCGTCAACCTCGCACCAGATCGCACCGTTTACGTAGGCACGCACTATGAATACATCGCCGCATTATCGCTCCTCCGCCTCGGCTTCTCGCTGCTTCGCACGGGCAAGAAATCCGACGCAGGCATCGACCTCATCGGACACTGGATCCTGCCACAGCTTCACGAACCCATCCCCGTCGTCATACAGTGCAAGGCGAGGAAAGAGATGAGCTGTGCACCGCGACATATTCGCGAGCTGGAGGGTGCGTTTCGCGGAGTGCCGTCCGCGTGGAGGAGAAATACGTCCGTGCTGGGGCTGCTGGTCACAACGCAGAATGCGACCCGGGGGGTTCTGCAGGCGTTGGGTGCTAGTGCGAGACCGATGGGGTTCCTGAAGGTGACAAAGACGGGGATGGTGGAGCAGTTTCTTTGGAATCGGGCGGCGGGGGAGAGGGGGTTGGAGGGCTTGGGTGTTACGTTGAGGTATACGCCTAAGGTGTTAGTGGAGGAGAAGGAGAAGGAGGTCACGGAGCAAGGGGGCGAAGGGAACAACTGGGAGCTTCCCAAGGAGATGAAGAGGAGTAGGAAAGAGTGGTACAAGGATACCGGGACTATGAAGGATATCGTGTTGACGTGGATGGGGGAGCCGATATTTCCTGAGAGGGAGCGCTTAAGTGAGGAAACGTGTCAGTTGGTTGATACGCTGGGTCTGGATGAGGACTTGGAAGTCGAAGAGAGGCTACCACGGAAGAGGAAGACGGCTGTCAAGGCCACAGCGGCAAAGAAGGTCGTGAGGGAGAGAAAGTCGACGAAGGAAAGTACGACCAAGAAGGTTGGGACGAAGTCAGTAACGAAGACCGTCACAAAGAAGGCTGCAACGAAGACCGCAACGAAACAGGCAACAAAGACCGGCACGAAGAAGGCTGGAGCGAGCGCAGTCACGAAGAAAAAGACAACCACCGGAAAATCATCGAGTCGGACAACCTCAAATCCGGTGACGGCAAAGCAGGTACCCAAAACCTCATCATCCTCGACCAAAGCAATAGAACTAGCACAAGGAGTGACCAAACGGAGAGGCCGACCGCCCGGCTCCAAGAACAAGAAGACGTTAGAGTTACTCGCCTCACAGGAACAACCGCCATCGTCAGATCGTCGTCCTTGAGATCCTACGCGAAGCAAATCCATTGCTATATCACTCTCTGCACTCAGACGAAGGGCACATCGTCTTCCCAACAAAAGGTTGAAGACAACATACCCGAAGAGAAAGATACAATTCATATGATACCCAATTTATAGAAAAACTAAACTTCTTAACTAGTCTATATCACGTCCTCAACACTTTGATCAATATCCGTTCCAACAAAACCAATGGAACGATGGTGCTGTGAAGTTCTCAACACTTCAATGTGACATGCTGCCGTACGGCTTGGGGTATAAGTAGGCAGCAAATCCCGCCCCATAATAGATCTGTGTCTTCAATTTCAACTACTCGACGGGTACAACGATCGATCACAGACTCAATACACCAAGGACACACACACGAACTCAGTACGTCGAAGACACACAGACTGAGTACACACTCACACACTCCAGTACATCAAATACCAACGCACTCGGGACCCCACAAACCAAAAGTGCTTCACAGTCATCACCATCGCGATACAGCACACCGAGGCACCTCACGATCGCCCACGAACCCCAGGAGACCACCAAAGAGACCACCGAAGCCATCAATCCCGACCACGACCAAATCCAATAAGCCATAACCATCCACCCAAACACCGACTACCACACAAACGTCGCTATCCATTCAACAACTTTCCCTCTCATATTAGCCACCATATTGACCCAATGCTTCGACCGTCCCCTTGGTACCCCAGGAAGTTCCTATATACCCATGTCGTCAGACCTAACTACGCTACGCCACGCTCCCTTATCCACGGGCGCAAGGCTAGCTCTAGCTCCTATAAAACGTTTATAGGAGTACCTATTCAAGATTAATATAGAAGATCTACTAATAACCTAACTATACTATACTATACTTCCTTATCTATAGGTATAAGGCTAGCTCTAGCTTATATATAACATTTATAGGAGTACCTATCTAAGATTAATGCAGAAGATCTACTAATAACCTAACTATACTATGCTACGCTCCCTTGTCTATAGGCGCAAGGCTAGCTCCAGCTCATACATAACGTTCATGGGAGTACCTGTCCGAGATCGACGCGGAAGATCCACCGACATGAACCAGCTCTTCAACAACGTCCACCCGATCTACCGGGTGTACGCAGCCCGCCTGATCTTCTTCCGCGGCTGGAGCCTCCAGCGCGCGATCCGCACCGCCTGCCGCCGGGAACACACTGTCGAGAGGCAGTGGAACCTGCTGAGCGACGGGGAACGCGGGGAAGCTGAGCGCTGGAGCCGGTGTGACGGGTGTGAGCGGGAGGGGGACTACGATAGCTGTTCTTGTGGGAGCGAGAGTGACGACTCGAGTGACAGCGAGATCAGGGCTGTCGAAGAGATGAGCGACGTTGATGGGATGGCGGTTGCCATCGTCGATGCGGTGCTGGATGCCATCGAGGATGGGTCGCTGGGTGGTGAATGGGAGGCGGCGGACGATGGAGTCAGGGAGGAGGCGGAGCGGGCGGTCATGAGGATGGTGGTGAGGAGGGCGATGGAGACTTGGGTGGGTGAGCCTGAGTGTTAGGTGAGGGGATGGGGAGGAGACTGAGGCTGGGAGGGTGGTGGGTTTTGGGTTTTAATGGAGTTACTGTATTGCATTTGAAAGGAGTTGCTGTTTTAGTCCCGAAGATACCATGCATCGGGTTTGCAAGGAGTTCGTGGTTTTAGTTCTGACGAACCATTAATCAATCAATTCTGACATCAAGTCTTCAGTTAGTCCGCGAGTTCATAGATCAAATCTGATCAGATTTCATGAGTTGGATTTGAATTGCTTTCATCTAACTCGCTTTCGAAAGGAGTTATGCGTGCCGTTTTGTGATATGAGGTCATGTGTTGTTCTTCGAAAATGGGAAAGAGTATAGTTTTGGAAAATCGATCATTTGCTTATGCGGAAACCAAGGTCATATATTACTTTTGATGAGAGCATTTCGTGGATTGTCTTGGAACAAATTGTCACGAGGAAAGGAAGGGAATAAAAGAATAGAGAGAAAGGAGAAGATCATTTGAATATAAAAAAGCATCAAACAAAAAAGCATTCAGTCTAAAGAACAGGCATAAGAACATCATCCAACCACCTTCCCACCCCTTCAACCACCATATCCTCCTCCCCATCCTCATCACCCATACTGACATCCCCGTCACCCGAAGCCCCCACGACGCCCAGTTCGCGCGCTAACTCACAGAACAGAACCCACACCTCATGATCCGTGCCCTCTCGCACCAGCGTCCTCAGTCCACCCCTGACATCATCTCCCAAACCCCTTTCAAGGACATCAGCGTCCACGTGCGCGAGACTGGGATTCCACCTCCCGACGTCGGGATCGACGTCCCGCTTCTTGATGATCTTGCCGTCGTCAGACTGGTCGCCCTCTGCGTTGTTCATGAGCATGGCGAACATGTGTGCGCTGCCGTTGGGGCGGGTGGTGATGTGCGAAGCGTCGTAGACGCGGGCCTCCTTGTTGGTGATGATGTTCTGGAGGAAGCGGAGGAGTTTGAGGGCTTGCGGGGTGAGGATGGAGAAGGTGGTTGCGGTGCCGTCGGAGGAGGTGCCGATGATGTCGTCGGCGATTATGCCGGTGATTTGTTGGGTGGCGGTGCTTGTGGGGGTGAAGGGACGGCGCCAGGGTGGGCGGATGGCGCCGCGGGCGAGCCGCGTTATGCTTCGCGGGAGACGGGCTTCGAAGAGGGTTGTGGTGGAGTTCTTGAAGGTGCGGTGGGTTGGGTAGAGGAGCCCGGCGACGCTGCATTTCTTGTCGGAGACGAGGACGATGCTGTTGGGGTCGGGGGAAGGTTGGGATTGCTCTGGGTCGGTTGGGTGCGCTGGGAGAGGTGATAGGTTGAGGTCCATCTGTAAGTGATGTGCAGCGTCTCTCTGGCGGCTGTCTGAGAAGACCTTCTCGAAGGCAAGAGGGAGAACACAGCCTTGAGATGATACGACTGCAAAGCAGATGTGGGAATGTAGGGCCGTGGATACGTAGATGTGAGAATTGGAAACGGAGACGTGGATTCCAGCCGATGGCAGTTCTATCTCTGCACGTTTTGCCCATCTGAGGTTGTTGTTAGTATCTGTGCCAAAGAATGATATTGTCCCATGTACCGTGAATTCTCAATCTCGAACTCCTCCAGCATCATCGTAGTGCCAACAACCGTGATAAGATCTGCACGATCTTTCACATGCATGAGTGCAAGACACCGCACAGGCGAATTGTACGTCTTCTCCTTCTTCAGTTTGAACTTGTTATCATCCTTGCTGATTTGAAAGAACAACCGGCGTCCAATTTCGCGCCCTGGGCCTTTCATTACCCCAGTTCCAACGTAGAGGAAGTGGTGAGGTCTATCTCTGGAGTCTTGAACGATCCAATCTAGAATAGTGTACACCCTCTCGTAATTTTGAAGGGTAATCTGAGAGCAAATGTTGCTGACGATCGCCTCCTCCTCCTCATCCTTGGCCTCTTGTTTTATGCCTTCTTTCCCTTTAGGTTCTTCTTTGATGACAGGGTTATCAGCAACATTCATCAATTTAAGAGTTGAGTGCATTGTTCGATATCCATTTGGTGGCGCACGTATCTCTTTCATTTCGGTGGTAGCAACAACAAGCTTGCGCTTGTTTTCGGTGTAAACTACCTTTGTAGGCGTTGCTGTGGTAGCCGTTCTCATTGGGACTGTTTTCGATTGCTCCAAACCAAGTATCGAGTGGGAACTTTGGGTTGAACGAACAGTATCGTAATCCAGCCGAGCGTAAAGTAATCGATCACCAGAAACGGCGAACATGAACCCTCCAATGCCATTTCCGTCGACGCTTTGTTGATAAAAGGGTACTTGATCGAAAGCCGAGACCGGACCCTGATGGAATTGCTCGTCGCTGTTTTGTCTGAACCAGACGGAACTAATGTCCAACTTTCTAGACGATGATGGAAGGCTAACACGGCAGAAGTCGACCCCGCACGACGCAAAAGCGCACAACTTATCTGTCCCGCTGGGCGTGACAATCACGGCAGCTGTGCCCATTCGAATAAGAGAGAGATCTTGAGTCTCGTACCGCCCAGCTATCGATCTTAGTAAATGCCATCTTTTTGAGAGGTGCGACTCACATCGAAGTATAGATTCTATTGAAATGGAAAGCAAAATGCCGTTACGCATGCCGCAGACAATCGTACTTTGTGCCTCCGAAGTGAGGAAAACCGCGCTCTCGCAGACCATCGGCATGTGCGATAATGAAGGTGCAGATACCTGATTAGAAGGCTCCACTGAAAGAACCGGGTATAACGCTTTTTCGTGAATTATGTACAAATTTAGCTTCAGGTCTACGCTGCCGACAAAGACGTGTAGCGCGTTGTTGATGTCGAAGAATTTCAGGCAGGTGGGATCAGCAGCCAGATTCTGCCTGATCGGGGATCCGAACGTTCCATCCTGCCCAATAGGTATCACTACTAGAGTAACAGAAGATCCTTCGCGGAAGGATATAGCTACATGAGGTGAGGGGGTTGAGGCAACAGCGGCAAGCGTTATATCTGAGATACGAGACCCTGAGTTCTGTGCCAGCTCTGAAATCGCGAGTGTCCGTACACATGTGAGGTTCGGACGATCTAACAGGAGTAATTGTCGCCGCGTGATCTGGATTGCGAGCTGCTCGGACACGATACCTGCTGATATCGTCTCTTGCCCCGAAACTCCACTCTGGCCTGGCTCGTACTCGGTAGAAAACTGGTGGACCTCCCAAAAGTCTCCCTCTCGAGTCACGCAGAAGGTCATGCTTTCAGGTGGTAGTGAAAAGACAAAGCTGGCGTGATGCTGGTAGACTTCCTTGCCACCGTATTCGACTTTCTCACGCCGATGGTCCAATAGCCACAACCCGGTAACGCCTGTCATCCCCTGTGAATGATCGTAGACAATAGCTCGAAGGCCCTTCCGAAGCTCCGAAACGGCTCCGTGCTGCGAGCGCCCGTTGGCTACAAATATGCTGTCGCGCTCTCTTTCAAAGGGTGAGCGTAAGCCGGGAAGTCGAGTGACCATCAGGTCTGTGATAGGGGTCCATGAGGGGATGGATTCAACGAAGTGAGGCGTGAAGCTGGGACGTGTATTACGAGGGTCCGAGCCGCCAACCTTTTGCAGTGACCCATCACTTGTCGGCCCAGAAGCTATTAGGACATCGGCATTACGTGACGTGAGACTGCCAGCGTCGACATTAAGCGTTGCAAAGCCTCTGTCTAATGGATGAGACCACTCCCCCGCATCGCTGATCTCTATCAAATTTGTTCTCATCAACTCGGTATATATGAGTCGACCGTCTTCCCTTGCAATATAAAACACTTCCCTCGAGAAATCATCATTGCGGGCTACTCTCTGCCACTGTACCCATAGCGGTTGGTTTTTGCTCTCTCCAGGGAAAAGGGGACGAAGGATTTCAGGACTAATGGGTGTAACGTAACGCTGTGGCGTCCCCGACAGAACGTTTGTGTATGTGGCTATGTGGCTGTTGGATACGAGGAGAAAGTCTGGGGTCCGAGTTGCAGGAATGAGTAAGGCGGGGTTATGGTCCTCTGTATCATCGTCAGTACCAGGAACGTAAGTTGAGAGAATCGCTCATTGGTGAAGAAGAGACAGAGAAGGCATACCATAATCTACTGATACTCGCTCCGCCCGAATGGCAGCCGTGCTGACATCGTACCGAGTGTCCCAGTCATAGCAGGTTATCTTAGTTTTTCCATTGTGTGCAAGAACGAAAACAAGTATTACATGGACATCATCCGGATCGCTCGAAGCCGATAGGAAATCCATGTGCAAAACTCGAGCTTGCAACGAGAGATGACGCTCATCCTCAATAGGAGTCATCTCGCGTGTTGAATGAGGATATCCCTTCCATTTGTCTAGCGGCGCGGTTTTGTACAAGGTACATTGGCCCTCCGGTGTAGAAACCGCGATGGCTCGACATTTCGGATCAACTGCCAGGAATGCTCCCGGAGTGTCGTGCATCGAGGATCCAGCTGGCAGACGGACGAACTTTTGACGAAATACAGTCTCACCCGCGGCGTTCTGTTCTGTCCAAAGTAGTACAAGTCTCCGTGAAGTTAAAGTCAAGATAATGGCCTCTGGTGGCATGGCATCGGCATGATCTGATCTTGTAGACTCTTGTCGATCCTGGGTGTCGGTCTTCTTGATTGACATTCCCTGCCTTGGAGACACCGCTGTTTTCACAGGGGCACCAAACCTCCTCGCAGCCAGGATACTACCCTTGAAGTCCGACTTGGAAGCGATATGATGAAGATGTCCATGGTCGTGAATCTCGTATAGATGTACTGAATTCTCCCCAACGAATACTACGTCGTTCCGTTGCCCCTTTCGAATGCTTGCGGAAAGGATGAACTTGACAAGAGTACTCGGAAAGAGCGTCCTGGACATCAGGCCAACTTGAGGAATCTCGGGTTGGGGCCTGGCCTCAGGTTCTTGCATCTCAACGTCTGTCTGTCGTTGTGCTCGTGCCAGTAGCTGATACACGTCCACGGGCCTGGAGACATACTCGCCGTCCACGAGGACTTGCTGAAGTACTTGGTTCTCCATTCGGCTGAATATCAGTGGGGTAGTGGTACCACTGCTGTTCGGGGAAGCGCAGAGCTTCCGAAATGATGAAACACAAGTAATGTTTATGTGGTGCTTCTAGCACACGATAATAACCAGTTTGCGCCGGAGCGCTTAAAGTTGGCCTGAGGCCAGCGGTGGGCAAGACAAAAAGAATGGCACTGAAGTCTGGTATCGAATGTGGCACATGTTGATGCCTAGGAGGAAAGTAGGCACGGCTCGTTAGAGAGTCGGTGGAGCAGTGGACGCAGGGAAGCAGTAGTGCGTAAGAAAATTACGAAATTGATGAAGTAGGTAAAGCGGCTACAAGGCATTGATGACAACAAACAGCGCAGACATTCGTAACAATTGCCGGAGGGATTACAGCACGGTCGAAACGAATGGGAAAGCTGCTGTAGGGATGAGCCTTGAAGCCAGTCCACGCTTTGCTGTATCAGTGAGGGTATACTGCGGGAACTATAGGAGGGTGAAAGCCGTGACTCAACGGCTTGGAACACTGGCTGGGAAAGTCGATGGGTTGCAGAAGTAAAATGCAGTGACAGGGCTGGTCGGCAGCGGCGCCGTATAGTAGGGAGCCAGATCGAGGGAGCAATCTCAGATCTCGCCTCGCAGTTGCCCGCACGAGCAAGTCAAGGGTATCGAAGTCTTTGGAGCACAGGTATTGGCTGAGAGTGTGACAAGGCAGCCGACTGTACAGGGGGTAGATCAAGCTCAAGATTCAAGATGCGATACTAGGTGGATTGGTAGGTGGGGAGAAGAGGGGGATCGCGCAGTAGGTGGGCGGCTGGAAGGACAATCAGTTGGTGGTGGAGGTAGTAGTAGTGGTCGTGCGCAGTGCAGTGCTTGGTGGTGGCGCCGAACGTTGGATATCCCGCAACGACAAGGAAGACACCCGGGTTTTCTCTTCTCTTATCTCGAAAGTGGTAAACTGTTCATTGGTAGAATTGCTATTATTGTGGGATTGCAATCAACCTGCATCGGATTTGCATCGTGGACTTGCTCGGGAACGTGGGCGAAAACGAGAATGGGGGGCGGGACAGGATTATGATTATGGGGGGAAAAGTGTGGGATGAGATGGGGAGATGTTATGATGACTTTTTATTGAATGAAGTCGGACTCCGGCATTGCCAAGACCGAATACTTTACAATACGGGATATAATACGGAGCTCCATTATATGTGCGAACATACAGGGTTATTGTTCCCGAGACTCGGCTATCCTTGCCTTTGTCTCAATACAAGCAGGTCACGAGTATTCGCGTCTCGCGTCATGCACACGGCCGGACGTCGACCCGTTCTCGTTAGTTCTCGTTCTTGTCGTCCCTTGTTCTCGTTCTGTCCTCCATCTGGCTTCATCACCATGCTGCACACGCCCCATCCATTATTACGATATTGTCAACTACTCCAGCCAACCAACCAGCCCGAACTGTGGCGCAGATCCTCGCAGATATTCCCCGCAATATTCTGAATACTTTTGATTGATTGATTTACATGATTGTGTGATCCCATTAGTGTGCAGCACCAGCACCAGCAACACCAAGGCCCAACAAAGACCACAAGGACCACGCCTGTCCTGGTGGCCCCTTCTTGGGTTAATAAGCCTTTGCTATGACCTCCCGCACTCCATCTCGTACCCCTCGGTCCATGAGCTCTGCAAGCCTCCCCTCCATTGTCGATAGGTCCAACGAGAGCATCGCCGCCAACAAAGAAAAGGCAGAGCTTATTCGGGCTGCATGTGAGACCCGGGATATACGTTCCTTGATCGAACTCGCAAATAGCGCAGACGGTCTGCTCGCCGACAGCTTGCGTCGCACAGCTTGTAAGCTCATGTATACCCTGGTCATAGCATGGATACTTTCTGATATACCGTCCCAACAGGGCCGATTCTCTTGGGATGCCCTACAGAACAGACAGAAAGCGAATCATGGAGGTCTCTGCCACCTCACCGAGAAGAAGAGCAGGTTGCTAAGGATGTGAACCGAGCCTTCGTGCACTACCCCAAGGAGTCAGACCGCCAATTGGACAGACGGAAAGAAGAACTATCAGATGTCATTGTAGAAGTCCTGCGGCGCCATCCTGCGTTGTGCTACTTCCAGGGCTATCATGATATAGTTCAAGTTCTATACCTCGTCCTCGGTGCGCAAGCCGCCCCCGCTGCTGCCACTCGTCTCAGTCTCCTCCGGATCCGTGACTTTATGCTTCCAACGCTTGATGCCGCAATCTCCCACCTCGAGTTGTTGCCTTCCCTCCTTCGCGCCGTTGACCCCCAGCTCTATAGCCACCTGCCGAGAATACAACCCCATTATGCCTTGGGCGCCACTCTTACGCTCTTCTCGCATGTAGTGGAGGAATATGGGGATATAACAAGGTTGTTTGACTTCTTCCTTGCAAATGATACGGTTGTGCCCGTCTATGCCTTTGCTGCGATATTGCTATCACGAAGGGAGGAACTGCTTGAGCTAGATGAGGATGAAGGGGATGCCGTTTTCTTCGTTGTGCTCGGAAAGCTACCGAAACCGTTTGATGTCGAAGTGCATGTAAAGAGCACGCTGGAACTATATCAGAAGGCCCCTCCCGAATCACTGCGAAGCTGGTCCTGGTGGAAGATCTCGTCCTCCAGTGTTTTAAAAGCCACTCGAACGCCTTACGATGTGGCCAAGATGTCCATCGCAGACGGAGAAACGCTCTTCCAACGGCAGTCTCGAGACTTGCGCATTCAGCAGGCTTGCCGGAGCTCACTGCTCATCACCCGACGATTGAGACTGCAGGTCTGGCGCCACCGAAGACCAGGTGCGATTGGTCTGGCGATCGCCGTTGGGATTTTCGCTCTGTGGCTTGGAAAAGGCCGAGGAAGCACTGGCATGGAATTCTACAAGACCATTTTGGGTGTATTTGTGTAGTGTGCGGGTCGTCATCTGAAACTCATACCGCTATATGGAGCTTTATTGGTGCATCTGGGCGGAGTTGGGTTCTCAACGGTGTTAAAAATTTCCCTGCTCACCAGGCGAAAGGGTGGGAAGATAGGCGCTGGGTTTTCTGGACAATCTCACAAAAGTAACGTTTCATATATAGTAAGGGGACCAGAAGAGTGTTCTTTAGACTTGCTCCATCGGAGTAGAGACAAAAGTTGTGGGTTCTAGAACAGGCAGTAGTATCGAGAGCGTTTGTCGTATTGCATATCGCTCTCACTTCGTCAACATTTGGAACCCTATCGTCGAATTGAACTTCACCTTGTCTGGAATAGACGGTCCATGCCAGAACTATGCATATTGATACTGACTGACGCTGGCCTTTAGTCATTACAAAAAGCTATATCGAGGAAGTAGACTGCTCCGAAAGGATAGATGCTGTGCACCAAAGACTTACCTTTTATCATCATCACTTTGGTGGTGCAATGATTGGTTTTAGTTCTCGCTATTGCCCTGCTTTTCACATGTTCTTCCAAGTCTGATTGGGGTCAAAGTACTCGTAAAATTGGTAGTGATTGGGTTGATAGTGATAACAAAAAATAATAGTATCTTCGATTCAGTCCCACCACTAATTGTGCTCTTGTCTCAAGACTCGGCATAATCCCTTAAGCCGTCCGAGGGGCACATGAAGCTCTAAGCATCAATTTGATTAACAAACTGACGTGTGTGCTCCAAGTCTATTTCCTATCTGTTTACCTTCACTGCACGAGCCGTATTGGGGTAGTGGTCAACCCACCGATTTGACACCCAAAAATACCTTTCAATTTCTCCTTCACCTCCTCTCTTGCCTACCTCCCTCCTGCCACTTACCGCTCTTACCTCAACAAAGCCTACCCCGGCCTTATAAAACTCTCCTTCCTCTCTTCTCCTCTTCCAACCTTATCCTCTCTCATCCACCTCGACATTATCTCTCTTTTCTCTCACCCCTTCTTGCCTCCATCAATCAGCGATACTCCTCCAACTCTCGATTTGGCAGTCGCCATGAGGCTCACTCATTTGCTCTGGGCGGCTCTGTCTGTCACCGCCGCTGCCAATGTCCGCCGTGACGACCCACCGAACAGAAACCTCGTGAACTACATCGAGCCCGTAATCGGTGCTTCCGTCGACACTGCTGCTACATATTGCTACGACAGCTGGGGCTCGAAGTACAACCCCGGCAGCTACGCATGCAACTACGACCGGCGCGGCATCTACACTTGCTCTCCATCAGGTACATGGGTTCTGTCTGCTGACTGTGGTACTGGAAGCACCTGCAAAATCAGCCCTGATAATGGTCTACCGTTCTGTGATCCTCGCGTTAACGAACTTGCGGAGCGCAGCCAGCTTGTTACTAATTGCAAAGATGCCAACGGGCTCGATTACCCCCTCGGATTTTACGGCTGCAATGTCGGCAGGACTGCCATCATCGTCTGTTCTCCGTCAGGTGAATGGGTCAAGTCGTCTGAGTGTGGCCCTGGTGGCCAGTGCAAATACAATCCCACCAACTGGCTGCCGTTCTGTGATCCTCGCGTCAAAGAGGTTGCGGAAGGCAACCAGCTTGATGCCACCTCAACACCAGTACCACCACAGAAGGTATCTGAACTCGACTTTGGAGCTGCACAGACCGATTGTGAACACAAAGGTATCAAGTATCGGCCGGGCACCCTTGGCTGCGGCAACAACGGTAGCGGCATCTTTGAATGTGCTGGATATGGTCAATGGGTGTTATGGATATTCTGCGGCAAGGCAAACTACTGTAAGCAAGGTGTCGGGCTCAACATTCCCTACTGCGACTGCCCCAAGTCTGAAGCGGAGGAAGATACTACCAAGCGAGAGGAACCTACTCGGCTTCTAGATCCTCCCGATGTGGAACCCAAGTCAGAGGTTAGCAATGCCGCCGTCTATTACTGCCAAGATGGTCGTGGTGGTCGAGTTCCACCCGGAACGTATTTGTGCGGATGGGAGAACCGAGTCATCTATGTCTGTGACTGGGATGGAAGATGGAAAGCTAGCGGAGACTGTGGTAAGAAGGATTGCTGTCGAAGTGCTCTTTGCACCTGCCCCGCCGATTCATTCCCTTACATCAAGGATGAAGACCTGCAATCTATCGACCTTCCTCCGGACTACAACGTTACCACCAAGCGAGATGTCGAATTGGGACCATTCTGTGTGCCTCCTGGATTCTCAGACGAAGACCACTGCCTCAACGTCTGTGGGCCACGATATCCACCTTGCTTTGCATACTGTACATGCAAGTCCACAGTTTGGCCTCTAGAGACTCGCATTCCAATCTTGCAACCTAAACCCGCATCCACGGCCCTGCCGACGACACTGGTCAAGGTCAATGGCCGAAACAAAAACGATTTCCCATTCTGCACTCCTCCAGGATTCAGAGACGAGGACTCATGTCTCAATGTATGCGGACCCCGCTATCCACCTTGCTTCGCCTACTGCACTTGCAAGTCCAAGGTCTGGCCACTGAGTTCCCGCAACCCCACTGCGGCTCCTTCGTCAGTTCCGACCAAGCTTTCTGTTTGATTACCGGCTGCTCTGCTGACCTCTTCATCTTCTGCCTGAGGTTGGTGGAAGCGGTGTGGTAGTCAGCCACTGAGGTTCCGTGAAAAGGCCTGGGTACATTCTGCGATATGGGTGACAAATGGAAAAGTGCTCGGGTTTGAGATACGGCATTATAGATCTGAAAAGGAGATCGATAGCATCAGAATCGAGAAACCAATTATGATGAAACCATGTATGAATACAAAAAGTGATACAATATCGCCAGTGATCATGTACAGTAGACAAGCGACTTCCCTTTTCTCGAGATATTTTTCCTATAACTCCCAACCCAACGCCAAATGACATGTATCGTATCAGGTCATAACGAACCCAAACATCCACCACACAAGTAACCCAAACATTTAAGAAGAAAAGGAAGCAAAAAAGCAGCTCTCCCTTCTTCAAGCATCAACGACACGAAACTTCCTCTCAAAAGAACATCAACTCTTCAAGGCCCAACAGCCCTCCCCTCCGTCCCACTACTATACCCCGCATCCTGGACCCCACCCGCATCCGCCGGCGCCAGCAGCCTCCCCTCATAAACCTCATGTCTCATATCCTGCGCACTCCAACTCTGCTTCCTCCCCAGCTCCCCGAGACTCAATCCCCCAGCCGGCCTCGTCCTCTTCAACTGCTGCTGCTGCTGCTGCTCGGTCTGCGCATTGACGCCAGTATGCAGCGGGACGACGCCCTGGCCCGGCTCTGGAAACGGCCGGGTGGTGAATGACGATATTGGGGATGAGGGGGAGTAGGTTGAGGAAGTTGTGGAGGCGGTGGAGGTGGTGGATTGTTTTCGGTGTTGGCTGTGGTGGTGGAGGAGCGCGGCTTCGTAGTTCGACGAGCTGGTTGTTGGGGACTGCGATGTCGCGGCTGTGGAGGCGGCGTCGTGGTAGGCGGATTGGGCTTCTGACATGTTGGGTGGTGGGTTGGGGGTGGCCATTGTTGTTGTAGAGGTGGTGAAAGGGTTAGAGCGGTATGGTAAGGGTGTTGTGGGTGCTGCGCTGTCGGTTTGCGAGGCGGTGTTTAGAGTGAGTTGGGCTTCGGCTTCGGAGCGCGTGTTTGGTGTTAGGCAGGAGGGGGTTGAGGGGGTGAATGTGCCGGTTGAAGGGGGGAGGGGGAGGTGGTCCATCGTGGGCTTTTTATATTGTTATGTATGTATGTGGATTGTATGGGGTGCGTTTTGCGGGGTTGCGGTCGGGGTCGTTCGGATGCGATGGGGTGTGGTGAGGTGGTGTGATGGGATGAGGTTGGTCTAGACGGGCTTGGTGTTTGTTGGGAGGAAGAAGCTCGAAGTTTCGACCAAGAGGGACGGGTATGAGAAAGGATAAATGACTCCTTTGCGGGGAATGAGGAGATTGGACGGTTGGATCGGATGGTCTCGAGATGGATGTTGTGGTGGTTGTGTTATATCGTATGATTTGGAGTTGATATATCCGGAGCTGGTGGAACTGTTAGAGGTTAATTGGGATGCTAATAGAACATGATGTATTACGTTTCTCAATCACCTTATGGAAGTAAGACGGCAATAAATATCCAGGTACCTTGGTAAATATATAGAAAATACTGAGCGTGTTCCTACGTACACAAGTGTATATGTACTGGTACAAATGGTTGAAGAGCAATACACGAATGCGAAATGCTTGTGTTAGTTCACCCAATGCAAGGCATATCGGCGGAATAAACCTTATATGGGTTACGAACACCTATTGTTGAAATCATTCCAATAAGGAATTAGATATGGTGATGATGATGATGCTTATGATGACATGTGTCTTGGCGGGGTGACGTCTAATCGTTGCAGATCATTACACTCAACAACCACTCCCATCCACACCTTGTACGGAATATCCATACGCATCTCTATTAATTGTAGGGACAATACGGGAGAAAAGGTAGACTAAATCCCGTCGCTCAGGGTCCTGGATCCAGGTTTATGCGGGGCTCCCGCCTACGAAACATCATGGGCTATTCTGATTGCGGAAATTGATGTTATTGGGTGGCATCATCGTCGATATAGCTTTTGAGCTCCGAGGTTTGTTGAATATAAGCACGTTGCCGTTTGAGGCTCTGATGGCGTATGCGGTCATTCGATTCGACGGCTTTTGCGCTGTTTTTGTTTTCGTTCTGGTCGTTACGAGTGTTGTGAGTCTGATCGCCTTGCCTGCGTATTCATGCAGCGGCGTGCAGCAGCGAGGCGCAGAGTGGCAAACCAGTCAGATAGCAATATTGCGGGGTTCAGATGGACGGGCGACCTGAAATTACCCACAGTGGTGTGCGCGAGCGCGGTCAAGTATCGCTATCGAAACTTTAATTGTCGAAGGATGGGTGCATACGAGTATGTTTTGGTTGAGGGCGGGCGCATTTTCGTGAAACGGTGAAGTAGTATGGTACGAAAGGAATGCCCTCTATGGACCGTTCAAAGAACCCATCCATGATCAACATCCACGCATAAAGAGGGTTATCTCGTTCATCGATGCACGCGCCGTTTACATCGTCACTGTTCCCATCGCAATGGGTTGTTGCGATCGACTAGATCACTCTCGCTATGATGCGGTTCACGTGATCGACGTCATTCACCGCTCCACCTCGGGAGAAGAATATGGACATCGTTGATTGTCATCTTCGTATGCCGCAATGCCCATTTACAGATATATCTCACATCGGCGATCTAGAATCACGCTGCGGAGGCCTTGTGACCAAGGTCCTGTGGTCCTGGAGAGAAACTGTGATCTTTCAGTACTTTAGCACCGTGGTCGAAGGTGAACTCATGGCAATATACGTACAAATCCAATACAATACGACCAGAAAGTACAGAGTGCTGTAGCTTTCGTAGAATACACTGCTCTAGCCCATAGTCTGGATTTGGCGGTGTTCCAGAGGCCATCAAATCTGTAGTTATCGTGGTTCTACGTCGAGCTCGATTGAGAATTGATCGACGCCAGTTCAGGCTCTGACTTGTCAGCTATACTCGGCACTCCAGCTTCCCTTATCACTCACTTCTCTCTAAGAGTCCTTTCGGTAGAGTCGCAACGATGGCGTCCGTGAACTCTGCCCATGAGATCTTCGGCTCTCCCCGCCTCGCACGCCAGTAGTTCGTAGCTACGAGCAACTCCGTACACCCATACAACAGGTAACCCCACTTCTTCAAGAAGTCGATGCCAAACTCCCAGTTGTACATGTTCTCTGCGTCACCCCAGACAATCAGTCCGGTTTTCAGCACCCTGTCCACATCGTACTGGCAGATGTCGTGGCACAGGTCCAATTCGTCGCAGACTGCTAGCTGCTCGACCGCGACGAGGATGTTGTCGCGTAGTTGTGGACATGGGAAAGCATCGATCCACGGGTGATGGTCGATCGTAAATTGTGCATTTGTTGGATGTAGGTTTTTGGGCCAGTTGTTTTGCTGTTCTATGGTGTGTCGTCCGAGTAAAGGACCATGCTTGTAGAAGGGAGAAATGGCATCCTCGGTATGGTAATCATCCGTTGCCCCCAGGAGCTTAGCGATGTGCTCAAAGGCGGTGATGGTGTTGAACTGGAGGAGTATGGGGAGGTGGGACAGTGTGGGGTTCCCCTGTTGGTATTGCTGGTGGGCATACTGAGCGAATTGGTTCATGATGGCCCGCACCCGGGGATGGCTGTTCAAACACGACCCCTGCCGCGCGGGTGACTGTGTTAGTGTACTTGATCCAGTTGAAGCTGGTGGAGGCTCAGTTCCATCCTGATCAGATGTCGAATTGTTATTTGGAGGTGTCGTCTGCCCAGCTGGGATGGTGTCATCCTCTCCTTTTCGCACATTTCTCGCCTGCCGTCTTGCCCCTTGTGAACACGGTCAGCAACGGGCATACGAATCGTACGAAAAGTTTGAGAGGACTGCAGATTGAGCCAATTGACAAGTTCATGAAATATACTGACTAGAAGCTTTTTGGTTCAAACGGTTTTGCAACCTCCGTCTTTGGACAGGATTACTGATACCAGTCCAATCTAACTCCTTCGACACTCCAACCTGTTGCCGCATCTGCGCAAGCTTGATAGAAGGCATTTCCTTAATCGACTCCGACGACATTCTGTATCTGGTGTTCGCTTGACAATCACACCTGGAAATGGTTGATGACAGCTAAAAGCCGAAGTTGTGGAAAAGGATTGTAGAGTGCATTGCAATTATGTAGATACCCGCTGACGATAGCCGGATGTAGCATTTAGTGCAGGTCAGCAGGTTGCATTAGCGGATTGGAGAATTGGCGAATCAGCGGGCTCGTTGCCTCGCTTTAGGCATTGGAAGCTTCGGCGACCCACAATTACACCGACGATAGTTCTTATGTCCGATTGCTCCATGATATATCCCTCCGACTTTTATCGGTGAACTGACTTCAATATCGGCAGCCTAGTACTTTGAATGACAGTAGATGAATAAACCGATCGATATACTCTATCTGAATTCTATCTGCCTGTCTTGACAAAAAGGGTTGGAAACCCAGTATTCACATCAAAAGGCCCAGGACAGAGAAAGGTCATCTCATGAACGAGGCTGATATGGCTGGTAAATGTTAGTTCAATGTCTTGAGATATTCATTCTTTGATTACATACTAGTGGTTTTGGCGGTGCGTCGATCCACGTTGACATCTTATAGTGAACCTGATCGGCCACTGTCTTCCTGAGATTGTACCCCGTCTCCCCGAAAAGGAACGTCATCGGGAAAAGTGGGTTGAACGGGGCTGCATTGTGAATCTCGTCGATTTCTTCGTTCGAAAGTTTGATGCTCAATGCATCGGGGAATGCCTTAACGTGCTCGACGGTTAAGACACCAACGATGGGGAAAACATAAGTTGACTGATGGAATAGATATGCCAAAGCCTGGTTAGATTGAGTTAGCACAAGAAGGTTTGCTGTGACATAAACGAGCGGAGAAACATACAACGCTCCTTAGTGTAGTGTTCTTCTCCTTCGCAAGACGTTCCAGGACGTTACAAATTCGAATGTCGCTCTCTGTTGTAGGATAGTAACTCTTTGGCGCATTGGGGTCTTCATCTCGCTTTCGCCTTTCCTCTGCAGTCATAAGCTGACCTCCTGCGACGGAACCCCAGGTTACAATCCCCATGCCCTGATCTTCGCACATTGGGACGATTTCTGCTTCCATGTCTCGAAAAGCGACACTCCATCGGCCTTGATAAACTGAAAAGGGCGTGAGGCCATTTCTTCGAGCAACTGCATCTACGCATTAGTCTTGTTCAAAGTATTGTCTTCAAATGGCGTCACTTACATTCATTGGCCTTGACGACCACCCATGCAGGAGTATCAGAGATTCCCAAATACAATACCTTTCCTGCGAGAACCAGAGCATGCAGATTTCGCATGACTTCCTCTACAGAAGCTGATACATCCCACCTATTTCAACATTCATCAGTTCACAATCTAAACAAGAAGGATTGATTGAGACTTACCAATGGAGGTATAGAATGTCAATGTAATCCGTCCTCAATTTCTGAAGACTCTCCTTGACCGAGAGGCGCAAGCTCTTCGCACCCGGTCCCGTGAAATTACTCTGCAACGGCTCGCTCTCCCGATCATGCATGCGAAGACCACCACCGTACTTCGTCGCTATCACCATCTGATCTCGAACTCCCCTCTTCTCCATCCACTCCCCGAGATGCCTCTCGGATTCCCCGGCATTGTAGTGATTGGCCGTGTCGACGAAATTCCCGCCGAGGGAGAAGTATGCGTCGAGAAGGGCGGAGGGGTCCTGGCTTTCGCCAAACAGCTCGCTCCACTCGTTCCCCAGACTGATGCCTCCGAAAACTATCGGGGAGACTTTGATATTCGCGGAGGGAGAAAGTACGCGGTGCCAGCCAAGTGCAGTTTTGGGCTTCGGTGGTCCTTCGAAGAAAGACATGATGATTGGAAATCGTGATTAATGAACAAGGCGATAATAATGGTGTCCAGGGGTCAATTCAGACATGAGGAAAACTATATACATTGTCCGCTACATTTGGTGCGTGGAATCATCCCATGTCGTCAACTTTTTGCAGAAAGCAATTGTCTCGGCTGCAGGGATAGGATGACATCGGAGTTAAGATCAGTCAGGATGGATTGGCAGAATTGCACTTTCACGAAAACCACAAATATGTATGAATGCGGTGAAAGATCTATAGGGCGATACATATTGGTATCTCGTATGTTGTTCCTGCAATGCAAATACAGTAATTCACAAGTGTAACCCCACATCGTAGCGGACCGCAGTTGTCACTACTCGCTAAATAATGCAATGCGCTGACAGGGCAAGCCACTACGCGCAACCAACCGGGGAAAATTTTTGTACTTGTAAACTCCGCCGAGGACGAATGTTTTCCCCGATGGTGTTAATTAATTTTAGCTCGCTCTTCAGCCCTTATGCAAGGAACTTGATCGCATATGCACGAGTCATGTCATGATATCATTGCATTGGAGGGGCAGCTGTCAACGATGCACGTCCTTATGTCCTTATCTCCTACCTCCGGTCGAAGATTTCGTCAATTCTTCAATTCACTCTACATATATAGATAGAACAACCACCTTCAATTGATAGTCAACAACCTCCAGTCTTCAATCAGTCTTCTTTACAACAGACACATACCTCAAAGACTTCAATTGCTTCCATAACTACTACAATGGCCGACTACAAATTCGAAGGATGGATGGGCATCGATGAGAACGCGGACAAAGGCAACATGGTCTGGCAAGAATTCCAGCCCAAAGCCTGGGAAGAAACAGACATCGATATCAAAATCACACACAGCGGAATCTGCGGTTCTGACCTCCACACGCTGAGGAGCGGATGGGTACGTCCCCCATTCCATCCCATCGAACCCTAACATAGCGTACTAACCACCCCACAGGGCCCAACTCCCTACCCCTGCTGCGTCGGCCACGAGATCGTCGGCATCGCCGTCCGCGTAGGCAGCAAAGTAACCAAAGACATCAAAGTTGGCGACCGTGTAGGCGTCGGCGCACAAAGCGACTCGTGTCTGGGACGCAAGGGGTCCTGCGAGAATTGCGCCGCCAAATTGGAGAACTACTGCCCGCACTTCGTCGGCACATATGGCATGCATCATTTCAACGGCGACAAGTCCTACGGCGGACACGCGCTGTACAATCGCTCACCTTCACACTTCGTCTTCAAGATCCCGGATGCTGTTCCCTCGGCATATGCGGCGCCTATGCTGTGCGCGGGCATCACGACATACTCTCCGCTGAAGCATTACGGAGCTGGTCCAGGAAAGACCGTCGGAATCATTGGTCTTGGTGGTCTGGGTCATTTCGGTGTGCTGTGGGCGAAGGCGCTTGGTGCGGATCGAGTTGTCGCCATCTCAAGGAAAGCAGACAAGCGAGCAACGGCATTGGATCTGGGTGCCGATGAGTATATTTCTACGGATGCGGATGCGGATTGGGCGCAAAAACATGCTGGAACAATCGACATCATCATTTCCACGATTTCTTCTTCTAAGGTGAGCACCACTCATCCTCACCTAATTCCCTTTGCGCAGAACTGACAGGAAAACTCTAGATGCCAATCGGAGACTACCTCTCCCTCCTCAAACTCGACGGCACGCTCGTGCAGGTCGGAAACCCAGACGACGGCGTCTTCCAGGTCCCAGCGCTCCCGCTCATTCTGCGACGTGTGACTATGGGTGGCTCTGCGATCGGATCGCCAGCCGAGATTGTCGAGATGCTGCAGTTGGCTGCGGATAAGAAGGTGACGCCGTTGGTCGAGGAGAGGCCGATGAAGGATGCCAATCAGGCTATGGTGGATATGGATAACGGCAAGGCGAGGTATCGGTACGTGCTTGTCAACGAACAACACCTATAGTGGTAATCGGGTAATTGGAGCGAGGATTAAATGGGATCGGGGGGTGCTGGGATGGCAGTCATTGTAGCATTCGTCTGGTCCACTGAAGTCGTAGACGGGGTAGAAAATATAGAATAGACACGATATTAATGATGTACAACTTCGCATTCAATCATCATCAAAGTTGCAGGGTCTCAAAGATCTTCTCAAAGTGGTAATCGAACTGCCGAACCAGCTGCTCTGGGGCGTGCGCTGTTTACTGAGTCATAGAAAGGTGGAAACGAAAGCGGAACCGAGTCAGCTGTCACCGTGAAGTTTCAACATGGGCAAGTTTTACCGTAACACGGGTATAATGAAGCCAATCAGAAAAATCCAATGGTTTTGTGTTCGTTTCTCTCTTCCGGGCGTTGGTTAGTGTGAGTGGAATGCAAGCCATGTTTCGTTTCAACGAGTATGTCATTTGTTCTAGCAAAGCTAGAAACAATATAGATAACCAATCAAGTAGGATACTTGTGCCTTAGAAGAGGCGATCAAGTATCCAGAGGGTTAGAACTTAACTAATAATACATTGGGGTATCATTGGACGTCGTACTTGTAGAGAAAAGACTCCACAAGTCTGGAGGAAATGAACCATTAGAAGAAAATCGTAACGGAACAGTCGTAAACAAAGCAGCCCATGATGTATGTCCACGAAAACATGGGCTTACCAAATCCGAATTTCCAAGTACCGTGTCCAGCATCGCTACAATGTCCATTCTTCTCAACGCGCGTTCTTCGACGCCTTCTTCCCAAACATTTCTCGTACCTCCCTCTCGTAGACCGAGCCGTGGCGTCTTGCGTGTAGGTAGAGCTTGTCTGGTCTGTAAAATGTCTTTGTGCAATGTCTGCATTTGTAATGGGCTTCTTCCATGTGCTTTCCCATGTGGCGACGGCGGTCATAGGGCCGGGAGAAGGTCTGGCCACAGATATCGCATTGGTTCTTGTCGTTGCTATCGTCTTGGAAAGCAGGTGGCGCAGTCAAATCTGATGCGTCGTACTGCATTGATGGTTGAAGGAATGGATGTTCGGAGGGATGGTAAGGCGGTTTCGAAGCGAGCCTCGAGTATGTTCGTGGTTGGTCGAATTGGGCACTGGTCCTTCTGGGCGTTTGCTGATTGCCGGGAGGGGCGCTGGTACCGAACGTTGCGTGCGATGGGGCAGCAAATAGCATCTCATTTTCTGAATAGAGTTGTGGTCTGCTGTCATTGTTCCTCGCTTGCTGCCCGGGAGGACTAACACTCGGGACTCCCCCATACAAAGGTTCAGCAAAACTGAATGAGGAAAAGTCATCTATGTTGAAGGAGACCGACGTCAGTACGTGCATCGATGATTGGGTAGTTGTTTGGAAGCGTCGGGTGATAATTACTTACCGAGCAGCCCGTCCAGGGGTCCTTCGGCAAGACCATGACCATTCCAACTACCCCAGGCAAAGGACCCAGTGCTGCCACGAGTGAAACTGGGATGTTCCTGATCGGAATATCTTGTTCCACCCTGCATGTCACCTGAATAGCCATAGGTGGACGCATAGTAGGCATTCAAAGGTTGGGAAGCATCGGGGAACCGCTGGGCAGAGTTGTTTGTTCCAGAACGAGCCTGAGTTCTGAGATCATGCTCGTTCTGTTGAAACAAGGGGCTATGAATCATGCAATGAAGTTGCGAGTACCCGTTGGTATCTGCACAAGTGCAGATGTTGGCGAGTGGCACAAGCCACTCGTGATTATCATCGTTGTATGCCATCGTTGGATTTGCACTTCAAAGGGGCCAAAGGTTTATTGTTTGGGGAAGGCCTTTTTTATGTATTACTTCTCACTTCTCACATCTAGACATTCTTGTTGCCTAGGGCGTCACTGAGCGCGATGGGTGCCAAGGGGGTGCGGATACGCTGTGGTGAAGCGTACTTGGTTCCAACTGCTCTGCCTCCCAACATGGCTAAATTGGTGGTGGTGGGTGTCTCTTTTCGCTTCCACAGCGGACTGTGAACATCCTCACCAACAGGAAGCAGCATTTCGGCGCCCTCATCACGGGCCAGCGCCGATTTGAGTCAGTACGCAAGCATGCGCAAGGAAATAATACTAAAATAAGGATCTTTGGAGGACAAATGTCAGCGACAACAGTGATTTCGGTCCTGAGGGCGACGGCCATGCATGTGCTGAAACCTGCGCTGGGCCGAACAGAAGGCATTTTCATGCAACAATATTGTGGGGAAACGGGCGTCAGAATAAGGATATTGCATTATCTAGAATAGGATACTACACGACATTGTGCATAGTCCAGGGCGCACTCGGTGGCAAATTTCATCTATGTGAGAACAAGGACCGCCTGCAAGTTCTGTTGACGAAAGCGCCCCAAGGCCAGCCAGTATATACAAACAAGTTTCCTCTTTCCGTCTTGACCCGCGACTGTTGGACATTTTCATGAATAGGTTGGATTTCGTATGGAGCGTGACTCCTCGCCCGTCCTATTTCGTGCGTTCTAGGACGAGGTATCTGGCCTTTTTGTCTCTCTAAATTGTGATACTGATTTTTGGAGCTTTTCGACTATGTCGTTAAGTTCTGTGGTTCCTGTATGACCGTTTCCCTGCATCTTTTCCAAGTATCTTGCCCCACCTCGGTGACCACTCAAGGACCGGTTGCCAGAAAGAGCTGGTGAAATGCTCTTTGGTGAATCTTTTGCGTTTATTCATTTGGAAAAGGGAGTAGAACACTCAAAATTGTTTTCAGAGAGTAAGGCTTTTCGAATGAAATATATCTGAATTTGACTGCTAGCGTGGATACATACATGTGCGAGGACAATTTCATATTTCAACCAGGCGATTATCATCTGGTCACTTCTCCGCTCGCAGGCCTCGGGATCTGAGCATGATAACGCCGGCTCACACTTTCCATTCGCAGGTAGCATTTGTGATGCTCCCAACTCACTGTAGAGTCGTCTTCACGCAACGATACAATCTCTTCAATGCGGAAGAGAAAAGGGCACCGTTAAACGCAGGTAACGACGTTACGCAAAGCTTCCGTCAACCCATCATTCCAAGATGTTGGGGACTTTGTGTATTTGGAAGAAAGTTGAAACAAGGCTGAGGAATAACAAAGATGAAGACGCCATTGGGCTAGTGGGGAAGCAATACCCCGCAATAAGTTTTGATGTCAGAGTAAGATCTCGATGCATTGTAGCTGATGTAGATTGACGAGACGGCCGTCTTATATACTCCTCAACTTCTCAGCCCTTCGAATCTCAGATATTCTTAGACAGCGATCAACGAGCCGAAGAAGGTGACGCCAGAAACTTTTTGTCCCCAAGTTTCGGGCTAACAGCCTGTCATCATGAACCAGGCTTCGTAATCGTAAAAGAGGCCGATACTGTGTCGTAAACCCCCCCAAAAAATGTTGAATTCAACCAGGTAATCTCAGCCTCGTGGGAGTCTCAACCAAGCGCTACATCATAGGCTGAGATTCGCGATTATCTGCCCGGTGTCTAAAATCCTGCATTATCAATTAGTGGGATGCATCGCAACGGGCTATGATTCACCAGAATAGGACCGGTGTCCGCTCATGCCAAGACATTGAATATCTTCAGCCTTGCGCCCCTCCGGACGAACATCCAATCTCGGGTAATCGCATCCCGAGTTTTCATAGATGATTCTGCATGGTAGTCATTTCAGTGTCTTGATGTGTTCATTTCAATTGCAGATCTTTGGAGGGCGATACGAGCTGATGTTGGGATCAGACAAGTAAGAGGATGCCTTGGAGGGCGTTCCGAGCGAATGAAGGTTGATGAAGTTTGCCCTGAGGCTCTCAGGCATGCATTACGGCTGCTAAATTTGTGAACCAAGCTGAAACTTTTCGTTCTAGAGTGCTCCATCAATCTGTACGCTGAACAAGGAATTTACCATGTTGTATTGTCTCCCAGGTTGATCATGCTGACCACCAAAAAGCAATGAGGATCCCTAGATATCGATTGGGGCAAACCAATAAGTAACTGTGAACTAGCATTACTTCCGATGTATCTTGTGCCTGGTTGATGCAATGGACGGGCGCCATTGTTAGTGTAGGAATATAATCACGTGATCGCAACATTCACCCACCCAGCAACGGGGCGTCAATTCGTCATTGACGCCCGGAAAAACCTGAACAACCCATTGAGAAGACGGCCAATAGCATCCTGTCAATGTCTCAGTTGAGCCGCACAATCTTGGCCATGGTCGATCAGGCTGAGTTTTCTGCCTTTGAGGGCCCCCCGCGACAAGGGTCCAACTTGTGGCGTTGTGCGCTGGCAGCGCCCCTTCGTCCTTCAACTTTGCTTTTGTGAGGGGCGTTGGCTATCATTAAATGCCTCTTGCATACATGCTTTGTTGAGATGACAATGGGAGGGCGTCGCCGGCCAATCAGATGGAGAGAATGTTGCCCTGCGCATTGTGCGCCTCATTCTCCCTGGACTCGCTAGGATTCTTGAAATGTGTGTACGCAACGCATCTGAGAAAGGCGGTCAGGCTAGGTATGGGGTGTTTTGGGACATGGTCAGAGAGTATCACAGTGGATGGTGATCGGATCAGGAAACCGAGGTTGCAAACGGCTTAGGAACTCTCAACCATATTGAATTGGACAACGAGATGGTCAGTAGAGGGTACGGTCAACCATAAGGAGAAAAGATTAGGTAGCTATCTCATCCATTCCCCAGCACGTCTATCATGGACACTTGAGTGGATCAGAAAAGAGTGCAGAAAAGAGTGTGTATAAGCAAAATAAACACGTTAATGACAGTGAAAAGAAATTGTAAAGTCCCACAACAATGTCTGCTAAGAAAAGTGCCAACATTTGAAAAAGGAAAACCGAGATCTCGTCACCCCAACATTGCGAATAGTGCGGTGATGTGGACGCTAACCACGCACAATTGCTTCAAATGCTGAACCATGTGTTTTGGCATGTGAACTCCGTTTATCTTTGCGATAGAATGCCTTCTCACAACCTGGGAATTCACATTGAAATTCGCGCGGACCATGTTTCTTCATATGGCGTTGCAGGTCCGCTAGGCGAGAGCAAGGCTCGTCGCAGAGGCTACATGCAAACCTGCCAGAAGCTTGTCTAGATGAGCGCCTGTTAGTATTTCGATGAGTACGAGTGGCCACAGCTGCGGCTTGAGGAATTGCAAGAGGTTGGTATCCGTGCTGCGGCCTAACTGAGGGGTCATTCTGGGATTGGAGGAATGGGTCGCTTCCAATGTTCAAGGAAGGCTCTACTGAATGACCAGGAAGAACCTGCGAACTTGGCTGGGATGCATCGTGATAAGGCTGAATTTGCCCATACGACTCAAACATGGGCAGCGATGCAGGCTCAAGGGAAGCGCTTATGTCCGAAAAGATCGAAGAATCCAGGCCGCTAGGGATAGAATGATCGGCAATAGAAGCCACGAAGTCTGTATCATAATCAAATGTCTGTTGATTGACGTACGCAACATTCGGAAAACCAGAGTTTAGTCCGCCAGGAACATCAAGATTAAGGTCAAAAGACCCTGTACAGTGGCCAGTAAAGTCGACATTGGAAAGACCAGAATCATAGATGACTTGGTTTACCTCCTGCTGGGCAGAATTTTGGTAATCGAAAAGTCCGAAATCAATGGAGTGGGGTCCAATAAGGGAGGGAAACTCGGCGTTCTGCAACGAGTTCAGATCAGTTGGGAAAGACCCATTGACGTTGAGAGTTCCGTTGTCGTAAGCATTGCCATAGTATTGGCCGTGATCAAACACCATGGGATGATCTGGGCCATGATTGGTCAATGATGGGTCCTGGCGGCTTTGGGTCGTACTTGTCCACGGTATGACGGGTGCAGATGCCCGAAGATTGGAGGCGTTTTCTTGGGGAAGGTACGTGTCAAGGGCGCTGCCGATGGGGTGTGTAGGGGCCGAAGGGGCGGCCAATGATGACTGAGTGGGCTTCTCCGGATGAGAAATAACGATACACATGGAGGCATACCTGCATGATGTTAAAAAAAAACCTACTCTTCTTCGCCCCGACCATGCAAATCTGTCTCTTGCAGGTATTCTCCAGAGAGATGAGGTTGTAAAACCATATTCGGGAACATTTGAAGGCTGTTTTTGCGTCCGATGGATTTGTAATTGGCTGATGGACGTCGATATCGGTGATGTAGAACGAAATGCGAGCGCTGTGTATGAAAAGTCCGAAGTTGGTACTGTTGTCTTGGGCGTAAGGAAGAGACGTAGATGCGTTTGGAAGGTGACGGTCGGAAGGAGCAGAAAGGAGAAAGGGGAGAGAGAGGGGTTGGGGGGAAAGGGGGATATAGGAAGAGAAGGAAGTGTATACTGCCTAACTAGGTAGCTAGAGATCTTTGAGCCAACCAACCTGCTTCTCAGCTCAGTCTCTACCCCCACCGCCATCTGAGCAGGCTTGCGCGCCCCAATGCTTGGCTGTAGATTGGGCACACGGAACAGACAGGACGCGCCTACGATTGGTACCACAAACTGATTCGATATAAATCTTCTTGTTTTCCTCATGCCTTCTGTAATTGTGGACTCCGTGAAAAGATGGCATCATTGGAGAGAAGGGGAAAGCGTTTCTCCTGCCAGCGATGTACAAAGCGTTTCGCAACCCAGAAGGGGCTGAGGTACGTAACTACCTAAAAGTTACATGCAAGATGCTAGTCACTGACCTCCCCTACAAGTCAGCACAGAAATAAGCACGAAGAAAGATACAAATGCGAAGCATGTGGAGCAGCATTCGGGCTGAGAACAGATTTCAATCGTCACCAGCAGGCCAAACATCGCCTCAGGAATGACGGGCACGGTTGCACAATTTGCAATGACAAGTTCAGTCGTAAAGACAATCTACAAAGGCACATGTCAAGGATGCACAAGGCAAGACCGCAGCAGGACACCGAAATAGCAGGCGAAGAGTCCCAATCGAGCGATGAGAACGTCAAGCCGATACATCCAGCCATGACCCTCTGGTATGCGGCCAGCAATGGCGATGTCATCGCTATAGTAAACGCAATCAATTGCGGGAAAGACATGTCTATCCAGGATAGTCACGGTTCCACCCTGCTGCATTACGCCGCAATCGCAGGGCAGACGGCCATTGTGGATGTACTGCTGTCACAAGGAGTAGATCCCACCCTGCAGAATGACCAATCCAGGACTGCCGTGGGAGAAGCAGTCAGAGGCGGCCACGCCGAACTTGTCGATCAATTATTGCCACAGACGCTTCACGGCATTGATGGAATTCACCCCCGAGAATATTTTATCAAGCATCTTTTGGAGGACGCAGTTCGTAATGGAAGCCTTCGTATCGTGCAATCTATCGTGAAGATAGCTGTTGCAGAGACAATTGAACCGAAGAAACTTCTTCTGCTTGCAGCCATACATGGCAAGCTGTCTATAGCGCAATATGCGGTTGACATCGGTTGTGACGCCAATGCGAGACTGGAACGCTGGGATCATCCGATATACCAAGCGGTCAGGAATGGTCATACAGAAATGGTCCAATTTCTACTCTCAATTTCGCACGACATCAATGGCAGCGCTGCTGGAAGGCCCTTGATTGAAGCTGTACAAGCAAGACGCCTTCCAATAATCCAAACGCTCTTACAAGACAAACGGATGGACCCAAATTGGATTAACGAACTGGGGAGGTCCTCGCTATATTATGCTGTATCTTCACGATGGTTGGGTAAAGAGCGCGTTAATTGCGCTTCAATCCTAGAATTACTCCTTGCACATAAGGACATCCAAGTCAATGCCACCGACAGATCTGGAAACACAGTATTGCATTTGGCTACAAAACATCAAATTGTCGATGCAATGAAACTGCTTATTGCACATCAGGATATCCAAGTTAATATCGTTAACCAAAGGGGCGAACCAGCATTATGTCTGGCTTTAAAGCATGGAAATATAAACGCAATAAAAGTACTGCTTGCACATAAGGACATCCAAGTTAATGTCTTAAATCAATGTGGGAATACAGCATTGCATCTAGCTGCAAAACATCAAATTATCGACGCAATAAAAGTACTCCTTGCACATAAGGACATCCAAGTCAATGCCTTGAATCAATTTGGGAACACAACATTGCATCTGGCTGCAAAACATCAAATTATCGACGCAATTGAAGTGCTCCTTGCACATAAGGATATCCAAGTTAATGCCACGAATGTATACAAGGATACAGCATTGCATCTAGCTGCAAAACATCAAAGTCCCAACGTAATTAAAGTGCTCCTTGCACATAAGGATATCCAAGTTAATGCCACGAATATATATGGGGATACAGCATTGCATCTAGCTACAAAACATCAAAGTTTCAACGTAATTAAAGTGCTCCTTGCACATAAGGATATCCAAGTCAATGTCACGAATAGATCAGAGAAAACGGCATTGCTCTTGGTTGTAGCTAAAGGTAGTATTAATACTTTGGAAATGCTCCTCGCACATAAGGATATCCAGGTCAATGGCGCTGGCCATCTCGGAAACACAGCATTGCATGTTGCAGTGAAATGTCAAAATATCAATGCAATCCAAGTGCTTCTGGCACATAAAGATATCGAGCTCAATATCGCCGACGCCTATGGAATCACAGCATTGCACCTTGCGGTCGACAAAAATGCAATCGAGGTGGTCAGACTTCTACTTCGACAAAATTCAATCAACATAAACGCTCGAGTAGGATATGCCTGGTCTGATCTTCGCAACAAAACTGCCCTGGAGCTAGCCTTGCACCGTGGTTATCATGAAATTGCCGACCTCCTAGTCGCGCATGGAGCGGTTGTCGTCAATCAACCTCCCAGCACCTCAAGCCAACAAATTGCTGTCCCACAGGAACCTTCCGCCCATGCGCCGGTGGATGTCCAGAGCGATACGGATGAAGATATGGAGAGTGTCGACGACATGAATTCGGAGGAAGTTGAAGATATCGGGAGTCTCGATCATATGGATTGGGATGAAGTTGAAGACATGCTCGCTCTTCATAATACAGAACACAAGTTCAACTGGCGACAAGATGCCCAACTGGTGACAACAGATACCATTAGCGACGACAAATCCAATTGGTGATAGGAGGTTCAACAACAATACGTGATCAAACTAGCGACAATATGCCTAACGACAACAAACATTCCAACTGGTGACAAGTCATTCAGCTGGAGACGCGCGATCGAACTGGTGATAAAAAGCCAAGTGGTGACAAAAGGTTCAACGGGCGACAAGTGATCCAACAGCAACGAGTACCCAACTGCCAACAAGAGGTCCAATCGGTGACACGAGGTCCAGTTGTGACATGAGCTTCAACTGTGACAAGTAATTCAACCGGTGACAGGTCGTTCAAATGGCCAACAACAGGGAAGGGGAAGAGGAATTCTCGTTATGCAATCTCTTTAGCACATATCTGAACGGAAGGGCACATGGGCAAGTGCGGGAATGGTACGAGGCATCATGCATCGCGGGTTTTTTTTCCTGTAGTAGGCGATGACTGTGTCGCCGTGGTTGTTTTCTTTTTAACGAAATTGATGATGTAGCTTAGCTTTCCCATCGTTTAGGTAACTCAACACAAAAATCGTTTTGCAGTACGAAGTAAAAGTGGATTAAGCTATTGTAGTAAATATACTATTCACGCCCGCCCGTGGATTATTGAATTCCCTAATTCACTAATCCAGAATCTCCTTGACCTCATAATTTCTCTTCGCATAAATGAACCACAAACTGAGAATCAAAACCGCCACAGCGACAAGCACAGGCGACGCGTAGTTCATCTGCACCGCGACGACAGGAATATAGTACGGCAGGCAGTAAAACACGATCGCGATTGCCGTCCACGACAGCATCACAATATTCGCCAGCAGACCAAGCTTAGGGTACCAGAACGGGCCATGCGCGAAGTTCGAGCGACCTTGAACGAGCATGAGAATGGTGGGGATGCTGTAGCTGATGTACTGCAACAACAAGCCGACGGAGATGAGGGAGTTGAAGGCGAGTTCGGAGCCGAGGTAGAGGCAGCCGGCGAGGGCGGTGAATGCGCTCGACATGATCATCGAGTACACGGGGGTGTGGAAGGGCTCCGGGGCGAGCTTGCTGAGGTATCGGTGGAGAGGGAATCCCTGCTCGCGGCTGATGGTCCAGGCGAGGCGGGATTGCCAGGTTTGGATGGACCAGACGGCGCCGGCGGTGGTGATGACGACGGGGATCCAGATGCCGACGGCGGCAGCCTTGCTGTTGGTGATTTGGTAGAAGAGGCTGATTGCGGTGTTGTTTCCTTCGCCGTCGATGGTTTGGATGTTCAGCATCACGGCCATGATGACGAGAAGGCCTGAGACGAAGCCGATAATGATGGTCCACATGAGGGCTTTGGGGATGTTTCTCGCGGGGTTGGGGATCTCTTCCGCAAGATGGGTGGCTACATCGAGGCAAGAGAAGCTCCAGTTGGCTCCGTTCATTCCAATGATGAAGGCGACACCGTTATTCCATCCGGACACGTTTGTGACTGTCGTGAAGAAATCCTTAGCCGTGGGATGGACGTCCGACATGGCGAACAGAGTGACGAAGATGGTCGCAATCGTCAGGCAGCTGAAGAGAAGGAGAATCTTCGAGATGTTTGGTAACGCGTGTTCGAAAGTGGCCAGGAAGAGCGTCAAGAGATTGAGCAGCTGGTAGCCGATAAATGCCATCCATCTCTTAGGTACAAAGGTGGGATCCAAGAGGGAGATGATGGAAATGATACCAACCGGGACCGACAGACAAGCAGATGATCCCGTCACTACGGCAGCCAGCCAGCTGATCATCGCAGTGGTATACGACATCGCCCGTCGAGAACCGGCTGGAGCCAACTGGTTGACCCAGATGTACTGACCACCTGGATGGGGATAGGCCGAAGCGAGCTCTCCCAATGTCGTCGCTGTCGCCAAACCAACCACTGCCATCAGCAAGAAGCCCCAGAAGACAAGTGGAGAACCACCCATGGGTATTGTGCTACCAAGGACTAGCAGAATTCCCACGGCAGTGTTTGTAGTTCCATAGCCGATTCCTAGTGCGGATAACGTCGTGAACGGTTTGAGATTGTTATAAGTCACCTCTCCACGTCGGATCGAGGATGAGGATCGTTGTTGAACGTCGGTGTCGACTTTCTCTTCCATGTTGGGGATGCTTCGAGTACGGAAAGTTGAATGGTGTTTAATGGCTATATATAAGGTGAATGATCAACTGATTGCCCGGAAAAGATGGAGGTAGGTGTGGAGCACTGGTTATGTTCGCGTCCTAATGAGCGTAGCTTCATGCAAAGCACAATCTGCCTAGGGATATGTTGCAGATGAAATGAATGTCCAGGTGTTATATGCTGTTGGACATTCATACCAGACTCATCCAATCAGGAGGGAAAGCGCATATCTTGTCCATGTGCACAGGTCCGACTGCCCGAATCGCTTTGAGCAGGGCGGTCCGAGATATGTCGTCTCTATCAGAGAGGCGCTAGTCAAAATCCAGTAGGCCAATGCGATCCCCACAGTCGATATCTTGTTAGCGTCCAACAGACACGAGCAACTCCAGACTGAAGGGACGACGTTGAATTAGGGACTGCGCGTCTAGACCCCACACTACCTGAGATAAGGGGTGTGGCCAGCCACGTGCGCACCCAAAGTCACAAGAATTCGCATACCCCCGCATTGTCGCACCCATTCCATTGGAATAACTCTAAACCGACTCTATCGCCGGCCTCGGCTTTCCAGATTCATCGTCCTCAGTGTTACTCGAACGCAGCTCTGCTCAAGATTGATAGAATCGTGCACTGTCACTCGGCTGAATGCAATCAAATTCTACAAGAAGCATCCATACCAAATCGAGGAAAGGTTGTTTACGATGTAAGCGAAGGAAGGTAAGTTTCTAATGCTCTTTTCCGAAGTATGATGACGTACGGTTCAATGGAATTTGACGTTTTGTAACAGGTGAAATGCGATGAGACGAAACCTGCATGCACTCGTTGCGAGAGCAGAGGATATCAATGTCCGGGCTACGCACTTAACGTGCGCTGGTCACAAAAGCATCAAGCACAGCCAGATAGTTCTCGCTTGCAAAATCGGACCCTTGCTCAGACGCATCTACGATCATTCAGTCGAGATCTGAATGGTAGTTCCCTAGAAGAGCTCTTGTTCTCTGCTTCGGTCGATAATGACTCCGCTATGGCTCGGTCCTATGCCAGCCCTGTTAGTGATGAAAATCAATGGTCCAATGATGAAGCCAATCAGACTCCGCAATGGGACTTTCCTCTTGCCGAAACCCTCCTCACTGTCGAAGGTTCTTCTAACAGTGCACTTACTGCTGATCATATGCCGCTGTTGCCCAACAATTCTATATGGGACTCAACAGCCTCCAGTGGAATCTGGGGTGCGGCTGGCTGCCCTCCCATCGCCGAAGATGAAGACACTTCGATAATACACGGGCGTCCGTCCATGGAACTCAACATCTCTACATCCAACATTTCATGTATATCCAGGCCACAGGAATCTTATCGAAGGAGTCAATCGCCTAATGTTCTTACCATTGCTGCGTCCAGTCATGCTACGCCTAGTTTACCCCGAGAGCTTGTCCACACCCCCACAGTCCTGTCACAATATTTCTTCCAAGAGGTCATCACACTTTACTGCACTTGGGATAGTAATGTGAACACGATGCGTAACATCATCGAATCGAAGTGGCAGTCCTTCGGCGCCCTGCACCACACCATCCAGAGCATGGCTGCAGCATGTCTAGCTAAAGACTTTCCCCATCTTGCCTCCATGGCCGCGACCGAACACTCCCGCGCCCTCACTTCCGTCCGTGGCACTTTACCTTCTGCCGAGCTGTACGAAGCGAAGTTGATCGTGTACACGATGCTAGGCCACACAGCAAGCTGGCTCGACCCCCACAACCTCGCCACAGACATATTCCGCGACACCTACAAAGCCGTCAAAGAAATGCCCAGCGACGACAGCAGCAACTCCCGACGTTTCTTTAGCGGGACCCTCGATTACTGGGCCATGCTCCTCGCGTACCTCACCGACTGCGAAGACCTAGGCGACTACGAGCCCGGCACAACACCAATCACGAAGCCAACAGCCTCGGAACGCATAGATCCGCACCCATATTCCGGCCTCTCGCAGGAAACAGTGCAGATAGTAACAGAGATCGGTATACTGATTTTCCAGTACCGAAAACGCATGTCGACGATCAAATTCCTACTCGAGGAACATCTCGACACCTTCCGCGAAGCCCTCCGCAAGGCTCGTCGGCTGGAACGAAGTCTCCTAGCCCACCGTCTTCCAGAACTCACCCAAGTCCACGACACGGGGGACCCGAAGACGCCACTGAGCCACCTCCAGGCCATAGACGAAGCATACAGATGCACCGGCCTTCTCCAGCTCTACCGCGTATTCCCGGACCTCCTCAACGAGCGCTACGCCCCGTGGAGTAAAGAGTACATCCTTCGGCCCGTGCCTGCGGAGAAGGTCCCCACGGCCAAGGAGCGTCGTATCTGGCTGACGGAACTCGCGAAGCACATCCTCAGCATCCTGCAGGAGATCCCGTTCGAGTCGAGTACGCGCTGCGTGCAGCCGTTCATCATGGTTGCTTTGTCGAGCGAGCTGGAGCATGAGAGCAGTGGACATCCGCTGGATGGGTTCGGCGTCGATCAGTCGTCGGTGGAGGTGTCGCGCGCGCGGAACTTCATCTGCTCGAGGTTGGCGGCGTATTGGCATATACTGCCGCTGCAGAAGGTGAAGGTTATTTTTGAGTTGATTAAGTGTATTTGGGCGGCACTGGATTCGGGGAAGAAGGATGTGTATTGGTTGGATGTTGCTTATGAGAGGAGCCTTGCTACAATGATGGGCTGATGGATAGATAATGGTTTCACGATGTATGAATATTCATGTAGGATTGAGCAAATGAAGAATTTATATTGATTGATGATGCTCTACGGTCGCCCCATAGCTTGTTCAATGAGTTTCAGAGCCGCGAGAACCTTCTCGTCCTCATTGCGTCGAGCGACAACCTGAAGACTTACCGGCATATCGACGAATACCTCAGGTTTGTACATCTCGTACACAAATTTATCCTCCTCGTTCTTTGGCACATAGGAGGTGTCGATGGGGTCCTTCTCAATGGAGACGTGGGTGACAGGGAAAACTGCTCCCGGCCAATCCAACACGTTCCAATGCGACGTGTAGCCCCAGTAGCGAGACTGATTGTGAGGCGTCGCGGCGCCGAAATTTGGAGGACATAGTATTACGTCGATTTCCCTGCCGTCGGCAGCGGTTGCCTCTCTCCAAGCACGGGCGTATTCCACGCGATACTCGTCTCTGCGGCGGCAAAGCTTAAACACACGTCAGCTGGGGCACGAAGATATCTTGAATTAACAACCATTGACTTACATCCCAAAGTTCGTGTTGCGTGAGGTGTTTCATGTTTGGCTGGTCATGCACGACGAGTCTGGTGAGAGGAAGAATCGGCTCTCCAACCTCCTCGGCCCTCTTGATCGCCTCTTCTCCACCATCAGGGAAGAAGAGACCGGTGATGATTTCCCATCCCTTTGCATGATCCAGAGGCACTGCGTCCCAGTCTACCACTTCCATACCGGCTTTGCGGCAGGCGTCGGCGACTTCTTTCAATGCTCTCGTCATTGGTGGATGAGGTTGCACGACACCGTCCCACCACATGACGGCGACCTTGAGTGGTTTAGAGAATTGATGTGGTGTCCAAGGTAGAGGGGTAAGAGATGGATCAATTAGCCATGGCTTTGTTGAAACGGCTGCTTGCATGAAGAGTTCGAGGGCGTCGCGTTCGACGCTCATGGGCCCGGGTGTAGAGACTAGAGTTTCTTTGCCCACCATCATTGCTCTTGCTCCCATAACGGATATGCGCTTCAACGTAGGCCTATACATAGTGAATCAGTCTCCAATTTCCATGGTTCTACTAGTCGAAGATGAATTGAAAAACTCACTTGAAGCCGTACACGCCAACGTGAGCTGCAGGACAGCGAATACTTCCGCCTATGTCTCCTCCAACACCCTATTCATGAACGTCAGCGGTTGATTCATATTTTCACGATAATGCGCATGATTTACCAGTATACTCGCTCGCATGCCTAACATCGCACCCTCCCCACCACTACTGCCACCAGGAGATAATTTATTGTTAGACGGATGAACAGTCCTCCCATACACTACGCTATCGGTCTCCAACTGCATAATCCATTGAGGCTGCGTAGTTCGCGCATAGAACACACAACCTTGCTCCCATAGGGTATCGTATAGCAGATTGGATCCATGTGGTTTGCCAATCCAAGCTACGAACGAAGCATGTGTGGTAACGTTAGGTCCCACCATACCATGATGTTCCTTGGTAGAAATGGGCAAACCGAAGAGCATACCCTTAGGTTCTGGGAGTGAGTCGAGCTCTTTTGCTCGGGCGATGGCCTGATCCCATAGTAGCTCTGTCAAGCAGTTTGTCTGTCGAATTCAGCTTTCGGCATCCTTTTGATGGTCACATAATGGAATACATACAGCTGCCTGAGCAAGCGCCGCTCGACGTAGAAATGCCCGAGTGACTTCCTCGACTGAAATCTTCCTGCCTTTGAGAAGTGCGAGAAGCTCTGTGACGGAGTACTTTTCCGTAATCTCGATCTCCCTAGGTGTGAGTACGACTTGCGCCAGGCCTTGTGAGTTCTGGGGAAGCTCTGATGGTATGCCTTCCAGTTTTGGTTCTACTTTCGCAAGGCTTTGATCTCGTCGGTCTCGTGCCCAGGCTACCCTCTCTTCGCAGGTGTTCACGCCATCTGGCAGGAATGTGGTTGGCGTGCTCATTGTGGCGAGGTGTCAACCGTCACAGGTAATGTGTTATGCAAGTATGCAAATGCAACGGGCAAATGCTAGACTTTGTGAATTGTGACGATTAAATCGTTCCGAAGCTGCTTTGTTTGTTTGCTTGGGAGTATCGTAAGGTACCTCCGGTTGTCGGGTTACGGCGTCTATTCCAGTTCATCGGTTAGCTGCGGCCTCGATCCGGAAAGCTAAAGCGCGGGGTACTTCACCTGATATCGGTAGACAGTGTTGAGTAACAGGTAGACCAACGTATACTACAGTATCAAATAATGGAAAATTCAAAAATGAAGAAAAATAAAATATCACATTGGATCGGTAATTGAATGAAAAGTGTGGATATCGTTTACGTGCGTTCATTATTTACTACATCTTATCTACCATCACCCGGTTTCGCGTGTGGTTCTCTTATCATCGTAAACAGCTTGATCGCAACACCATTATCATCGCAAATCAGGTCTTTTCGTAATCGAAATCCAAATCGGCCATAGATGGCCACATTTGGAACATCTCGACTGGATTCGAGATAGCACTTCATGTCCTCTGCATCGGCTTGGTCGGTAACGGCTTTCATCATCTTTGCTCCAACACCTTTCCCTTGCGCTTCTGGCATGACAACCATGATGTTGAGAAAGTAATACCCCCGAGGATCATCCCAGACTTCTGATTGAACTTTTGCCTGTGCCTCTTTCCAGATGTAATATCGCTGTGATACGTGTTAGCTCCTCGTGACTCCGTGCGACATATAGGGGAACTTACCTTGACATTCAATCCTCCGCGACCATAGTAGAGATTCATCGCAACTTGGCTGAAGTAAAGCTTCCAACCCTCATACCAATCGTTCCAAGTTTCGGGGGTTCCTGCAGGTTGGGGACGGAGCCACATTGCAACGCCTAAGATTTTGTCGCTACCCTCTTCTTTCGCGACGTGGAAAATGCCATTGCGCATGCCCCATCGCATGCGTATGCCGAGTGACACCGCGTTGCGCTGAGCGTTGAACTGTAGACGTCTTTACTTAACTTCATGTTTCTGAAAGATAGATAATAAGGTAATCTTACTTTGGAATGATCGTATACCCAGGTGTTATACGGGTCGTTCGCGAAAGCAGCCCTGTCAGTCATCTTAGCATGTCGAAAATAACGCAGAATATATATCAGAGGAACCAATCATGAGCATGGGAATTTGGTTATACTTACTGCACTGCAGCTACAGCTCCATCAATGTCCTTTTCAGAAAGATTGGTGACTTGGACAACCATATTGGCTGATGAGTTTCAATTTTGTTAATACCAAGGGCGCTCGTTTTGATTTCCACGAAGGGAGGTCTGAATCAATTGACAGCTCAAGATCAGCTTCGAGAATGAATAAGCATAATTATTGAAGCATTATCAAAAAGATTAGACAGCGCAATGGTCAATCGAGTCTATCAGTGTTGAGTGTCACGAGGCCTCTCGGGAGCTGGAATTCTCGTTGCGACCTTCCAGATACGGCATAGCTCCATCTCCGCGATATCGGGTGGCCAATCACCCTCCAACTTGCCAAATCGGGTAGTTGTGAGCGAGCGAAGTATCGGGACACGCGACGGCCAATGTTCCCCCAAGATATGGACGTTAAAGGTAAAGATTGTTATCATTGAACGGATTCTTAACTTTGAATCCCCAATTGATAGCATACTCCTTATCGACCAACAATGCCTTTCGAACCGGCGATGGGAGAAGACCTGCGCAGCAAAGCTGAGCGCCGTCTCTTGGCTCTGGCGGAGGCATTCCGACCAATTGAGTCTCCGAGAGATGGAGTTCACCAGCTCATGACCAATATAAGGACGGCTCTTGTTGCGGATCCCTTGCTTCCTAGACCAAATCCCACAGCTTCTCTTTGGCAAAATCCTGCGCATCCAATCGTTGCAGCGATACAATCTCCAACATTACCGACACTTACCGACTATGTCATTATTGGTTCTGGCATCACTGGCTGCAGTGTTGCGAGATCCCTTCTAGACGATTGCAAATCACCAGACGAAAGGCCACATGTTACTATTCTGGAGGCGAGAACGCTATGCAGTGGTGCGACTGCGCGCAATGGCGGACATCTCGTGACCCCGGCTGGACACACCTATGGACCTTTAGCGAAAAGATATGGAGAAGAGGCGGCGAAAGAAATAACTCGATTTAGCATCATGAATATTGACCGTTTGATGAAGCTGGTGCGCGAGATGGACCCGAAACTTCAGGAAGAGTGCCAGATGAGAGATGTCCTCAAGGTCATGGCTGTTTTCGATGAGGATCTTTGGAAAGAGGTGGAAGAGTCTGTGAGGGCGTTTCAGAGAGGCGTGCCAGAGCATAGAACGTTCCATCGGATAATAGAGAGAAATGATGTTCCCGAGGTGCGTATTTTGAAGATCTAATATATCATACATTGGAGCGGTGACTAAGACATTGTTACAGAAGTGGAATGTCAAAGGCGCATGCGGTGCTGTTGAGCATGAGGCGGGAGCAATATGGCCATATCGATTGATAACCGGCATGTTTGAGCGTCTTCTCGCTCGATATCCGTATAATCTTTCCATAGAAACCAACACCCCGGCGACGTCTATCCAATACATCGTACCGGATCTATCCACGACACCAGGCTCTGATTACAAGTACGCAGTATCAACACCGCGCGGTATCATCCATGCGAAAAGAATCGTGCATTGCACGAATGCCTATGCTTCTCATCTCCTCTCACCTCTGGCAGGCAGGATATACCCATTCCGCGGGACGATGTCAGTTCAAAAGGCCGGCCCAAACTTAAAGAATCTGGGCAACGAAAAATCATGGAGTTCTATGAGCCGGTCTCAATTTGATCTAAAGAGCGGTGTGTTCCAGTACGGACTGTATTATCTCCAACAAAATGGGAAAACAGGTGACATTTGGGTTGGAAATGAATGCGACAACGTGCTCGAAGCTCTACAAAGCGACGATACGTACGTATCGGAGGAAGGAAGAAAAGCTCTGCTGTCTTTCCTGCCAAATTATTTCTTGGAAGGGTGGCCAAGCGGCAGTAAACCAGATCTGAAAGCAATCTGGACGGGGATTCAGGGTCATACGGCCGATGGGCTTCCAGTTGTAGGAAAAGTACCAGAACATTTGACGGGGAGGCAGGGTAGTGACGACGAATGGGTCGCGGCAGGATTCAATGGGTACGGGATGGACAAATGCTGGCTCACCGGTGAAGCACTGGCCAGCATCATGATGGACAGGGGCGTCGCCACCTGGTTCCCGAAGTGTTTTCTACTTACAGAAGAACGGTTGGAGAAAACTTTGCATTTAGAGCACGCCTTGGAGAATTGGAGGTCCATTGCAACAAAAGCCACATAGAGCCTCAAGGTAGTAATAGAAAATGGAATTGCTGAAGCAAAGCTCAGCAAAACAGCAAAGATGGCGTCAAGACGTCCAAAGACATACTGTGTAGAACATCCGCAAAGTGAAATAAACACCTCGTTCGCAGAAAGTAGAGGCCAGAACAGTAATGCAACTCTACTCTGTACATCAGATGCATCTGCATGCATTGAAGAAAGTCTAGATACCTTTCGTGAGGGGTCTGTTTGTATAAGCGTTACCAAAGGGGTCTTAAGGCTGAGGCAGTGCGCTTGATGTGTTGACCGCATTCTTCTCCTTTGCTTAGTCTAGTTAGAGTTAATTTACGGGGAGGCCTTAAACCAGGCACCCACCAATCACCGTCCACCCTTCCATCGCTAGAGCCGGAATCCCCTCGATATCTTGTCTCCTTTCCTTTCCCATGTTCCTTTTCTTGTGGACCAGCGAACTTCTCCTACTGGCTCGTTGCCTGAGAAATTAAGCTCTCGGGAGACCCGTCTGTGGCTTGGACGTTGAGATGATCTGAGCACAGGCACCATCTCCTCTAGCATTGTCAAGTCCAATTACACATTCTGTTCGAAGGATGCGACTGCCTGGGATACGGTGTCATGGCAATTCTTCGTAGGACAGGTGAGAAGCTAGAAGAAATTGGCATATAAAGTCTCGACGATCTTCATTTTCTACCCATCTCTACTCATCGCAGCATTCAATCGTTCAGTCCAAAGTACCTCGTAAAATCTAATAATTCAATCGTTAATCATGAAGTCATTCGCTATTGCTTCTCTCCTCCTCAGCGCCCCTGCGGCATTGGCCCTGCCCGATGTCGTGGCCCAAGCACTCCCTGAAGGCTGCGCTTCATACCCTGGCTACAATGAGGACACCGGCATCGCTGGTCCCTGGGTTCTCCAGACTGTAGATACCGAGAACGCTGCTATTAACGGCTTCTCCGATATCTCCGTCTACTCAATTGCCTACAACCCCGCAACAGACCGCAAGCCCACCATTCGATGGGGATTCGTGAGTCCCCACAATGCATCCTTTACTTATATCAAAAACTGACAACCCGAGCAGATCAACTTCCCCAACGACAACAAGTACGCCAAGACCCCTCTCCAGTGCCAGGACGGCGTTCTCCACGCCCGCCCTGCCACCGACCTGACCGCCGCCGGCGCTCCCACCAACTACCAGTGGACTCCCCTGGTCATCGCGCCGTACCCGTACGCCGCGAACCTGATGTACAAGATCGAGGGCGAGGAGGTCAAGATCTTCGAGCACTACATCGACGGCGTCAAGCAGCCCGGCGCCTTCATCGGCGGCTACGACAACTCCACCACCTGGGGCTTCCAGTACCAGCCCGCCAACCAGGGCTCCAGCGGCTTGGACTACTTCTCCATCAGGCTGTTGGGCCCCAACTCGGCGGATCCTACTACCGGCGAGGCTCTGCGCGCCAACGAGACTAGGGGGTTCATTAAGATCCTTGGTTAGATGGGAGAGGTTAGGGCGGATTGAGACTGCGATGAGCATGGGGGTTGTCGAATTTGCATGACTACATAGAGTAAATGTCGGAAAGGGAGAGAGTATGATTGTTGGTAGTATCTCAGCATTCGCATCTTTCTTCCAAGAACACTATAATAGATTACGTTTATGTCCCCAGCTGCATGATGGGATTCACAAGAAGACGTTCATTTAAGGTTGCGTTTGAAATGTGGGGTATTGAGACACTCCGATATTAGATCGAGACAGAAGAGCTATTGAGACATTCTAATGTGAGATCGAGACTGAAGAGATCGTGCTGAACGACCGTCCATATGTCGTCAACGATCTGTCTCGTACGAGACGCAATCGAGTAATATGCATGAATATAGCCGTTCCGTTGTTTGTTTATCTTGCATGCGTCAACCGTAGATGTGAAAATCCAGATTTGGTTGCAGGGCGTTCACGACAATCTAATCTAAGACATCGTCGTAGTTGTATAGCGGTGTTAATATACTTTGCCCATCTATCTTACTGCAGCCTTGTCGCATGACTATTATCAAATAGTACGTAGTCTCTGTCAATGTTTCTTAAGTAGCATAATTTCATATACTTATATAGACCTATTCGCACTATAAAACTACTTGAAGATCATCACTATGTCATGGCTACAAGCTACAACGTCCGATACAAACAACATACTCTACCTCCCATGATGAAACTTCGCAAGATCGCACCCGCCCTCATCACCCTCCTACAAACCTCGAGCGCTCACTGTACGCAACCACCACTAACACCTCATCCAACCACACTCACCGCGCACAGATGTCTTCAGCCGCCTAATCGTCAACAACACCCTCTCCACCGACTTCCAATACATCCGCGACATCCTCGGCGTCAGCGGCACCACCCTCTGGTCGAAATCCTACCCCATCTACTCCCCCTCCGACCCCGATCTCATCTGCGGGCGCTCCACCTTCCCCCTCCGCAATCCCGGCATACAAACCGCTGTGATCCGCGCCGGCGACGATGTGAGTTTCATGCTCTCGACCCCCGAGATAAAAGGCGAGCCCCAGGGCTACATCTTCCACAACGGGCCGGGACAGGTCTTCTTGTCGAGGCTTCCGGACGGGGTGAGGGAGCTGGGTGAGTACGATGGCGCAGGGGATTGGTTCAAGATTGCGTATCAGGGGACGCGAAACGCGACTGCGTGGCTGTTGACGGGCGAGCCGTACATGAATTTCACGATGCCGGAGGCGACGCCGCCGGGGAGGTATCTGATGAGGATGGAGCATTTTATGCCGAATTGGCAGAGGGAGCAGAGTCAGTTCTTTGTTAGTTGTGCGCATGTTGAGGTTGTTGGGGAGGGGAAAGGTAGGTGGTTTCGTGGGAGTGGACGACGAATTGGTAGTTTGTGCTGATGGTGTGATAGGAGTGCCGATGGATTTCGTGAGGTTTCCGAATGCGTATAAAGAGGATGATCCTTGTGAGTTGCAGTTTTCTAGAGCTTGCGCAATGGATTTGTGTTAATGTGGATAGGGATCTGGTTTCATGACAATGCGACTGGATACTTTCCCAAGGATATTTCAGTATATCAGGAACCGGTTCCGAAACTGTGGACCGGGTAGACGTCGAGATACCCTGTTAAGGGCAGGGCCTTTTTCCAAAGACAGGAATGCTAGAGTAAGCGAGCCTTGATGCCTAGAATGCGAGACGAATAGCGGGCAGGTTTCCGAGAAGGCAAGACATGATTGGATATTGTAGTCAGGAAATTCGTAGTTTATGTACACTAGAATCGAAAATCCTCACCCGAGTGTCGGAATGGAGCATTGTTACTCATGTCTTGCATGCCCTTTACACCTATGGGGTTTAAGTCACTCTACTGATCATGTGTTTTCGCGTTGCACGCGGTCTCACCGGTTGCCTGGACCCCGCTCCAAGCTGACAATGCCATCACTATAAAGAGTCCCACTAGCAAAGGCTCTCGTACCAGATTCTTTGTTCAACAAAAGCCAAATTGTTAACCTTCCTCCTTTCTATCAATTTCACACAATCCTACACACACTAAAGCTACAATGCCTCAACGAGCAACAGGACTCGATCACGTCTCCTTCCACGTCCCACCATCCAGGTACGAGGAAGTGGTGAAATGGTACACCGCAGCGCTCGCCCCAATCGGCTACTCCAAGCAATTGGATTTTGGCGTTGCTTGCGGTTTTGGAATCGACAAGGCGTCCGCTGATTTTTGGATCGGCTCCAAAGAGGGACCAGAGATCAGTGGTTTACACATCGCGTTCAAGGCGACGGACCATGAGACGGTAGACAAGTTCCATGCCGAAGCCATTAAGGCCGGTGGTACTTGTAATGGAAAGCCTGGCATTCGTGAGATGTATCATCCGAATTACTATGGGGCGTTCGTGTTTGATCCCATGGGGTAGGTGTAATCGAGTTGCTTGACGAAATCAATGCTCACCAAGGACAGGAACAATATTGAAGTTGTTGACCATCAGGCCCATTAGTGAATGGTTTATGCGAAATAGGCGTTGTACAGGCGGATACAAAAGAAAGGTACTAGTAGCTGCCAGTGCAATCGCAAAATCTCAAGAATAGGAGCACATTTAACAAAGCCCCTGATTGAAAGAACACATTGTATACTGAATGTTTCAAGCTTTGTTATAAGACATACCCAATAATGTTATGTATAGCTACCTCTGCGAACTGCTTCAAGCAGGGTTCCTTTGTAGCCTAAAGCACAATACAAGCAATGGTATGTTTCCCAGCTCCTGCACCAGCATTATCCCCCTTATTGTCATGCTCAAGTTTCTCTACTACACTAGCGAGTAATTTACTTGTAACTGCTCCCTTCTTTCTGGCGCCAGCACCATAATCTCTAATTACCACCTCTTCTACTTACAACAACAGCGACAAAACTGCAACTACGGGCCTCAGGCCTCATATACGCTCCTATCCTAGCCATTAAAACAACGATCTACGTAAATCTCCTCTAGCAGGCTATTCGCGCGCTGTTCTACATGCTCTAGTTTGCTGTTCCTTACCTTATTATGCTATTAGCTGTGCACAATAACAGCGCTCTTCCCCTCGTATCCCAAGAACCTCAAATGAACACCCGTGAAGAACATTTACCTCTCCCCCTAGACTCTTAAAAATCGACCGATCAATCTGCGAATGTGTCATCTGAAAAGGGCCTTTTATTTCTCCGTTGGCAACTGTTGTCCTGTGCGCAACGGTTATGTTTCTGTACTGGCTGTCCCCGCCCCGTACCGCACCGCAGTCCGAGTCTAGGGGCCACCGTTGGACTAACAAAACAGGTCTTTGCGATACTACATGGTCAGGTAGTCGCTCATTCAACCTTCCTATTTACTACGAACACCCTACACGCACGACCTGAAATATTAATCAAATAACATCATTATTTCCTCGGCGATATATTGTCGATGTTAATGTCGACGTGTTGTGCACCGACCAGCCCAGCCCAAGTCTAAGAAAATCGGCATTAAGAACCCCACTCCGGAGCAGCACTCTGCGGTACGTGCATCATGCTCTCTCTTTTCCTCACTACACAGTACTAACTAATCATCACGATCGACAATTTTTCAATCGTTCCAAAAGGGAAAAGCATTTAATTCCGGATTGTATACACTCGCTATATCAACTACACCCATACGCCTACCTATACATCTATGCATCTATACCTCGCATCCTGTGTCTCCACCTCCCCACCACAACCTGAATTCAGCAAAAGATATTCCTGACAAGTTACACCCCTCCGTGATTCTACTGGTTGTAAATACACTGCCACTGTCCCTTGAAAGTGGTGCCGGCAGCGCAGGGGTTGTTCCCTGGCGCGTATCTGCAAGAGCCGACGTTGTCTTTCCCATTCTGCATCAACCAAATGTTGTTGTCCGGCTCTCCGCAGCCCTGCATGCTGTACTGGAAGTCCTTGTTGGGGAACGAGAAGCGGATGTTGCAGGGCTGGCCTTGGTCGTTGTACACGCCCAATTCCTGGTAGCGACCCGAATCGCATGGGTCCTCGCCGTTCACCCACGCTACCCACATGGCGTGGTCGGGGTTGCTGTTCTCGCGCAGGCCAATGTTGATGGCGCTGGGAACGTTGGGAGTCTGTCTGGCGGATACCTCGCGCGATGCGTGCTCGGCGGTCGCCGGCGCAGCAAGAGTTACGGTACTGAGGGACAGGAAGCCGATGATGGCAAGGGTGATGGATGAGGTGGAGCCTTGGATCTGCATCTTGGATGTATGGAAAGATTTCTGAGGATTGGCTTTGGTGGTACTGGAAAATTGGAACAGTGAAAATGGAACAGAAAGAAGATTGAAACGAGAGTGTGTGCTGCGACGAGCGATAAAGAGTGACTGCGTAAAGCGAAAGTGATGGAATTGGAGATGTGTTGATGGAGACTTGATGGTGCGGTACGCACCTCAATTTATAGAGAAGTTGAGACATGCTTCTCCCCTCCACCTCTTCCCTCCTCCACTCCTGCGCCCCCCAGCTTGATCTCGAACTGCCATCTAGCCCATACTCAATCGCGACAGTTTTTTTTTTTAGCAAAGTCGAAATAGATCCATAACATGAGTTCAACTTTGATATCTGCAATTCCCGGAGTCCGGTTTCAGTGAACAGAATCCTCGAGTATTGGTACCACATTTTCAGGCTGGAGACGAGATCACATTCGCGCTCCACTCGTATGGCATTCATGTCTGCAACATCGGGAAAATAGAAAAATGTTGCCTGTCCCTCTGAAATCCGGACATGTTCGAGAGATCTTCGTATATTATAGTGACGAAACGCATCAAAACAGCTAGCGCCATGCACGGATGCACATGGATCGGACTTGCATACCAACACTCCTATTCTGGTTGACATTTATGCAGCCAAAACAATCGAGACGTCTCGGAGATTATTCAAACATTTCTCAGCGCCGTTGAAATTTATGGTCACTTATCAAAAACTGGAGATGTTGGGTTGTTACTAACAAGCGCTCATTCTGATTTGGGTTGTAGCAGTAGAAGGCAGATATATAAAAGCTCATTCTGATCGATGCTTTCTCGACTATCAACACATTCATTCACTTGAAGATCAACACACTCTTTTCATCGAAGATTACCACACTCTTTCAGCCAAAAATCACCACATTCGTTTACTTGCACACCAATTGTTGAGAACTCATCAGCTACCAAGTCATCCTCTTTTTTTTTTCAGAAACCCAGCAACACCTCTTCCAACATGTCTGTCATTGACGCCATCGGTCTCGTGGGAACCCTCCTCACCACCATCGGTTTCGCTCAGTCGAACTTGCCAGACGCGAGCCCTCGCGGTGCATCTATCCGCGTTAAAGTCGGGCTTCAGAATACTACCAGCTCAGACTATGGCGGCAGAATTGCAAAGATCCAAGCCTACGACTCTAACAATGCCAAGATCGGTGATCTGTCTCGTGAGTGCTTGATATGCTCCCCATCTTTGAACAAATCATGCTGACTTCTGTACACAGCTGGAGCAGATATCCAGAGTGGCGATATCGCTGATTACACATTTGACCAGCAGAGCCCTGGCACGCAATCACAGTATATTTCATTTCTCGGCACCAACGGCGGCATCTGTCTCTCTTGGATTGTCTTGAAGAACCTCGACGGTGCTGCCGATGCCGCCTGGACAGGTGATGTGGGCTACAAATGTGGCCATGCTTGGAACTGGGGCAGGGAGGTTGCAGGACGCGACTCCAATGGCCAGCCCTACAAACCTTTCTGCACATGGATCGATGCAGACCACACAGACAACATTGACACTGGAGCTATCAAGATCGATTTCTTGGCCTACGGCGAAAAGCTTAAAGACACCATTTCTCAGGATACCGCCTGCTCGAAGACAATCTTCGCCAAAGACGCCGTGGAGATCGACGGTGTCCCAAGCAAGAAGACCAGGCGAGCTATCAGCAAAGACCGCCCTCAGTGGATGACCGATCGCCTCCTCGTCTCCTCGTTCCCATCTGACAATGCCACTATGCTCTGCCAGTCCGAGACAAGCTACGGCCCAGACGCTATTGGTTCGGACGGCTACTACTGCAACATGGCTACCCGCGAGCTGTTCCCTCTCTGCGAGATGCACAACGTTGAGGGCTGCATTAACATCGACAAGGACAACAAAGTCGTCACCAAGCGCTCTCTGGTTGCCAAACGCTCCACCGACCTCCATTACCGATCCTACACACAGGTCGACCACCTCGACGTCAATGAGGTCGATTAAATAGGTCTCGCATCCGTCCGTCTTTCATGCCGTTGAGTTCTCGGTTGGGGAGTTGTGCATGATACCTGACGCCACCCTCTTGCATTGCTTCTTGCAGTGCGCATTGTGTTCCTAGCGTTATTCGTTGCAGCTCATCCCTTCAGCATATCATCCTGGCGTTGTTCGTTGCAGTTCGTCCCTTCAGCATAGCATTCTTAGAGTTTCCTCCGTAGCAATTGAGATCTTTTCACCACTACACATGAGCATGAACCGTCCTTGTACTCTTTCTGTCCCTTTAATCTGACTGCTAACGTTAATTCCTGATAAATCGATAACTCTGTACGCCGCCTCCTTCGCTCTTCTCCCTTTGTCATAGTTTATTATACGAAGGTTCCGTCGATCCCCACTCACGCACCGTGACACATGAGAAACTACACGTCCTGTGCCATTACCCCCCTTCCCCGAAGACATGGAACACTGGCAGCTGATCACATGACATATACCATACCACCTCTACATTTGTATGTATTGCCATGGGTCATTGTACGATACGGTGTAATAGGTAATAGCGCATCATTATCGTGGAGGTATTGTAGCGACATGATGGAGACAAATTAAGAGAGAGTAGTCGATCACGCTTTTCGCAATTCACAGTAGAACACCCAATGTTTGTTCCTGTCTGGCACAGCGATTCGATGTTGAAATAGAGGCATAGAATGGGTGCCTGGATACGTAGATACTGTGGTGTAAAAAGAAAAGGTGTTAGTAGCTGTCTAATTAGTTACAAAATTTTACAAATAGAAGTATATTTAATGAAGATGATGATTAAGAAAGTGTTAATGTCCTATGCCTTATAAGATATGCTAAAAAAACTTAAGATATATATAGAGCTGTATAGCTAATAAGTAAGTAAAAAATTATCAGTAGGTTAACGAGTTAACGAGATAGCGATGGTGTGGATACTTGAAGGGTTGCCGGATCGCCGTTCCTACACTTCTCATTTTGGCGACGCTATTTGTCTTGTGCCTCCTACTACACCCACACCTGCGCGACATACTGCGTTTTTGGGAAGTGAATATCGCATCTGACATCATTTCCTGTCAGCAACAAGAAAAGTAAATCGAAAGGGCCCCACAACTCTCCAGGTGCTATCATCTTGGTGTTGTCGAACTGAGTATGTTTGCGGCCTGTTTTGGTATCTCGGGCTTCCATAGCATGGTGGCGGGTACCCGAGGCGTAGACCAAAGGGTTCGTATAAAGAGAATCAGAAAGTACACGGACCCAATCTTTCACAAAGACTTCTTTTAAGCTATACTATTCATATCTTGAGCAAACACCGTTATGCCTTTCATCCAAGACGCCGGGGCGCCAGACGGCCTTCCTGTTGTTCCCCTGTACGTGAATGGAAGCCCCCACCCCGTGGACAAAGACCGCCTATTTCCCATCGTGAATTCCGTAGAGAATAAAACTATTCACTACGCTGTATCTGCAGACCCCGACTCTGCGACACGAGCCTGCGATGCAGCATCCGAGGCCTTCAAGTCATGGCGGAAAACATCGCCTGCGCATCGTCGCTCGCTGCTTCTCAAGGCGGCGGACGTACTTGATCGCAGACGGGAGGAAATCATGGACTGGCAGGTCAGAGAGACGAGCTGCCCCAAGGAATTTGCGGCGTTCAACATAATGGCGGGCGCGATGTATGCAAGGGAGATCGCGGCCGCGACCAGTGAGATTCGAGGCACGGTATCACAGAGGCTGTCGAAGCCAGATGGGGAGGAAATCGGTGGCCTTACTATTGTTGTGCGGGAGCCGGTGGGCGTAGTACTCATCATCCCTCCGTAAGTGCTGACGACTGTCGTCATCAAGTTGGAAACGATTCACTGATGTAACACGTAGTTGGAATGGGGCAGTCATCTTGCCAGTCCGCGCAATCAGTATGGCTTTGGCGGCTGGATGTGCAATAGTCGTCAAAGCATCTGAGCTTTGCCCTCGCCTCCACAGTGTCCTTGTGGAATGCTTCGAAGAAGCCGGTATCCCTAAGGGAGTCTTGAACATCATCCAAGCGAAGAGAGAGGATGCTGTGCAAGTGGTTGAATCGATAGTATCACATAAAGCTATTCGAAAGGTCGATTTCATTGGCAGCGCTGCAGTTGGTAGCAAGATTGGCCAAGTATGCGCCAAATACCTAAAACCAATCCTGATGGAACTGGGCGGTAAGGGCCCTGCGATAATTCTAGAAGATGCAGATCTGCAAAAGGCCGCTCAACTCTGTGCTATGGGTGGTATGTATCGTCCATTCTACTACTTGACAATACTTTTGCTTATTATTTGAAGCCGTCGCCGATCATGGACAGTTGTGCTTTTCCACCGAACGGATCATCGTACACAAGAGTGTTTATGATCGCTTTGTTGCGATCCTCACGGCCATTTTCTCCAAGATTCCCGCAGCCGGCGATTCTGTTACAAGACAATCAGCAACGCATGCCTACGATGTCCTAGTAGACGCTCAAGAGAAGGGCGCAAAGTTTCTCGTCGGCGGACCTGAATACATCCGTCCGACAAGTCTAAAGCCAACCCTCGTTACAAATGTTTCGCGCGATGCTCGAATATGGGACGAAGAGACTTTTGGTCCATCCGCATCAGTGTACATTGCAGAAGACGACGACGATGCAATTGCGAAGGCCAACGACTCAGCGTACGGGTTGAACGCCGCCGTCCACAGTACGAGCTGGGAGCACGCTTACAATGTATCTAAGCAACTTGAGTACGGCCAGGTTCACATCAACAACATGACACCTTCAGATTCTCGTAAGTCAGCAACTTTACTTGGTAGAGACACCTGAAACTAATTAAGGCTTAGCCGGAGCACCGATTCGGGGAGTGAAGGGGTCTGGGTGGGGACAATCGAATTCGATTTGGGGGATCCACGAGTTCAGCATCGAGAAAACACTGTCATTCCATCCGTCGGAGGTCAACCCTCTGATTATGCCCTCATGATCAACAGATTGTTGAGATTTCTATCTTGTTGTTCCGTTTGTCTTGCTCGCAGCCAATTTCCTCTGTTCTAGCCGGTATTCTGGAAGTCGCATCCACCTATCGCTTATGAAGGAGTATAAAATGCCGGCGCAGTCGTCACCAACGCAGAGATGGACCAAACGATCGTCAGTATCTCCAGTCTTGGAGGGCAATACCTAGATGTTTCTTAGCTTTACTAAAAATGTTCTTGGGATTTGATCACTCACTCGTCCGCTGCAAGAGCGATGAATCCTCCCCAAAAGAGCCATTGCGCAATCCAAAGCAAGAACACGCTGAGGATTGCAATACAAACCAACCTCAATACTACCTTTGAAATGGTTTGTTTGTTTCGTACGGCGATAAAGAAAGTACCATATCCCATGCTCTGGCATTCACCACTGTTCAGTAATGAATCTACTTCTCGGATTGGATCGTTGTGTAGCCAGTGCCGCGCGATGTTGTCTTCCAAATCCTCCCATCTTTGGTTGAACAAACCCATCATGTTTTCCATCGTTTCCTTTCGCATGTTCGACGATGCCGTGGGTATTCGCGTCTCGTACCTCCCTAGCACGGATTTGCGTTTGCTTCTGCATGATGCTAAAATCAACAAGACTACTGCAACGATTGCAACAGCTAGCCACATCAGCGCGCCCATGTAGACTAGCAATGCTGACTTCCAAACAGAAATCCTGCTCATCCTGTCATTGTAAAGATTGTGCTCTTGGCCGTAATCGAATGTCATGTACATATAGTACCAACCTAGGGCTTGCAGAATCATCTCTCCAGTCAAGGTTGCCGCGACGACCGAAGATTCGAAGGTCTCCGGAAATCTCTGAAGAGCCAAGATAGTAGTCAACCACGAGGGTCTCGGCATCGTGCACCAAAGGAGTACGAGTTCCTGCACAGGAACAAGCTCGTATCCAGGAGTTGATTGCACGATACTCGCGTTAATCCAATTCGTAAGAAGATGAACAACAGCCATCAAGATTCCGCTGACAAGCCAATCCGATGGTATTAGCTGACTACCAAGTCTGTGGACAACGTGGTGCACTGCTTCCACTTTAATTAAGTGCAGCCCAGCGACGACCGGACCTAGGTTGATGAACAGAAGGCTCGCAAGTTTCCAGTTCAGGGAATCAGACGACTGTGTGGGAGTTAGGGAAGTCATAGGCGATGTTGAAGCCGAGCTATTTTCTTGAACAGCCTTTACGTTCCATTGCCAGGGTATTAGATCAAGGGGTATGACAGAGGCCAATTTGCGCCAGTTGTCGGGTAGGCCATGCCAGTCACTGACGTTGCCACAGAGGCTGTGAAGCCACTTCACATAATCGATCCTCGTTTCGAAGAGCTGACATGTCCCGCCGCAGTCATTGTAACTCATTCCTTTACAAAAGCATGCCCTATCCACCGAGTGTTGGACTTGGCAGAAGCCGCTGTGGTCCAGCTCACATACGTCCACGGCGCATTTATCAGGGAGTTGAGTGATGTTCGTTGGTATGTCTTCTATGCACTTCGGCCACTGCCAATCTCGTGTAGGTATGTAGGGAAAACCTGCGATGCGGGATGAATCTTTCCACTTTGCTGGGAGTGACTGTGGTCCACAGATGGCATTCATCCACAGCCGTTCTTTCGTGAGTTCCAGAGGCCCCCAGTTCCTACAGGGTTCACTGGATTCTTCGATGGTAAATACGCTGCAGAAGCATTTCTTGTCGAAGTAATCCCAGTCACCAAGGCTGCTTCGGACGAGGTCGTAGCCCGCGGTCTCTGTGTCTAGCGATATCATAGACTTCAGGGATTCACTATATTCCCATGGACGGGCTGCGTTCCCGGTATGTCTCGTGGAACCTGTGAATCCACAGGAAGCTATTGAGTAAGAGTAGTGCTCCTCGGAGGAAGAAGACACCGCAGTTTGTAGGCATGTTGGTGCGCGGTCAGTCACGTCGACAGAAGCATATCCTTCCGCGAGCGAGGCTGGCGAAAGATACAACAGCTCGTTTGTATCGCCAAGGTGAACCAGCCAGCTTCTGTGAGTCAGAGCGCGGATCCAGTTGTAAAATTGTGCTTTAGCCAGTACCGATCGGCTACAATAATCGTAGTATCTCTGGACAAAGTTGGGTGAGAACTCCTGGCTCAGACAGCTGAGTTGAGTGAGCCATTGATGGTGAGTGCAGATGACTCCGAAATGACGCGTGCATCGTCTGCCGGTGCATCTAGTCATGGCACGCAGCCATTCATCTTGGTCTTGCGATGATATACATTGCGGCATTGATGGAAGATCTTCAGGATTAACCCAGCCACCATGATTACTTTGGGTATTCCAATCCTCACTGTTGTCGAGGTCTGCACTTGTATCAGGCTGTGGAAATTTCGAAAGTTCCGTGCTGCGAGCAAGTTCGACGAGATCGGGGCCAGTGGTACGTGCAACTATGGCGTTCGCCCATAGCATTCTCCAAATAACGTGTATCCTCATTTCGGCCTGACGGGGAACGGTGTGTGTCCGTCTGTGTGCTGAACAGAAGGTTATATCAAGATGGAGCGAAGCTAGGCAGCCATGCAAGTGGTGTCCGCGGGGAATGTTGTGGAACAATCACCAGCCTATCAACGCAATGCTTGAAAATCAACGTCCACAGCCAGAAATTCGCTCTAAAATTGGTGTTTTCTCTTCTAACTTGAGCCTTTTTTGGGACGTACCTAATTATGGGTAATTTCCATCATAACGGGTAGTTTGGTGGGCACTCCGTCAATGTACGAACCCTACAGGAACGACTTGTTCGAAACACTCAATGTCTTATGTTTTAACATTCAACCTGAAATCGAATTACTAGAGCATCCGGTATAGTATGGCAGTGGTGACAATTGCTTGTAAGGGGGCAACCAAATGCCACATATGGCTACATCTAACACGGGGAAATATAGATACGCCAATCAACTGAGCAATCGCTATGGAAGACGCCCCTCCAATGAGTTTCATGAGCTTAAGGGATTCCAGAAATGAATGTTGTTCTGCAGAATCAACCAGTTTCCTCTGGCTTCATCCCTCCTGTGAACAGGCTTGTGACAACGAAGAGTCTTCCCCAGAAACACCCAAAATACAGAATGAGTGATACCAGATCGTCCTCTTCGTTATTTCTCGACACATTGTGCATCTTAAATGAACGGGACCATGCATGGTTGGAATGTAGGATGGGCCGTGATATGCTTGGCTATCCGATAAGGCCACTTTCGATTTTATCATCTTTGGGTCCAACGCCAATTAATAGCATCATAAACCAAGTGACTTACATAGTGAAAGGTAGAGGCATTGTAATCCTTTTAACATCGCTGATAGTTGGTGAAAAGCTTGCACCGCACCTGCCATGGTTGTGAGTATTTAACGCAATGGAACCACATAGAACAAGTCCACACATTTCCATCCTATTATTAGCCTCAAGAGCAACGTACAATTCATCAATGACACATCTAAATTAAGAATTTAAACAAAAATGGCACCTAATGCGGCGCTACGCAGCAAGGATGAAGTCTTGCTGGAACACTATGGCACGACCGATTGGGACCAAATAATCCGCGCGGGAGATCATGCCCGCCCTGTTCCACTCCCCAACCAATGGTATAAAATGGAACTGCCCTACGAGGCCCCCAACTGCCCCCGCATACCGTCCATTGAGGAAATCAATAAGGAGTTGGAGCCATTTGCACGATCCTGGGCCGGTGGGTATACATGTCGCATTGACAATTTCCTAGTGAAAAAGGGCTATCACCCTGGCATCATCCAAGAAGCAGAAACCATGTTGTTTTTGCAGAACATACGAGGTATGCGTGTGCCCAAAGTGTATACAGCCTTCCGTAGTTTTGACGAGACGTACCAGTGCGACGCGTATTTCTTCGTCGCAAAAATCGTCAAAGGAGAAGTCTTGGACTTGGCAAAATGGATGGGATTCAACGAACAGGTCAAACAACTTATCGGCTCTAAGATCGCTACACAATTTAAAATCATGCGATCAATTCCCTCGGAAGGGTTCTATGGTACAGTTCAGCATGGATCCTGGCCACATTACACGCACGGTCTTTGTTCACGATACAAGAAACCATGCGGTCCTTATGAGAGCTACGATGAGTTTTTTTCCGCATTATTCGAATGTGCAGAGCTTCGCGCGGCGGATACGTGCAGAGTAAAAAAATTCCTTGAGAGAGACATTAAATGGCTATCGGACTTCAAAAAAGCCATTGGAGAAAGTCAGAACAGTCAACCTGTCTTCACTCATATGAACCCTTCGTTTGAGAACGTGGTCGTTAATCCGAAGTTTGATCCCTCTGGGGTTATAGTCGACTGGAAGGTGACCTTGCTGAATTGGGATTGTGCCGGGTGGTGGCCTGCCTACATGCAGATCATCCAGTTGAGGGATTCGATCGTTTTAGACAGCGAAAGACAGGTGCAAGAAGTGGAACTTTTCCTGGAACAGGTGATGCCTCATTGGAAAAAGCAGTTTTCCAATGAAGTAAAGGTCATGCGGGAGATCAATCACTATAGCTTCTTCTGCTAGATGCCACGAGCACAGTTGGTGCCTCTGCACACTCTGTCACGCAATAGCAGAGTTGTGTGAGCGAATGAGATGATTTGATACTAGGTAGAATAGATGATACTTGATTCTGCACAAATATACAGCATTGTTTTGCGTGACCAGTTCTGCATGCAAAAGGCAAATCAGACACTATATCTACGCACTGTAGTAAAATTGTCAGGTTTCACGCTCCAGTGTGACGTTGAGCAAAGGGATACAAAGAAAGAGACATCTATAAAGATTGAGATAATCTGTATAAGGGTCGAGCCACCGATCGCTAGGATCAAAAACTCTCCCCTTCTATGAACTCCGCACCAAATGAAAACACACTGAACACAAAAGTCTTCCTTCTGTGAATTCCGCACCAAATGAAAACCCACTGAACACAAAAGTCTTCCTTCTATGACATTGCCCCGGATGAAAACACACTGGGAACCATCGCACAAAGGAATCTGATCACATCATCCAAGCCCTTTTCAATCCAAGCGCTGGGCTAGAAGCTCAACCACCGCGCAAACACTGAGCCAGTATCCACCAAGCTTGCCAAGTCGTGTCGGATGCCAGCACTCCTGAAGAGAAAGCGCCCTATCCCTCTCATGACGCAAGATCTCATACGAAGTTCCTTCGATTCGCCTCCCAAGGGGGGCAGTGATTGGCGTGCAATTCAACGAGCAAGGCCCTTACCCACGTAATGAAGGCTGCGTGTGGGTTGGCTGGATTAGCCAGGACCGGAATACCGTTGGCAATGGCATCGAATTGCGTGGGGTCTGGGTAGAAACCCAACTCTCGAACGGTGAAAGGAACAGGGGCCCCAATGTAGGAGCTCATCGTGCCATTCGTTCCATCCACTTCGAACTATCTACATTGAACAAGCCGAATGTTGCTGTCCAAATTGATGCATAGTCGAAGGCCGTGTCCATTGCTGAAGCGGATCGAGACAAGCTGCCTTCGAAAGCCTGCTTCAGCTGGAGCTGGCGATGTGGTTGATGTGTTCATTATTGCGGGTTTTCTTTGAGTGGTTTGTGTGATTGATAGATAGGAGTGGTTGCGAATCCCTGAAAGGTGCTTCTGAGGAACTTCAGAGAGGTGAAGGGGAATGCAAAAGTACGGTGGACTTGCGAACCGACAAAGTTGTAGGTGAATAGCGATTTGCAAAAGTAAAGTGGACTTGCGAACGGCAGAGTTGCAGTTGAGCTGTGGAATGCGAAAGGGTAGGTGTTGACTACGGTCATTATATAGAAGATTCCTGTTGCTAGAACCACCATTGCGCTGGGTTGTTGCCTCACAAACAAGAAATCATGGACGGGTAGAGACATCCTACATTCTGTGACGTGCTCATTGCTTGCTGCTGTACGTGACCCAAAGCGCTCATATTCTCTTTGTTCTGATATCGGCAAACATACCATGAATGCTGGATTGAGGCATCACTATTTGCTGTGTATCGACGAGACAACGTCTTATGTCTTGATCTGCACACATGGTGCATACGGCGTGTTTGCTTACAGCCTGATCTCTGGCAGAGTGACGATGTGCAGACGATTTGAGACATGGGCGTTACAAAATGATAGGTATCAAAAATTAGAGACTAGATTAGTCCGCGAGGCAGCTAGACTTCTGCATCCCTAAACTGGATATCCAGGAGGTTATATCTCGTTCATTATTGAAGCCTATGTCGGTGCATTGCGACGAGAACAAGACTAACCCAATTTGAGACTTTAATTGATTAACGCGTGCACGCGTCGCGCCAAGATCGACTATACGCGCTTCCCTCGCCAACCCCATTTTCACCCCTCCTGCCCTTGAACAACACGGCATTGCGACAACACACTTCTTTGAGATACCCCACATATCCTCCATTTTCGCGATTCTACGAGCGCAGCATTTTTGCGTTGAATAGGTCGCCTCCAAGAGCACTAAACCCTTTGCATATTCTGCGTAATGGCGGATTCTCTCCGCGATGAGGAGAAAAAGCAACGTCTGAGGCTCGTCGAAGAATTCCTCCTTCCTCGTATGTTCAAAAAATCTATGTAATCAGGGACCATTTATGCTAACAATCGGTAGAGGATGTGTCTGCGCGAAGGTAATCAGCTTCCCTTTACTCTAGTTGCACGCGACAGTTCTGATCAATGCAGTTACCAACCAGACATACTGGTTATGCTGAACCGGGGATTAAAGCGGCTCACAGTAAGCTTGGATGAGATAAGAGCACACAATAGGGATCTTGCAGATGGGTAGGATACAAAGGCAGAGAATCTACTAGGATTCCCGTGTTAATTCATTGCAGTCTGCTCAACGATCCATTTAATTTCACCGAATCCTTCGATATGGCCCTCAAGGAAGTCATCAAGGCCCTTCCCGGTCGACCAGCGCACGAAACCGATAAAGACGCCGTATACTACTGTGCCTACATTGGCAGCTTTGGCGAGTTCTCATGCAATCCGCGCACTCTGAGCTCACATCAGCTCAATCACATGGTGTCAATGGAGGGAATCGTTACCAAGACATCTCTTGTCCGGCCAAAGGTTGTCAGAAGTGTGCATTATAGTGAAACCAATCAGAAGTTTCATTACCGCGACTATCGCGATCAGACGACGACCATGGGTGCAGCAAGCACAAGCGTATACCCTACAGAGGATGAGGATGGCAATCCTGTAAGTGATTCCTCTGGGACATGATGGAGAATCTGCTAATTAGTTTGAAGCTGGTTACAGAATATGGCTTCAGCACCTATCGGGATCATCAAACTATCTCGATTCAAGAAATGCCGGAGCGCGCCCCCGCCGGTCAACTACCAAGGTCGGTCGATGTGATCCTAGATGATGACTTGGTGGATCGGGTTAAGCCCGGTGACAGGATCCAGCTCGTCGGAATCTATAGGTCTTTAGGAAATCGGAATGCCTCGTCTGGTAGCGCCACCTTCCGTACCTTGATCCTTGCGAATAACATAATCTTGCTGTCTTCCAAGTCGGGCGGTGGCATAGCGCAGGCAACAATCACTGACACTGACATTCGCAACATCAACAAAGTTGCTAAGAATAAGCGAGTTTTCGACCTCTTGTCACAGTCGCTTGCGCCTTCAATATACGGCCATGACTACATCAAGAAGGCTATCTTGCTTCTATTGCTCGGTGGTCAAGAGAAGAACCTGGATAATGGAACCCATCTCAGGGGAGACATCAATATCCTCATGGTCGGAGACCCCTCGACGGCAAAGTCCCAACTACTTCGCTTTGTTCTAAATACTGCTCCTCTTGCAATCGCCACGACAGGTCGGGGATCTTCTGGTGTTGGTTTGACAGCAGCCGTCACCTCAGACAAAGAGACCGGTGAACGTCGCTTGGAGGCCGGTGCCATGGTCCTTGGTGACCGTGGAGTTGTGTGCATCGATGAGTTCGATAAGATGTCAGATGTTGATCGCGTGGCCATTCACGAAGTCATGGAGCAGCAGACTGTTACCATTGCAAAGGCTGGTATCCACACGTCGCTGAATGCACGATGCAGTGTCATTGCAGCCGCCAATCCGATATTTGGCCAGTACGACATCCACAAAGACCCGCACAGGAACATTGCCTTACCTGACTCGCTCCTTTCCCGTTTTGATCTGCTGTTCGTTGTTACCGACGACATCGAAGATGCCCGTGACAGACAGGTCTCTGAACATGTCCTCCGAATGCACCGTTACCGGCAACCTGGGGCAGAAGATGGTGCTCCAGTCCGCGAGGAAGGTGCCCAGATGCTAGGTGTTGGCCTAGAGAACGACACAGACAACAACCGCCCCACGGAGGTATACGAAAAGTTCAATCCAATGCTCCACTCTGGCGTGACTGTCACAGTGGGTCGTGGTGCCTCTCGTAGGACAGAAGTTATCAGCATTCCTTTCATCAAGAAGTATATCCAGTACGCGAAGCGGGAAAAGCCTATTCTGACCAAAGGAGCTGCCGATCATGTCGTCGGGGCCTACTCTGCTCTCCGCAATGATGAGCTCGACTCTGGTACACGCCGTACATCGCCCATCACAGCACGTACACTAGAAACACTCATTCGTCTTTCGACCGCTCACGCCAAAGCCCGTCTTTCCAAACGGGTCGAGCAGAAGGATGCCGAAATAGCAGAGCAAATATTACGCTTTGCCCTTTTCAAAGAAGTAGTTGAGTCTCACAAGAGCAAGCGTAGGCGGACGACGCGGGATCCTGATGCGATGTCTACCGACGACGATAGCTCCGACGATAACGAGGACGGCGACGAAGAGGAGCAGACTGCACCTCCTCGCCGAACCGGAGGACCGAGCACTCGGAGTCAGCGTCCAAGCACGACTCAAACACCCGCTAACGACGATAACGAAGATCCAGAGGCTGAGGAAGATGACGAACTCTACCGTAGCACACCACGCTCGCAACGAACAACGCAACGAAGTGGCGTGTCCAAGCCCTCCGGCCGTGACAGCATTGCAACTCCCTCCCAAGCACCATCGTCACGCCCTGCGTCCCAACTTCCCCCAACGCAGTCTTCACAGTCTCAAGAAACCCAATCAGAAGACATCACACCCCAGCGACTTCAGGTGTTCCAAACCGCCCTAGGCCAGCTCATCGACGGTCCACTGTTCGCAAACGATGCAGCAGACTTAGAGCCACTCATCGCTGCAGTCAATGCCCGACTCGGCAGCGGGCCCGGCCGCGAGAGATTCGACACGGCGGAAGCAGAGAAAGCTCTCGAGACACTGAGTGACAGGAACAAAATCATGTACAGCGACGGCATCATCTACAAGATATAATCTACCCAGACCCCTCTTTCCCTCTTTCTCCACCGCCCAACTTACCAACCGTCCACTTTCACCACGCACTACATAGCAGAGATCACGAAACTCGATGTAATTAGGTAGATAGCTTTCATTGAAGACAGGATATACACGCACATGCCTCTTTTCCCCTTCTCCCTCCCTCTCCCCTCCTCTCCTAATCCTCTTGCCACACGACAAAGCATCTTCCCCCTCCCGCCCGCCCGCTAACCACGCCCACGAATGCCACACCAGACCACACCAGACCTCAGACCCGTCCATCATCCTCCTTACGTAGTCCATCCGCGATTAACCCTCCCATACCCCATCTCCACCACTACACGAGAGACGATGTTCGTACATACACCCACTCACACTACGCAGATAGCCTATGCGTCTTGTCTGCTGTCTCACTCGGCTCGCATTTCACTCTTTGGCTTATGTTTTCCCTTAGCGGTGTTTTTCTTATATTTACTCTTGGAAAATCTGGGGTGAGGGCGAGGGTGAGGGAAGGAATTCAGTGAGACTATCACGGGAAGGGATTGATATGGAGCGGAGGAACGAAGAGGAGGAGGAAGTCAGCAGGATTGCTATTCACATATACGATTCATCTACTCTGACCACTACTACTACAACCACAATCGCATATCAATGTCTCACCGACAGAGACCCGCTGTCCCCAGTCCCGCCAGGCTCAAACACCTCGAGCAGCTGCTCGCCCTCTGGCCCCGTCAGCCACCCGTCGAGCAGGTCCTCCGCGCCCTTGACGACCGCGTCGTCGATGCCCTGCTCGATGACGAGGCCCTCGCTGAACGCGATGCGCGTCAGCGTGACGAGGAATTTGTGGTGCCCGCCGGGCACGAGCGCGAGCCGCTCGTTTATGAAGGTTGAGTAGTCGTGTGGGGAGGAGGAGGGGGGTTTATTGGCGGCGGCGGTGTGGGGGTGCGAGGTTATGAGGTTGTAGATTAGGGTGAAGGTTGTGTTAAGGGTTTTCGTCGTGAGGGCGTGGGTGGGGGAGGTAGGGGCGGAGTAGAGGGTCGAGAGTTGGGCGTGGAGGAAGGTGATGAGGCGGGGGAGAAGGAGCGGGTTGGTGAGGAGGCGGTGAGTGCCGTGGGGGAGGATCGAGAAGTGGGTGAGGAGGTTGATGACTTGGAGGCGGAATGTGAGGGTCTGCGAGGGGGTGTAGGTGTGGGTTGAGGTTGGAGATTGGGATGGGGATGTGGTTGGGTCGGGGATGGTGGAGAGTGAGGCGTCGAGCATGGAGGTTAGGCGCTCGAGAAGCTCGTTCTCCCGGCGCTCTTGTCGTTCGGAGATGATCTGTTCGTGGGATGGGGATGTTGCTGGTGGGTGGATGGCGCCGAGGGAGGTTGGGAGGGCGGAGGTGCTGAGAATACGAAGCATGGTCTGAACGGTTGGGAGGGGCTGGCGGCTTCTCACGATGACGAGGATGAAGTCGAAGGATATGAGTTGCCAGACGTGGGTAATTGCTTCCGGGGAAGAAACGCAGGCGGAGACGATTGCGTAGAGGAGGTCAAGACAGTCGAGTGCATCGATTGAGGCAGTTATCTTGCGCTGCGCCGGCGAGAAGAGCTCATCCACGCTTCCATAAAGACCCGCATCAGCAATGGGGATAGAGACTAAGTCTACAGACTTCATGATGAGAGGAACAACCGTATCGCATATGGCGACCGCGGTCGAAGATGGCTCGCATGCCAAGATGAAATGTAGCGCATCCAGGTACAAGAAGATGGGCTCATAGTATGCCTCGTCCAAGCTCCTTTCCCATAGAGACAGAAATATATGGCATATTTTGATGGCGAGCGTCCGGACGTCATGTTCTAGACTGCAGGCCAACAAGTCATCGTACACGATCGAAGACAGCTGCTTGCCAGGCTCGGACGGGAAAGCATACTTTGTCATAGCTTCAAGAACTCGATCTTTGCCGTTTGACGATCGATTATTCACTAGTCGTTGGAGAAGCTGGAATCGATGATCTTCTCGCTGCAGATTGGTCCTCAATATTGCTTCCCCCTTCTCATTGGGCTCGAACGGAGAGGCCGCGTTGGCTCTTTGTCGCGGTTCGCTCAATTGCAATGCAGGAATAGGACTTTGATCGGTTACATTCCTTTTCCGCTTATTTGCTTGCCTTGGTGTAGCTGGTTTGGACTTTGCGCGAGTCTTGCTGGGGGATGCCAGGGCCATATCCTCGTCTCCAAACCCGTCCCCGAAGCCGCCCTGGGCGGAGATACTCTTCTGGCGTCTTTTTGGGGTATTCGATGGGCTCATCACCGGATGCTGTTTCGGCCTGATCGATACATGACTCTTTTGGACTCTCGTGGCCTTGTCTGCCATCTTGTCGTGCTCCGCAAACATAACGTTTGTCTGCACCTGCTCGTTCTGCTGCTTGAGCCTTTGTATCTCATCCCGGTGTTTCTTGAGCGCATCGTCGTTGCTTTGGCGCAGCTCGCGTACGGACTGGTCGTGTTCGCGGGCGACAGTGTTCAGTCTCCGTCGTAGAGTCGCAGCCTCGCCGGCGGTCTTTTGCGCATTGGACTTCTCGCTTTGTAGGTCTCGGTTCAGACGAGCTTTCTCTTGCTCCAACTACGAGGCTTAGGACCTATGTTCGTTTGGAATACATGTTGAATGACCTACCTTCTTGACACGGAGGAGCAATTGTTGTGGGTCGACCTGGGAGCGCCGGGGCTGTTGCTCGTCAATGTCCATGGAATCGTTCTGCGATGGATTGTCCTGCGCATAATCGTTGTGAGCGTAGACGTGATCGAAGCGTGCACGCGACGGTTGAGAAGGGGCATTGGCCCATGACTGTTGTCGAGGGATTCCATTTTGATCTCTGAGGTCAATCAACTCGTCCTCATCCTCCTCGCCGTAGTTGGACTCGACAGGCGCGTTGAACGGAGCGGGTTGAGCCTGGGTGGCGCGAATGGCTGTGAACTCCAGCTCTTGCAGGGCATCGTCGGGGAGGTCGTCGAAACCATCATCGTCGAAGTCGAAGTCGTCATCGTGGCGGTCCATGTGCGTGTTTCTGTTTGTGTTCATGAATGTTGGCGGGACGGTTGCCATGCGCTTAGGTCCGTTTCCGTGTCCGGATGCGGGCCGAGCAACATGTCTTTTGAGGGGTACAACACGGCACAACACAGTATAGTTCAGTATGTACAACTGGTGTGCATTTCAGGACGCGTGGTTCGTCCGTTCACGTGTAGTCTCTCAAGGGTGGCTGTGCGATGTTTGGAGTAAATGTTCGTCCGTCCGTTGTTATCAACATCATTTTGTTTTATTACTTACTTCTGTATTCTACCTCGAGGCTTTGTAGTCGCGTCGTCCAATAGTGACCAGGGTAGAGGAAGGTCGGCATTTCTTAACTCCGATGCGATGAGACTAAGACAGGATAATACTAGTGCCTTCGCAGATAGTCAAGTTCACATGCGTCCATGCACGCATGCGGTAGCAATCAAAACATGTATATACAAGGTGCATAGTGAATAAATGACAGTGAAGTAAATCGAGAAACAAACAGAGGAATGGGCCAAATAGAAAGAATGCGCAGTGATCGAAATATATAGAGGGAGCGAGAATGTTCTTACAAGATAGATGTCATCACATACGGTAGTTACTCGTAGTTAGAGAGAAGAGTGGCACAGTAGGTAGGTTTTAATTGGGTTTAGGGCCAGGCTTAAGCGGAGTGACGTCTCTCCGCCGACAAGAAGAAATCATCAGGACATGACAGGACAGGGCAGGACAGGGACGAACATTACAGCTACCTCCTACCTAATCAACTATTACCACCACCAAACGTCCAACTCCCCCTCTTCCTCATCCTCCTCCCCTCATCTATCCTCCCCCTCACCACTCCTACAATACAACAACCCCCTTAAGCTCCTTCTATTCTGTCGCCGTTTCTTCACATCGTCAATCTCCACTTGCGCGCGTCACTGACCCTCATCCTTCGATCCCCCTTGACGTCCGAATCCGCCGCGCGTTGTCCGCATCAACCCTCCATCTTTGACAGCGCATCACAGCACCCTCATCACCACCTTTCGCACTCGCACTTGCTTCCTACATACGAACACACGCACATAGATCATGCCTCGACCAAACAAAGACGTCAAATTTCGGCATAGGGGTGGCGCCGGCACCAACGGAAAGCCTCGTAGGCCAAGCACCAGCATGTCTGAGATCAGCGAGAATGCTTCAGAGCCTGGCAGTCCTACCCGCAACGGCGCAGTAGAGGAACCTCCGGTGAGACACCCGACTATTCTGCCCAAGGGCAGCCGCACCCTCCTCTCTACAGATATCTAACATGCGACTAGGCGCCTTCGCAACCCCCACCGCAGACAGAGTATGAGAAGAAAAAGGCCAACTTCATCACCCGCACGGTGTGGACCCTCCTCATGATTGCTGGTTTCTTCTGGCTGTTATTCGCCGGGCACATCTACATCATCATTATCATTACCGCCGTTCAAATAATATCTTTCAAGGAAGTAATCGCAATTTCCAATGTTCCTAGCCGAGCTCGGAGTCTCCGCTTCACAAAATCCCTGAATTGGTACTTCCTAGGCACCACCATGTACTTCCTCTACGGCGAGAGCGTTATTTACTACTTCAAACATATTCTACTGGTCGATAGGATTCTTCTTCCACTCACGACTCACCATAGATTCATCAGTTTCATGCTGTACATAATCGGTAAGTCGGTTCAGAAATTCCCCAGGGAGGTGCTGCGGCTAACACATCCCAGGATTCATCTTCTTCGTTAGCTCTCTCCAGAAGGGTCACTATAAATTCCAATTCACCCAGTTCGCCTGGACCCACATGGCACTGTTCCTCATCGTTGGCCAGGCTCACTTCGTCATTAACAACATTTTCGAGGGAATGATTTGGTTCTTCCTACCCGTTGCCATGGTCATTACAAACGACATCTTCGCATACCTCTGTGGAATCACCTTTGGCCGTACGCCTCTGATCAAGATCTCCCCCAAGAAGACATGGGAGGGTTTCCTCGGTGCCTGGTTCTTCACCATCATCTTCGGCGTAGGTATCACGCATGTCATGATTCGCTACAAGTACTTTATCTGCCCTGTCAACGATCTCGGTGCCAACCTCTGGTCTGGTTTGGAGTGCCAAATCAACCCCGTCTTCATCCCGCAAACCTACTCACTACCCGTGGCCCTCCCGGAGTGGACACATCTTCCTACCCAACTCACGATTACCCCGGTTCAGTTCCACGTTCTCGTACTCGCTACTTTCGCCTCATTGGTTGCTCCCTTCGGTGGATTCTTTGCCTCCGGTCTCAAGCGTACCTTCAAGATCAAGGATTTCGGCGACTCCATTCCTGGCCATGGTGGCATGACTGACCGCATGGATTGCCAATTCATCATGGGATCCATTGCTTTCATGTATTACTCCAGCTTTATTGCCATCCACAAGACTAGCGTCGGTGGGGTCATTGAATCTGCCATTACTGGATTGACCCTCGAGGAACAAATGGAGGTCGTCCAGATCTTAAGCAAACACCTAGTCAACCAAGAAATCATCCCACCTCAAGTATGCCAATGTCTATCTGATTTCTTTAAAACAACGCTAATCAACATGTCAGGTCCTTGACTACCTCTCCACCCAACTGAAGAGGAGATGATGACGATCTTAAAAGTGTTATGTAGCATATTGGGTCCACATGACGGTTTTCGATTCTTGTAGCGCACCACAGCGGCGGCGTTCCGCTATTACTTGGGATCAAGTATAATGCATGTCGTCTCCTTGGCCGGCCTTTTCCTTTACAACCGGACGCTCGTGTCAGTGTATATACCCTACACTCCTCTCTTTTGCTAGAGAACCATTTTTTATGTAATATGTCTTCTTATGCCGGAACTAGACCCTGGGTCAGTCGAGGCCGCGTACTAGTCTTGCGACTTTTTCCTTTCTGGCTTTCATATAATTTTATTTTCTTTTTCGGGTTCAACGACCGAACAGGTCTAGGGGAAAAGGCCAATTGGGGTCATCCAAAATTATCTTGTCAGCTATAGTTCAAGATTATGAGTAGTCGCTAAATAGTAATCCAAATTATCCGTCATGATCTTGTCTTGGCAACAGTGGAGTGGGTAGTGACGCACAGACCATCTCGAACCTCAATTCCTGAACTTTTGTCAGAAACAATTCGAGATCTAACAATACAGTTATGCCTCCGCCAACGCTCGTGAATGACGCCCTCTGGAGGTGTCTATGTCCCAAGTTTCAGTCACCTACAGCTCTCCGCAACTTTTCCCGCGCCCAATCATGCCTTGTCGCTCGCAATGGACATACTCAGCGTCCCACTACGTTTCGCGCAACATCAAGATCGCAAATCCGCCATGTCAATATCTCCGCTCCCTCCAGGCTTGATACCAACGACCTCAGCTTCGGAAACCACCGTTCTCCCGTCAGCTCAATATCCAAGCGCTCTGCCAAACCAGATGCCCCCTCGTTGGTACACCTTCCCACAAATGCACTGTACGACAGACTACGCCGCGACGGGGCAGCCGGCCGCTACAACGAAGTGATGAACATCGTCAAGATCCTCCTAAAAGACCGACGAGAGCGCCCAAACGTCCGCATGTACTCCGCAATCCTACACAGCTTCGCAAACTGCCAGGAAGGCACCGCAGGTAAGATCAGGAAGGTCATGGAGGAGATGGTGGAGTCTGGTGTAGATCTGGACGTAGGCGCTTGCCACAATGCTCTCGAGGCGCTTGCCGTCCATCCTGATTATATCTTGAGGGAGGAGGTGCTGTCGTACATGAAGGAGCGGTGGTTTTCGCTGAACGACCGGGGGCATAACATGGTTGCTGCTGGACTGCTGAGGGATAGATTGTTCGAGCAGGCAATCGAGAAGATTGAGGACATGGTGAGGCAGCGGATCAGCGTGCACGATTGGTTGTGGGATAAGGCGGTTTGGTTTTTTTTGGATTATGGGGAGGTGGATGAGGCGTGGCAGTTGATGCTCCTTCGACAGCAGTCCGCGACGGGGAAGAAGGATTTTTCGAAGACTCTGTTGACTCATTTCCTCGATGTTGCGGCGAGATTGTGTCATGTAAGTTTGGTTGGGTTGCCTTTGCGCTAATTTGAATGTGCTAATAATGTATAGGTCGAGGGCGTCAATAGCATTTGGACGACGCAGGTTATCCCGAATTACATCAAGCCTGCAACAGGAACATGCCTCGACATCCTCAACCTGGCCTCCCGAACTGGAAACGTCCAACTTGCGACAGACGTCTTCCGTCTCCTGACGGAGCGCAAAACAATCTTCACATCCCACCACTACGAAATGCTCCTAGAAACGTACCTCAACGACAAAGATCTCCCGGCCGCCCTCTCCGTAATCCTAATCATGTCTTCTAGCGGCATCAAGATCGACGAAAGCAGCATTCACCCCCTCTTCACCCACCTCCGCTCATCCCCGACCCTCCCCCTCGAAGCCGTCTCGCTCCTCCAACGCGAATCCAACGCCGGAAAACACATCCCAACCGCCGCCCTCAACTCTTGCATCCAAGCCTCAATCCACCACTCCAACCTCGAAGAAGCCCTCGACATCTACAAAATCATCCACACCATCTCCCGCGGCGGCCCCACAACCCAAACCTTCAACATCCTCTTCCAAGGCTGCCACAAGGCCCGCCGCAAGGAACTCGCCATGTACCTCGCATCCGAGATGGTCGAGCGCGGCATCGCGCCCGACGCCATGACATACGACCGCCTCATCCTCGTCTGCTGCAACGCCTCCGACGACCCCGAGGACGCCTTCGCGTACTACGAGGAGATGCGGTCCTCCGGCCACGTGCCCCGCCGCGGCTGCTTCGAGATCCTGATTGATAAGGGGGTTGAGGTTGGCGACGCGCGGACCCCGCATGTGCTACGGGATATGCGGGACTGCGGGTTCGCGCCTAAGAAGGAACTTGTGAGGAGCGTGGCGAATCGGTTCGTTAATGCGAGGGACGGGGAGCGGGAGGATGTGGTGCGGGAGGATGGGTTTTAGTTGATTGAGGTGTTACACTAGACGTGCGCATGGGATGTAGGTAGTTGAATGTATATGACAACAATGTCAAGACATCAAACCATGGTCCGTGTGGTGATCAAACCATTCTCCTGTTCCCAAGAGTGAGTGAAAGAGAAAATAAAAATAATCACACTTATGTTCATCATTGATTCACATAATTCGTCATTAGATATCTAATATCCCTTATACAGATCCTCCTCCTCCCAATCCATCCATAAAAACGAGTGTCCTTCCAGTTCTTCCATATAACATTTCTCGTTTGCCCTGGGTGAAATCTGCAGATGAAAAGCAAAGATATATTTGTCTCAATACGATCTGTTAATTTCTTTTATCTGTTTAAGCGTACTTTGAGGGCCTAATTTCTTTGATGTAGCTGGTGTACACTAGATCTTATGCTGGCAGGGACATTTACTCGAGATTGATGGGCTCGAAGTTTTGATGGGAGAATGGTGTTCCGCGAATGGCCGGACGAATTAGGCCTTTGAGTGGGAATCCTGATTGCAATGTGTTTATGGGATACAGTTGTGGGTGTAGCGGCCTGAGTTGACCGAGGTATTAGGGTCGGCTATTACATCGATTGGAAGTTACATAAGATGAGGGATGGGATGTTGTGTGCTAATATGCAGAGCTGCCTGTTGAACTCCAAACACCAGGGATATACAGTCTTGATTAAAGCTACTATACACTGTCATTCTTCCCAGAAATGCCTTCCTCGCTATTGCGATGTTTTCCAACAAATTTCCGCCCAATGCTATCGCGTAAACGCTTCACTGACAAACAGCGGCACCTTCTTCTTATCATCGATGTACATACCGATATAAAACATCTTCTCATTAAGCTTTAACGACGGATCCTCGTCCTCCTCCCCCGCCTTCGCCTCCTCCGTTTTCAGCAGCGCCTCCGCGTCCTCCAACGCCGCCAGAAGCTCGCCCGCCAGCCCGATCCCCATCTCCTTCGAAATCGAATCCAACCGCTTCGCCAACCTGATCCTATACTTCCTCGGTGTTTGGGGTGCCGCGAGCGCCGCCTGCATGCAGCACAATTGCATATACGCCCGGTACAGCGTACCGGTCAATCTGATGGGGAACCTGTTCCCGGAACTATCGACCTCGCCCAGGCCGTACGGGACGTGCTCGTAGATCTGGACCGCGCGCGTCGCGATGCTGGCGTCCCACTCTGTGCGAAGTCTCTCAGGATCGATGTGCAAGGCGTCGCACTGTTTGGCGTCGAGGAAGGGCAGGGCTTCGAGGAGGGCCTGTAGGAGGTAGATCTCGGTTGCGCGGCAGAGGTTGCCGAGGATGGACCAGGTGATGCTGAAGTACGTTGCTACTTGGGGGTCGGTCTCCTCGCGGCGCTTGCCGGTTATCGAGGAGACGTCTTGCTGGACGAGGTTGAGGAGGGGGTATGTGGGGTTTTGGTTTCTGGCGGGAGCGGCGTTGGCTGGGTGGGGTCCGTAATCTTCTCGTTCTTTCTTGATGGGGATGGTGCGGAGTTGTACATCGCGGGGTGGTTGTTGAGCCGCACTGGGTTCTGGCGGCTGTGAACGCACGGTTGGGGAAGATGACGGTACTTCACGGGGCGTGGTCTCTTTGTTGGCTGTATCATCACCGGGTCCTTGCATCCGCGGTTTTGGAGTTTTGCTTGTATGTGGAGATTTTGGTTTTGCCTTGCGGCTCTCTGACGGCCTGGTTCGATGTCGAGCCTGTCGGAATACCCGTGGTGCATATTGCTTGAGATCCGCGTCTTTAGAAGTCGCCCCCTCTGCGCGCAGGCGATTCTGTTTAGACAGCTCCGCTGCGAATTCCAGTCCCTGGGCGAATGTTTCGGATATCTGCAGCCGATCCTTTTTCCTCGCGCGTAGCAGGTCGTCCAGCTTCTTCAGGTAAACGCTTACGTCGTGCATGAGCATGATCTGGTTCACTATCGGGCTGACTGGGAATCGATCCCGCAGCCACGTCGGCGCTTCGTCCAGGACTTGGCCATTGCGGTGAAAAAGAGACCCGTTAAGCTGCTCGGAATAGATGACGATGAATAAGTTACGGCCAGCCTGGGTGTCGAGTTGCTCGGGGCCACGAAGTCGTAGGATGGCTAGGCGACCCTTCCCGTGAGATTGCAAGGGGGAGATCTGGCCTGGCTCGCGATCAAAGCAAATGACCTGGGTGTATGACGGTCAGTGACTACTTACTTATAAATGTAGTCGAAATTCAGCGGCTTTCGATACGGCGATCAAGTAGTATGCGATTTTAGGCATGGGGAAAGAAATAGCATGGAAAGGTTACTGCGGGAGCTAAGACTGACCTCGTAGAGAGCCATAAGATAGACCGTGACAAGTGTGGCGTCGTGCTTACGAGCCACTGGGTCCTTTAAGATTTCAGTCATGGACCTGAGCGCGCGACCATAATGGCGGCGCGCCTCTTGCATCAAATCATGGCGACGCTGCTGTTTGGCTACATTGACAAGCGCCACAGCCGGCAGCACGCTATTAATGCACTGCGAAATAGCCTGCGAGCCGTAATAAGGCTCGACGAAATTCAAGAAGTTGACCGTGTTGGCCCTGAACCCGTAGTCCTGGTAGAACCGTTCAATGGCGTACAACTCCGGCCGTACCTGCAGCCCTACCATGCCATCCGAAGAAGGCAGTACTGTGGAGGGATGATTCAAGAGTAGTTCACGTTCCTGTTGCTCATTTCGTCGATTCTGCACCCGTTCGACGCGCTGTGCAACGGTCTTCTTCGCCCATGATTCCTGGGGTCGAATCACGGTCGACCATTCATCCCTCCACTCGCAATCCACATTCAATTTGACGCACCGTTTGCAATCAGGACGTGTTTCGTCACACTTTCGATTGTACGTTTAGCAATTGATAAAAGAGGTATGCATCGCGAAGGCGTGGATTGCTTACCTTAATTCGTCGCCGCCTACATGTGAGGCATCCTCTCGAGGGCCGGCCTGTGTTCACCATGCCAATTGTTTAATTATTTTTTAGACGCCAACAGGTTTTAGAGTATTTAAAACATGATGATATCTCTCAATTGATGGTCGAAGCTGGCTGCCACCCTACACATTCAAGATGCATCGTTGAAACAAGCTCGCATCGCTAACCAGAAATGGTTTGGTGCATCGAATAGTTCCTGAACCTGAATCCGTCGTGGGCAGACGGGGCGTATATATGCTGTCAGAGAAATGCCTCGCTAGACATATCTTCTCAGCTCGGAACCCTTTTAATGTCCTTTTGTCAATGTCCTTTTGTACAACGATAAACACCTTTGGCTCGTACCAGAACTCGGTGAGTCATTCCATGTATACATACTGCCAATAGTTGGATTATCTATTGACAAAGCGAGCACTAGTTTCCAATTCCCGATTCACAACTTTTGAACGCCATTTATCGACCATCACGCCAGCAAAAAGGAAAAACAACAACAAAAAGTAGATCAAGGACGCGCATATGAGGATCTCAAATTCTACAGTTTTTTGAATTTATGACGACAGAAAATCGCGATAACATTGCATGCATCGCCGCTGCGTGGCAATTCTAGCCGTTGCTATGGAATTGACGCAGCCCTAGATGTTGTGGGGGCAGATTCATTGAAACTGTCATCCGGCTTTATTATCCCCGCGTGGTGATCGACACCGGGATGCGGCTATTGCCATGAATCAGTCAGCCTCACTTGGAGAAGGGTGCCTGGGTCAGCCTCGATCGATGCCTTATGCATTGTGACAATAAATGTCGCTTGGGGTCCAGAAAAAAAAAGTAGTCCGCCTTCCATCAATTCGCCCGATCTTCTGATGGTAAGGTTCTCGTGGCCGCTTGTCGAAAGTGACGGACGTTCAGGTAGGGTGGAGGGTGGTCGGTAACGGGATCCACACCTTCCAGCACGGCAAACACAGGTGTGTCACGTTCGGCATGCACCCTCTGTATCTGCCTCCTAATGTATTTTTGTTCCGTGCGAGCTTCGCGATACTGGGTGACTCGCTCACGTACATTTCCGATTCTGCCCTGGGTGGTCGGGCTGTTTCGTGTCAATCTATGTACGTGCCAATGGTGTAGGTGGCAGCCCTACCCTGTTCCTCGGGCCTTCTGGATCGTCCTTTTACCAGTCTCCACCAGGTCGAAATCGATATTGATCCACCGTTTCTGATCCTTGGAAGTCTCATTCGGACTGCCAGCTGGAACTTTGTTGACGGCCGGGAGCATCACCCAGAGAAGGAGAAGGACCACTAGGATGGCCAGGATCACAGGCTGGAGAATGGAAACGCCCCGAGCTTGGGCGAGTGCTCCAATTGCAAATGGAAGAACGGCCGCACCACCTCCGCCAAATGCAGCTGCAAATCCGATGGCCGAGACATGGAGATAAGTTGGGAGGGCCTTGGTCGCCACGACAATGGCAGCAGGGAACAACGGTGCCAGGAAGAAGCCCTGGAGGGAAACTGCGATCGCCGATACAATGAATTGGGGGACCAACCAAAAGATCAGCTGGCATATCATGGATAGCACAAGATAAACCTGGTGATTTGTCAGTTCAACGCAATGTCCGTCCGTGGACGCAAAGGGGTCAAATGTACCATGACAGCGAATTTCTCTCCCAATTTAGGCGTCACGAAGCCTAGGACAAAGCGACCAACAGCAATGCCTAACCAGAAGCCCGTGGCCACCATACCAGACGCGAAAGCTTCTCCATCACGTTCGCGCCTCATGAATGTAACGATCCAGCCTCCCAGTGCAACTTCGACACCAACATAGCATAAAAGGAAGAGTGCAGCAACCCATGTAACTCGGCTTTTCATTGCCTCCGTGAGCCGGCTTTCTTTGGTGGCAGTTGTACGAGGATTCGCTTCCCGATAAACAGCTCCAGTTGCAGTCCAGAAAGCGGATAAGGAGGTAATCAATTCGATTACTGCTCCCCCAATCTGAATATGGTCAGCATTCAAGACACTTGTTTCAGAGCCTGCAGCAACTTACCATGATGTAGTAAAATGAATACCACGGCCATCCCGCCTTCGTTATCAAACTAGTGGCAGCGAGGGGACTCAGAACAGCACCGACGCCATAGAATCCGTGTAAGAACCCTAGGATTTCGTTCGAGTTAGGCATATTCCCGAAGAACGCGTTCCACCCGGCATCCTCGATACCGTTTCCGAAACCTGCCAGGATGAACACAACCACCAAGACTGGATATGGAGGGTGTAGGGCGATTCCGATGTAGGCGCAAAGATGGCAGATTGGTCCCAGGAAAGCGACACCGCGTTGGCCGAAATGCACATGGATGGTGTTGTTCAGCATTGCAGAAGAGGCGTAGCCAACCAATGGGGACAGGAAAACAAGTGAGACAACGATGTACGATAGGTCGTAGTATTCTTCCAGCTGGATGACATTCAGCATAATTTCGCGTCATGCGAACCTTGCCAACTCACATATGGGATTAAGGCTCCGTAAGCAGCGTCATTTGCACCCGCGACAATGAATGCAAAGAAGGTGGCACAAGTCCGGTAGATGTTGATTCTGGGATAATTCCATCGTTCCACAACATTGACGGTCGTGGATGGTTGAGGGAGAAACTCGGCGGGATCAATGTTGTCTTTTTGGAGAGGGATTTGGTCATTGGAGGCTCCAGCTACTGGTTGGAGCTCAATCGCCGACGACGATCCTCCATTCGAGATGTTCGACATCTTTAATGACAGATTGTTTGGCTATGGTATTGGAAGAGGGACTGGTGGATCGGGACTCGGAAAGACCACAAGGTGCTGGATACCTGGTTTTAAACCCACCTGCACTATGGACAAAGGCCAAGAATTTTGGTGTATGACTCTCTTTCTATGGAGAACACAGAACGTATCTCGTACTCATGCTCAACGGGGATGATTTAGACATTATTGGAATGGAATGAACGTATTTTCAGTTCACATGCAGCTTGAATGACGAAGCCAAGAGTCTCCAGAGTTCCAATGTTAGATTCATGGCGCGGGTTTGTGGGAACATGATTGGCCAATTGAAGCAGCGCCGCAAGAACTTCGGGACATCGAGTATTCTGTAGCGGTGATTGGATGGATGTCGGGAACTGGGCACTCGGAAGGCATATATGTGACTAAGAAATCGGAAGGGCTAGCTTCTCATAGATCTAGTCTGATATTTCCCGGTGGATGTGCATCCGGTCATTCATGGGGAAAAGAGTTCTAACATATGGAAATGTTTTTATTGTATGTTGCTGACGACGGCCAAATTTCAGCTCCGAGCAGCCAGGCCAGAGTTCAGCTTCGTCTATTGACTCCGCTTTGCCACCGAAAGACCGGGGGCTGGATGAGATCCCATCTGTCGAGCACGAAGTAAAATAGCGAGACAAGCAAAGAGACATTTCGCTCACAACTTGTTTACATTGGGTTTCTTACCATATGCAGAGGGTGGGCACGTTAGGCTGGCGGCCTGCTAGCTTCATGTATTTTCTATACATGAAGTAGCCATTCAAGGATACACTGCAGTTAGTTAACAGTCTCTAGGCCTCAAAAATATACAGCTGCGGGTATGAAATACTACTACCTCTGTATACTATGAAAAGCATGCCGACTCGATACAATGTACACTTCCAATGCTATCTTTGAGATCTACACCATTTGAAACCTCAGCAGGGCTGGAGGATCGAGGTATTGGCCATTTGATCTCAAGCATAAGGGGCAACATGAGGTAAAATCATGTGATTCAGCAATACCAATAACCTCACGGCTCGCGGCATCTGTTATTATACTCCAGAATAGCATCAGTATATTCCTGGAAGAAAGAGATTGGCAGACAAGATATTAAACCTTCCACTCAACCTGTGATCACCAACCTCTATATATCTCAATATGTCACGTCACCTCATCTACGTACACACCCCGTGCCCCGATCCTATTCTATGTATATATTCGTCCCCGACCACTCGGCATCATCGCGCCGTTGCACAAGCAATTCCCAAGCCGCATCTTTTCCACTCAACTAGGCATAGGCACGACTTCCACCTCCCCCGCCATTGCCACCGGCCTCTCTAGTTAAAACGGGTCCCAATCTGACGTGCATACATATTGGGGGTACTGTACATAGAGAGAGAAACCCGCCGATTAACATAGGCGGTCGCATGCGTAACGCACTTTGGCTCCAATTAAGTCGATGGGCTTATACATGAACGGCCTTATTGGCCAATCTGGGGTTACGTGGGGATCTAGATTGAACTTGCTTTGCTTTGCTTTGCTTTGTGATGCTTGGCCCGATTTAGCCGCACGTGTCAAGGGTGTAGTGTCACTACGTACGCAGTACTTTACACGCGCACACGTATACTTGGGATGAACTACAGAGAGGTGCTCGTTTTCGGCTTCGAGGGTCGGGAGTCTGGGGGTGGATATTACCCAAGTACCGGCATGGTTGATGTCGTGAACCCCAGATAAGCGCGGCTGGCTGATGTCAACGTAGGTGTGACTTTTGGCATACACCCCGCCTGGAGACGTCAACCGTCGACGTTCGACGATCTCGAAAGTTTTCCTTTTCATAACGCGGACGTAGGACGATACTCAAATTTGAAGGTAGAAAGTGCAAAGTCTGTACTTAAGCATCCCAAAGCAATGTATATTCCAAGATCGCAAAAAGAAACCACCATCTTAACTATTACCCTCCATCCATCCGTGACGCCCGACCACGACAACCCCATCATCCCTCATGACACTCCCAAGTAATCCCTCCTCCAACCCCTACAACCTCAACCTCAACCCTCCTCTCAATCCCCCCCAATTATTAATGACCGCCCATCAGAAAAAAACCTCCCTTTCCCCTCCCCCAACAACTCCCCAGCATTCCCCGCGCGCGCGCGCCGTTTCCGTGTTTTTCCCCAACTACCGAAGAGATGGGGAACCGGATAATTAAGCACTTTAAACTATATACGACGTGTGTAATGTAAAAAGCATCGCCCAATGGGCCTTTTACCCAGTCAAGCTTTTTTGGGTTTTTGCCTTAGGGGCCGTTGCACGGCAGGGAGATGCGAAGCGAGGTGAGGTGAGGGTGACAGGGCTGGGTTGATGCACCCCGCATATCTGATCGAGGGACGGACGACTGGGTGGTGCATGGTGAGATGGGAGATGGGAGATGGCCCGGGGTTGGGTTGTGTGTTCTTTGATGTGGGAGGATGGAGTGCGTGCAGTACATTGACTTGTAGTTATGTGTCTATACTGCTCTTTCGCTGCGGATCCTCGACTACCTAAACAATCCTATTCACTCCCTCAAGATTCAAATCCAAACTCCAACCTCCATCTCTCGCTCATTTAGAAAAAGAACAAGAACGACATTACGACAACCGCGCCATTCCTTGGCGCACATCCCCTCGCCGCTCATTCCCAACGCAGCCTATCACCGCAATTGCAATTACTTTGCTCCAATATGTCTCGATAGTGCTTTTTTCTGGGGTGAGATTGGGTAAGCCCCTGCGACTGCTTGTCTACTTTTCCTTGCTTTAGGATGCTAGTCATGGGGGACAGGACCAGGGGAAAAAACAGATATCACGGCCGTCGGGATCTTTTGCTTGCTTTCTATAGTAATGTAAAGAGAGGGCTAACGGGGACGGGGGGATTTGGATAGATCGGTAATGTCTGCCAAAGTGCCGGGAGAAAAGGCTGTTCGTGATTAGTGGTGACGGTCGGTGGTGCTTTGTGGAATTTGCAGAAGAACCATTAGGATGCAGTGGAAATGAAATATAAGAGCCGCCCGGCTTCAATGCATAGAGGCCTACTCTGACTTTTGTTCGTACCTTCTGATCGTCGACCTTTCCCCTTAGATACTCTCGCCCCCTCATCATCACCAGAAGAAGACGAAGAAGTCGACCAAGGAACCCCAGGCCCCACGCAAAACCATCACGATGGTCCCCCTCCTCACGACCCTCACCGCCGCGCTCCTCGCCACGGGCGCCGTCGCCCACCCGGGCGGCCACATGAACCGCGACGTGCTGCGCCGACAAGCGCATCTCGACCACCCGGAGCGCCGCAGCGTCGAGCACTGCAAGAAGGACCTGGTAGCGTCGGGGTGGGTGCGCGAGCAGCACATGCGGCGCGAGGCCCGGCTGCACGAGCTGCGCGTCGCCGCGGGGTTCGCGAAGCCCCACGAGCTCGTCCGTCGCGACCCCGCGGAGGTCGAGGAGAATTATGGCGCTGAGGCTGCGTGCACGCTTGACCCGGAGGTTACGGAGGGTCCGTACTGTAAGGGACACCTAGAACCCGGCGGGGGATGTTGTGTGAGGGAGTGACTGTGAATGACTGACTGACTGATTCGACGTAGATGTCGCCGGCGAACTGATCCGTAAGGACCTCCTGACGGGCGAGAAGGGCGCCATCACCCATTTCGACCTGAACATCATTGACACGTCGACGTGCAAACCCATCACCGACGCGTACGTCGAGATCTGGGGATCCAACGCCACCGTAAGGAAGAAACCACCCCCCTCGCTGTCAAGTCGATCGCTAACTCCTTCCCCAGGGCGTCTACACGGGCGTGCAAGCTCGCGGCAATGGCGACGGGTCCAACTCTGCCGTCTTCACCAACGCCCTGCGCGGCGTGCAGCCCACCGCAGCGAACGGCACCGCGTCTTTCATCACCATCATCCCAGGGCACTACGTCGGCCGCGCCAATCACATCCACAGTACGTCTATCTCTTCCTACACCTTTCCCTCCCTGCCCTTTCCCTCTTTCTTCTTTCAAAACGCACCAGCTGACAACCCCCTCTAGCGATCATCCACCACGGCGCCAAGCTCCTCCCCAACAACACCATCTCGGGCGGCACCGTCTCACACATGGGCCAATTCTACATCGAGCAGAACTTCCTCGGGCAGGTCGAAAAGACATCCCCCTACAACACCAACAAGCAGAAGCAGACCCTCAACAACCAAGACATCCTCCTCAACATGGGCAAGCAGGGCGGCGACGACCCCTTCATGAAGGTGTCCCTCATCGGCTCCAAGATCGAGGACGGTCTGTATGCGTACGTCGATGTGGGCGTTAACCCCAAGGCCACGAGGAAGCCGGACCCGGTCAACTTTTGGACGGATAAGGGCGGGATTCCAGTGCCCGGGAGTGGGTGGGCGGGATACCCGGATACGTGCAGGAATTGTGGGTTTGGGGGTGGGAGGCCGCCGACTGTGAAGGGCAGGGAGGCGGAGGCGGAGGCGGAGATTGAGGTCCAGGATCTTGATGCTGAGTAGATTTGTGAGTGAGTGAGTGTGATGGTAGAGGTGCTGGTGAGGGTGCGTGAGTGGTTGATGGACATATACACGTTTGTTTGTGTGGTGCTTTTTTGTATATATCTATGAGTTGGTTCAGCATGAAAGAGAATCTTCTGGCCATTCGAGGGGTGACGAAAATTGAGAAAAAAAAGTTACCAGCCTTCCATCGAATTCTCACCCTGACCAATGGTGCCCATGAGTTGAGTATCTGTTCTCCATTGAAAGGTTATTCATGGCGGATTGGAGGTATACCTGTAGGTCAGTTCAGTCCACAGCGTACTGACTCACTCGCATCTCTGGTAGGTATTAGGGAAAACTTCGATCGGAGAGGATATTTCTTTTGTCTTTTTTTGGTTTCATGATTCCATTTTCATTTCATCTTTCTCTCCTTCTCTCACACATCCCCTCTCTTCCTTCATCCCTTCCTCTCTGGAATTGAAAATATCGCCTTCTGGCATTTCTTTCCAGTTGACAAGAAAAAAAAAACAAATGAGAAAACCAAAGCCTCGCTTTCTGATATCATTCATGTTTGTTGCTGAACCCATCCATCCATCCATCCAAAGAACCCCGCGCAAGAAATGCAAAAGGGAAAGGGAAAAACACAAACGAGGAAAACACATACATACGCGCACAATGCCCGCCATTAAGAGATCCAGGGGAAAACAAAAAGAAGGGGAGATGGGTGGGCGAAAAAACTTGGGTGGTCGGGGAATTATGGGTTTCCCGTATGCCTTGAAACGCCGGGGAAAAAAAAGTCGCAAATCGTCCGGATTCCAGTCTCGATGACGGTCCGGCTGGAGACGTGCGTGGAGGGGTGTAGGTGTGGGTATACCAGAGAGCACAATTTCCGTATGTGCACGCATGCGTGATGCCTATTGCAATGCAGATATGCTCGCAGACCATGCCAAGGGGGAATATCAAAAACAAAGCAAAGAAACAAATGGGGAAATGCCATGGCAGTGGCAGGCAAAGGTATCGCTGATGTTACAAACTACGCACCAAAGATGTAGATGGGTTTCGGCCGTCAAGAGCACAGCTGGGGTATATGTTCGTGTGGATGAAAAGGCGCGGCTAAATCTTCCGGCGCACGGTGAATTTGCGCTCCATTGTGGCAGCGGGGAGAGCTTCAGCGAATCGATCGCGGGCTGGGCCTGTTAGTGCACATTCTATTGCAGCTTGATTGTTGTACTTACTCTCTGCGCTGTCAAAGCTGATCAGGATGTCATCATGCTCGCCGGGATACTCGATAACATCGAGGCAGACGTATTTCCGTCTTATGCCAGCCCATCCGCTAATTCGTCCCTCTGCTTTGCCCATCTTTCCTTCGCCACGTCGTTCCTCGACGGGAAGAGCGAATTTTGCGTCAACAAGTCGAATGCCCGGCTTGCCACCCTTGTCGGTCTTTTCGAAAACGTCCATGGACTTGAGTTGGAAATTCATCGCATCTGCGTGGGAGAATTCTTCGAAAAATGCGAGCAGCTGGATGATATTATCCTGAACAACGATCTGGATTCGGATGGTGTTGGCAGTCCACTGCTTGTAGATAGGAACGACCATGCGGCGACGGGAGATTTGAAGCGTGGAAGCAATTCTGCGAGCGTTAGGTTTCGCATACAAATGAGTGGCAAAATGAAAATGGCAATTTGAAAATGGCAATTTGAAAATGGCAGAACGAAGTGGCAGAACGAATTTGCAAAAGAAAAAGCCTTACCCATCAAATTTAACCTCGAATCCTGTGATGGCGAGTTGGAAAGTGTGCAGATCCTTGAATGAATTGAAAGTCAACCGCCTGATGGTCGAAGCGGTGGTCAAAGTCTTGAGCAACTCGGCTAGGTAATCAGGCGTTTCCTTCTCGCACCGACTCGCATCGATCGCTAAAGCCATGTCGAGCTGGGGGTTGCGCAGAAGTGTAAGTTCGGCGGCGCCATCAATCGGCAATCGCACCAGAAGCTCGCCAGGTCCTGCACCGATGTTAGTGAAGTTGCATGAATACGGAGTCGGGGAATACCAACCCAGGTTCATGCGGTCTGAAATAATACCTGCAGTATGCCTGCATACGAAACGCAGGCTCTCGCTCATTACTGTTGGGGGAGCCTCCAAACCGGCTGCCTCGGGATCTTGGTTCAGCACTTTGACTTCTTGCCAGGTGAGTTTCTCGAGGACTCGGCTGCCTTTTTGTGTGAATCCCTCTGCCTGGTCCGCGTTTTCGATCGCGAATGCCTTCAATGGAATCTGTGCAAATACCGCTTCGCTCTGATGCTGGTTCATAGAGGTAAAAGTACCGAAGAGATGGTTGCGATCCCTGGCATCCTCAAAAACCATAAACATCGAGCAGCGCTTCTGTTTCTTGTCGGGGGTTTCCTCTCTGAAGCGCAATTTCAGGCCGGGGGCGTTGTCGGATGGGTCGTTGGCGTACTCGAAGTTCATTGGCTCTTGCTTGGTGCCCATCTCATGGGTCACGCAACTTAGGGTTCGGAGTTGAGGATTGGTGACAGCGACCAAGCGATAGCCGCGGTGAAGTTTCCTTTTACCAGTGCCTTCGCTGCTGCGCTCGAACTTTTGAAAGACCATAAGCTTGACTCCTCGAACGGGCTCGGCAGGGAATGCTCCAGGGTTGGACGAATCCTTGTAGGACATCTCGCGCAGATATAGCTTCAAAGAAAATCGCTCGTCGGTTCGCTCGCGCAGGTTGGCCTCAACTCGATTCGTGTGGTCGACAATGGCCCACAGGCTCCGGAAATCTGCTTCATTGAGTTCAAGCTTGAGGTTGAAACCGTGGCGCAGTTGTACGATGACGCTGCGTGCCTTGGAGTTCCATGCAACATCCCTCCAAGTCGGGCCATGTTCGGGATTCGCCGATACCGCAACATTGATCAGTTCCTTCTGGCTGCAAATGGAAAGTTTGACCTTGAAGTCGTCTCGCGGGCGCAGGACGGAAATGACGGCAGGCATAGGCACGCGATCTGTGTTGAGGTCGTCTGTGGACAAGGACGCCGTGACGAACATGCGGAAATAGCAGAAATCGGCCTTGGTGTCCCCGAGCGGCATCACATTTGCAGGGTTGACGTTTTCTTGGCTGGCTTTGAACGCAGTGCCCGAGAGAACACTCGCAAGGTCGGGAGCGAACTGGGGATACTCGATCCAAATGCCCTGGTCCTGGCCCTGGATGAGTGCCTGGGTGGGTGGCATACTCTGGTGTCGTTGCATCGACCCCAGCAGCATTTTCAGCGAGGCAGCGATCACATCGTGCAATTCATAGATTTCCGCCGAAGCCACATCACCAGCCTCGCGGGCCAACGTGGACTGCATGGTCATTGGGTGGTCACCGTACCGCGCCAACTTTGGGTGGTTTTGTACAACCTCGAACAAAATCCACCAAGTCTTTGCAAGATCTACATGTGGCTGGGTGAGGCGCTCGACTTGTGGCTCTCCCGTCTTTGGCCGGCTCCTGATCAGTTGCTCCATACCGACACGGCCTTTGAGGAACCACCAAGTGGCCACCCTCAGCCACTGCAACGGCGCAGTGTCGTTGATCGCGCCGCCCAACTCAGCAGTGAGTCGGAAGATGCCAGTCATATGGGTCACACGCTCAGCAAAGTCGGACAGGGCAGTCTCACCTTGTGCTCGTGTATTGGAGCGCGCCAATGACATTGGTGGGGGGGCTGGCCTTTGTCCAGGCTGGCCCTCATTGACGGTATCTCGCCTGGCGGTTGCCAATAGTCTGGGGTCTTGGGCGTGATTTTGTGGAACTGGTGGCTTGCCCTGGACAAGGTCGACGTACTCCGATCTTTCATACTGAGGTGGGGTTGGCATGATCGAGTTCTGGCTAACGGCAGAGAATGGCGCATTCTGGGCGCTGTTGAAACTGCTAGTCGAATGCTGTGCGGGCATGGCATAGAATGAAGCTTTGTCTGCAGAAGGTTGCGATTGGTGAACTGAGGTTGCTGCGGTTCCAGGGGGCGAACCGCGATTTCGAGACACCGCCGATGGCTGAGTGTATTGAGAAGAGGAAGACGAGTTGGGTCGAGCATCCGTGTCAAGGGGAAACGATCCAGGAGGCATATGTTTCCGTCCTGGGTCCAAGATCCTGCTTGGGGAAACTGGTTGAGGAGCTTCGCGGGCGGGATTCCTGGGAGGTGTCCTGCCTGCAAGAGGAACCGTGAACGAAGATGGTGGCGTTCCGACCTGGAACGGGTTGGGGGGCTGCTGCATTCCAGGGTGAGGAGATCCTGCGCTCGACGAAGAATCACGCCTGGCCTCCTCTTCTGCCTGTTTCCTAGCATCATGCAATGCGCGGCCCTCTTCTTGTCTCATTCTTTGAATAATCCGTGCAGAATACGAGTTGGGATCGGTAGGCTCGCTCTGGAGATACTTATTGACGCTAGACTCCAGAGGTGAATCGTCGTCCTTGAAGTTCATTTCGGGCAAACGGGCCACGGCAGGCATGGGTGGGGGTGCGTCATTGTCGGAGCCGGCATGCTCACTCCAACCCGTCTGCGTCCTTTTCAATTGCGGCGCTTCGAAGTTATCGTCCTCCTCTTTAGTCGGTGCCAGGCTGGGTGCCTTTCGTGACAGCACTGGTGAGATATTCTCTGAGTCGTAAGAAAGGGACGATTCCATGCTCGGGCGCCGTTGTCCGTCATCGTCCTCGAGGTCGAATCCAGTTGGCGCCCTCTGCAGGCCTTTTGGCCGGTCCCCAAGACCCATTGGACCGTAGCCCCGCGGTGGGATAGGTGGAGGACTGACGTGTGTGTTTATGTGACCAATCTCCATCTTCTGTCGAAGCGGTGGGGACAGTTCCCCATGTGATGTGAGCTTCCTTGTGACAATACCCCGACGCTCCGCATCCTGGTTGATGCTGTCTCCTTCTTCGCCGGTGAAGGTTCGCAAGGGGAGCCCCATGTCATCTTGATGTGTGGACGCCTTTACCTTGTCCAAGTCGCTCAGACTGCTAGACTGCTTCCTCTTGTATACCTCGATCGAGGGTTCCTCACACTCGTCACCGCCTGAGCCAATTATGTCGGGCAGGGTCCGCGCAAAGCTCACAGAGAGGCCCTTCTTCCGTGTCCCAGTCTTCAATCCACCAGGACTCTTCCCCACAGCACTGTTGAGGACCTCATGGGCGCCGGGCCACCGTTGTGCTCGCGCAACGTCGATCTTGGGTCGATTCGAGGAGAGGAAGGCGGCGGCGGCCGCCTGTTTGTGTGCGTTTGCCTTTTCTGTGGAGGGCTTTAGGAAGTCGTCGACGTCGGCATTCTGGTTCACTTTTGGCTCTGGCTGTTTCTTTTGTGCGGAGGCATCCTTATCCTTGGCTAGGAATTTGGCGCCCCAGCGAGATTTGGCGAGGAACTTGCTGGCACCCTCGTGGGTATCGACCATTATGCCCAGACTTCCCCGCAGTCACCTGGAGGAATCGGGAGGGAGGGATGCTTAGAGGGAAGAATGGAAGGAAGCAAGCAAGCAAGCAAGCAAGCAGATCGTAAGTGAGAGGGAATGTTTTTGCAAAGGACGTAGTCAACAGTAAAAGTGGGAAGATCGAATTCGGCTGGGCGTTCGTGTTGCTGCGGAGGGGGAGGGGGGTGGGTGTAGGGAATGGCGCACGCGACAACGGGCGGTGGCACTGACGGGTTGGCAGAGATACGGAGGTTGAAGTGTCGGGGGTGTGACGGTGTGAGAGGGTGGACGGGCGGCTGGCGACTTTCTAACAACAGACTGGAAGCGTTTCAAGTGGGGACATGCGAGGCGTTCAGGGAGCGGCGAGCCGAGCTGCAGGAGTGAGAGTGGACTGAGTAGAGAGAGCGAGAGAGGGGAGGTAATACAAAAGAGGGTGAAAGTGTAGGGAGCCGCAGGGGAAAAGAGTAGATAGTTAGTGAGTGAGTGAGTGAGTGAGTGAGTGAGGAGGATAAAGAGGAGGAGGAGAAGGATGTGGAAGTAGAGTAGTAGAGTGGTTAGTAGAGTAGAGTGAGTGGATGTAGAGTAGTACTGTGTAGAGTAAGTGGATGGTGGTTGTTGATGGTTTTGTTCCGAATTGGGGTTGGGGTTGGGGTTGTTATCGTCGTGTGTGGGTGTGCCAGGTGTGGGTGGTCGTCTATCCCCTCTCATTGGTCAGACATTCTATACTTGTGCTAGGTACAGGTACCTAGGGTCAGGTAGTCAGGGTATACCACTATGACGAGTTAGGTAGTTACTACTACCCTACTACTTTGTATTACTCACTTCCTTCATCATTCCATTATAGTCCTCTATCATGACCACAATACTTTAATATATCAACCGATATCCTACACCCACAAGACAAGTCATGACATGACATGACAGGACAGGACATCGTACATGTAGTAGTGGTTGTGCGGTGCGCGGAATCAACTAGCAATGGCCAAACGCTGGACTCATTGTCGACACCTGTCACTACGAGTACCACCTAGTACCTACCACCTACCACCCGTCACTAACGAAACACTTGTAACAGGCATCTTTACCCTACATGTACTTGGAATAAGTACACGGGTCCACGACTAGGCGAATGCCCACTCCACCTCTAAAACACGGCCCCTCCCCTTTCCTTTAACTATTTCATCTCACCTTTGCGCATTGTTCTGCTTCGCTGGCTGGCTGACTGACGATGCAATAGTGGTGTGTTGCATATTGTATGGTGCTCTTTCTCCTGCGCCGTACGTTTGCGTCAATAATCAGCCAGCCATTAAGGAACGGTAGGCTCAACACCAAGTATCTTGCCTTGTATAGCCCTTTTCAGGGTTACATGCCTACACCAGTAGGACTAATGGATCATCATCATTCAACGGACGCCTCGCACGATAGACACCGGTACCTACCTACTGTGTAGGGATATTTCCAATACTCCGACTATTATAGTCGACGATCGCATTCTCTATTGTATTTTTTTCCTCTCTTCCCCCTTCGTTCGGAACATTTGCGTCATTCGGCGGGTTCCCACTCCTGCCCATCAGTTACGAGTATTTTTGCAACGTATCATCGGGGCGGCCGCTCTAGTTAGTTGTCTCATGCAACCGACTAACTACAAGTACAAGTACGAGTATTCGTATTGGCGAACAGGACCTTGCCAACATGGAGAAAAGGGTCCTCCTAGTGTCCCAGTGTCCCAGCGGAAAAGAGGCCAGCGAAAGCCCAACCCGTCGCCTAGCATCCGTTCTCCGCAGATCCGCTGTTACAGATGTCGCACCATGAGATCATAATTGCTGCCTCGGTCCAATCGCCATCCACCTTGCTCCGAAATACTTCCATAATTACCCTCTGCCTCTCTCTCAATCCAGTCCTGTTGATCCCAATTCGGACATGACAATTGTCCCCGTTTGGGGAAGGATTGGGAAACATTTCGAGAGATCGCAATAAATGAGGTCGACTGCCTGTGACATGATCTCTGGGATTGAACTGTCGTGTGCCGTGTGGCGCCAAGCTACTCAAACCCCCTGCAGCCTTATCTACTGTGTACCGTAGGTAGTATGTACTGGTACAACCACTGATAGCACTGTGTCTATGTACAAGTATGTATTGTGGCTTCAGCTTCTAATGAACGTCTACCAAGTATGCTTAACTGTTCATTGCACGCCGCCTACGCCTATGAGATAGATACCATGACTCTTGGATACTATTCTAACAACTCGACTACAATGACACCAAACCACATACGAGATACAAGCTTAGTCCAATACTACGCTGGTCTCTCCAATAGTTACCTCGTAGTCGTACCTTGGTTACAAGAGCACACTACTCCTAGGCACGCACGCACGTCCACACCGCATGCACACCGATCCATCTATATTTACTCGGTCGGCCTGTCCCTCACAAACAGTCACAAAAACCAGTCCTCGTAACCACCCATCCACCTAGGCAAACGAAATCCCCTCCGTTGCCATGGCATGACGCTGCAGATTCCATCCCCTCTCCCCGGTACCCATCAATCAATCGCATCATGAGAATCGCATACGTAGGGAAATTCGAACCCTCTCATAGGAATTAAGCGTTGCGTTGCTGGAATGTCCTCACCTCACCTCGCCTAAACATCCCCCTCCCTCCCCCACTACTGTTCCCCCGGGCGGCACAACCGTTGCTGACTGCGTGCGTGTGTGCGTGCGTTCTGCAACTGCACGCTCCGCCTGAACGAACATGCCCATGCACCATGCGCAATAATGCGCAATGCACCCCTCCGCCTTGTCCTCAAGTATCCCAGACAGCAGTTGGGTGGTTTGATTGGTGGGATGGGAGGCTGCAACGGTGAGGATGTGGATTGTGTAGGTAGGTGCTTGTTTGCCTCGTTGTGGGAGATGGGTGCGCGGTTGCTTTTGGCTACCTCTGGCGCTCTGTGAATCCTACTCATGTATATAATGTACACAGCGCATACATACAATTCTCCAGTGACAGTGCAAGTCATCAAATAATTACCCCACCGCCCGCTATGGACAAACACATGTACAAATACCTTCCCCCATTCCACCCAATCGTAGCGGGGAAAGCACTTCATCCACGTGGAAGGGAGTTAATTAGCAGTTTAATTACCACGCATCGCCCTTACAACGACGGAGGAATCGATGGCTCATTTCATTTTTATAACTTTTGTAGACGTCAATGATTTTATTGTAGGTGCTCGTGTACGGCCATTAGTAGAGGATAATGGTGATTCTGATGATGATGGCAACGGCTAAGATATGATAATTCTAATTATGATGATTACGATGATGGGAATTCATGAAGAGCTCACATTGCTACCTACGTATGTATCGAAAAAGCATAGCCTTACCGTACATCCCGAACGAACAGTATGGGACCTCCCATACCGCGCCGCGCCACAGTGTCATACACAAATCAATCGATCGATCGATCGATTTAATGGCCACATCGACGTCCTGGGAAAATGTTGCTGATCACACCCACTCGCATATAACTCACTCGCCTTCAGTGTTGTATATGATGAATTGCACGTTCTACGCGGCGGGTGCGTGTGACTGTCGTATGTCACGTGGGTTTGGAGCTGTGATCATGGAGAGGGATAACTATAGGAAACGTACCTAGGTAGAGAATCAAGTAATTAGATTTTTTTCCCTATGCATGAGATGATGGCATACTTTGCGCGAGTGTAGCTGATCTTGGTTACATTGTGCTGTTGTACTTTTTATTTAAACTTCATTTTGATTAAGATATCTAGATGTGAACATGAGAAATTTAGAGATTGTGCAAAACTTAGGAATTAAGAATTAGAGTTTTACCCTGAATCATGCATACGACGAGGTACTATGTACGTTAGATTTTTTCTTCTTTTCTTTTCCCCGCAAAGGATTGATTTTGTGATTTTAGTAGGCGGCGTGGCGAGGTAGTTAGATGTAGGTATGCATTTTATCTCCGTTTGGTATTCCGTTTCTCAACTCACTATTCCTAGTATCGATGTACTATGTATGTACATATGTACACTCAACATATAATCACATGACGCAATCAAGATCCTATCTCTGACGCACATCGGCTTAACTTCCCCTCCCCTCCCCGCATGCAGATGGGATATATCGCACGAAATCCAATTCAAGCTCTCCACCTCACTCGTACGGAGTGCTTACACCGTCCACCACCAATGGTCCTCCCCGTCCGCACCAGATCGTGCGCAAGCAAATGTACGCACGAGCAAATACCTCTCCTCCTTCAGGAAGTTCCTACAAAAGTGACGTATACAATACATGTCCCATAGATCAAATGGTTACAAAGATCAACAAAATACGTATGGATTAACGACTGCATATACCTAGTATACCTAAGTACGCAAGTCGCGCCCCGCGCAGACTTCCCATTCCATCCCATTTCATTCGAAAGAAAAGACGCAGAAGAAAAAGAAGAAAAAGCACAAAAAGCACATGACCAAGAGGGATATGCGTGACGGTCACAGTTGGGCTTGCATTGGGGTAGAGTGGGTGTGGTGGAGTGGGGTAAGGTGGATCGTTCTGTATGGTTGAGGATGAGTGGGTGGGTGAGATGATTGTATCTTATGTATTGTAGGTAGGTACTTGTATGACATATGTATGGAGGGAGTAGATGGTAGATGATTTAATTTGGTGTGGAGGGGGTAAGGAGGGGAAGGTTAAGAGACGGACGGGTAGATACAAGTAAGTAGAGTCGGATACGGAGGCGAGGTTGAGACGTGTAGAGTATGTCTAAGTGTATGTATATATAAAACTAGGATGAAGGGCTTCGCATTGATTGTGATCTTGTTCAGAACTCATTACAAGTAACTCATCATTCCTTACACAGTAATACTGAACTAGACACTCAGCAATGAACCTTTAGTGTCAGTAGTTGGAGTGATTAGTAGAAGACGGAAGCGGGTGGGTTGGGCCCAGTCCATTAGGAACATCTATCTACCCGATGGGGGGAACGTGGGATTTCCCGCCTGGCCAATCAGAGGGCGACGATGGGAGAGTCCGCGCAATACTCTCAACCGGTGGCAGCGAACGGGCGGCAGCTCCCATAGCCAACCCAGACATCATCACCTACACAGTACACTGACACAGTAACACTACACAACACCCAACACTTGATACTCATCATCAGATAGATGCAGATACTTGAATCCATTTGTTCCTACCTTAGACCTTAGTGCTGTACCATCTATTAGTGTTGCCGCGCCACAGCTCACCTCATTACTTGTATAACACCGAATACCTACGGAGTACGTAGTTAGATACTGCGAGTGACTTAAGCGACACAGGCGTGATTCCAATTAATCGCCCCATCCGCCCCCTCCAGCCCGTCCCCC